AAAAGAAGATACAATTCAAGTGGTTGCACTATAAATAATAATGTTGTTACGTAAATGGAACACAAGAGGCCACCTGGTGAAGAAATAGGAAGGTCGACAACGATGATCATTTTGGTAAAGGTAAGAGGCAACACCAAACTTCAAATTGCCTAATTCTTACAGCTGCTTCAACAGTCTTGACAGACGATAGGAAGGCCAGTATTTCTTAAATTTACCCAGTCCGGAAGCATAAATCATCGAGAAAACACATTTTTGTATATTTATTCTTGATATAAGTATTCTGAGTCAAGAATAACCCAATCCAAGACTAATTAGGCGAATAAATGCGAGAAAGTACTTAAAACTTATTAACACAGTCGCGTGCCATGAATAGCAGTCTGGAGGTAATTGAAGTGTGATTGCTCCTCCTTACAAATCATTACCTACTGAGATTTCATCCACACGCGGCTAACTACTAAAATAGCGCACTAAAATGGCGCACTAAAATGGCGCAACGAAACAATTCATCCCTTCCGAATGACACAAAAGTTTCTTCTAGATGTCCGATGAATTTCCCCAATTTATATTTCAATAGATAAATTTGAACATAATTTCGAAAAAGTCTGAAAAAATATATTTCTAAAGGCATTTTGGATAAATTAAAATCGAAACAGCTTCATGCCTTCCTTTTCTAACATAGATTTGGGTTAAATTGCAGATCAAAGAATAGATATGTCCTATGATGTTCGTGATTATATTACTGAAGGCAGTTTGAACAGCAAGTTGAAAAGCGTATCGCGTTATATATATTTACATAAATTTATGATACAGTTTTTATATTTTATAGATCTTTCATATTGTATTACAAATAAAAATAAATTTACATGAGGTATGTATTTTATTTTGTAGATATAAGGCCATGGGTACGACAATCTAGTCGAAACTACAAAACATTCATTTCATATATTCACTCTTCACTCTTCAGGGTATGGCATCTTCGTGCAAAGGTACTGAGCACGGTACCACGGAAGAACCAAAAGAGATACTTCCTATTTTAATATTTATATATCTATTTATATTTACATTAATTTTGGAAGAAATGTAACATCGAAAAGGAAACTGTGGCTGCTTATTTGTGCAGTGCCAAAAAATCTTTAACTCATTGATGTTGTCAATCTCGCTCATACTATGAAATTAGATCCTGGACAAAAGTATCGAGTCGTGGTTTCGGCACCTCACTACTGTGTTTCGTGGATTCTATAAGTCGTTTAAGTCATTTGATGCACCGAACCGCTGCACGACAACATTTTTCAGCGCGTTAGTCTCCTTGCTTTTAGACGAGTCGACGCACTGTATTGCACCTATGACGACTCGACGCACAAGTCAACGACTCGACGCACAAGTCAACGACTCGACGCACAAGTCAACGACTCGACGGACAAGTCAACGACTCGACGCACTCCCACTATCTCAACCTCATGCGTCGAGGCGTCGACCTCGTTTTGGCCAAGACCACGACTCGATATTTTTGTCCAGGATCTAACTACACACTATACAGTATCATGCCAAATTTTGGGAGGTCAAATTTTCGGAAGTCAATGATTTAAGCCAAATTTCCCGTAAAGAATTAAATCCTGAATTCATTGGCACTTCATTTAAAAGACGTGGCTATAACATTTGATTAACTGTGTTCAGAATCTATAATTATCAGCAGAAAAACTAGTCGCCTTTGTAATAACGAAAAAGACATGATTTACGGTTTTTATATGAGTAGATTTCAAAGCGATTAAACCGGGAGCGGATGGTTCATATGAGTTATCCAGACAAATTTAGATTATCAAGATTTATTCTTGGCATTTGATTATTTGCACTCCATCACTTTTCATTTAAGAAAAGATGGCGACATCTGACGGATGTGGGGAAGAACAAAATATTTGCAACTTTAAGAAATTCAACAGAAAAATTGGCTGTAAGCAGTAGCGTAGCTAGGGTGGTACAATTGGGGGGGGGGGGCAAAGGCGAGGCTAGGGTGGTATAACTGGGGGGGCAAAGGCGAGTTATGCAAGGGAAGATTAGGGGTCCATACCTTTTGGAACGCGAGAAAACGTCATTTTTCAAAGAGACTTTTGCCATTGGGGGTTCCGCCCTCTCTTGCCCCCCCCCATTGCTACGCTACTGGCTGTAAGAAACAAAGTGACAGGCACTTGCCGACTGGAATAAAAGTAACATGGTTTTGCTGAGCTGCAGAGCAATCTAGTTAGGTTCAACCTGGGTTAATGAACCCTTAATCTTTATCTAAATCTTGAAATTCAAATAACGAGCAAATTTAGATCATTTGGTGAATGAATCACAAAATCATTTTGCGTTGTATTCTATTGTTCCTGCTCACCTTATCTAATAGTTACAAACATTTTTTTAATTAGAAACAGTTCCCAGTAGATATTTTTATAAGAAAATAATAAATTCAAGTTGAATTTTCATGAATTTCGAGAGTAGCAGGGATTAAGATTGAAGCAGAGTTTTTGCTCCATACAATTATTCTGCAATGAGCTCAGTTTTTTATATTGACACAAAAAAAAAAATTTTTAGGTCTGCAAATAATTTTCTGATCGTCATAGCAAAAACAAGATCATTTTCTTCTCAGGAACAAATACGGAAAATATCTTAAATAGGCATCTCAACGCTCTTTAACAACTTCACAGGCCTAGTTCTGAGTTTCTTGCAAAACTTTTGTATGTATTTTGGCATCAATTTGAAAACTGATTTTTTGACTAAATCTTGTGACTAAATCCCGTAATTATACGACACCCCGCAATTCCTTGTATATTATCCTTTTTAATAATCTTCAAATGCAACAAAATTTAAAACTTAATATTTCATGGCAGAGAGCAGGATACAGGTATCCACGGTGCGATGACGTCAAAAGGACAGGATATTTCTGTGATTGTTGCAGAATGTAGATTCTTTCTCAATATTGGTCGTTTTGAATGAATTTTTAGAGCAGCGGTCCTTTCAAGGATTAGCTCTAGTGACGTTATCAATAGTACGATAACACTGAGATGACGTCTCAATAGTACGGACAGGAAGAACGCACAACGTGAAGCTCGGCTCTTATTTGAAACTTCTTAATATGGTGTCGTCTCAACAAGTGATGTCGTCATAAAGTTATATTTTTTAGAATTATACCTCTAAATATACATAATCAGCTACATCTGCTACAACCGACTGACACATGAATACATACGTACAGGCTCTTTGCCCATCAAACCTCTGTAATTTGGTTTGGTCATAACTTTATAAACAGATGCCCAAAATAACAGTAATCCGCTAGTGAATTTCAATAAATGCTATTTTTTAAGTTTATGATTTTTTGTTCAACTTTCATCTTAGATTTTTTCATTTTAGTTTGTTATCATCATGACATCGCTCTCAAAAGTTGATTCAAAATATTCCGACAGTGAAATCGGCGAGTCTATGCTTACAAAAAAATAAAAAATTCTTCTCTACTTTTAACGTTTCAAAAATCAAGAAAATAATGAAAACATTCTAAAAAATAGGAGGAAATTCGGCTAGTTACCTAACAAAAAAGCTAAGGCTCTTATAAAAATTACTTCACCAAATTATAAAATTACTGATCTATCTCCCAAACCACCGACCGTAATTCTAACCTTGGAAATGTGAACATCCTAAAGCTTCCGCATTGAAAAACAGAATGATAGCATAACATTTTTAAAATGTTGCAAGGCTAATAACAGCTACACATTAATAGCATTTAATATTTTAAAAAATTCTATTTTACACCATATTGGGTTCTTGTTATGGTTTTACTTTGCTCATGCCTGTTACTTTTAATAAAAGAACGGAAAGGAAAAGTAATCCTTTCTGAATGAAGCTGAGAATGAAAAATACGTATCACATTTCCCCATCTTTTTTTGCATATTTGTGTCAGTGCCTATTTTCAAAAGAGGTGAACGTTTCTGCTTGTCTTAATCCATGGTTCTAGACTTGAACAGACAAGCAAATGGGGAAAAAATCCACCGGTTCTTGCTACTGTCGTAGTCTCTTCCACGAATAGAACTTTCCTTCCGCCTGTTCCCCCTCCCTTTACCAGGCCTGGATTAAACTCTGAGTCACATCTCAAACACCAGAATATATTATAAATCATAAATAAGAAAAGAGAAAATGCTTTAAAAAGACTTAAAGAAGATGCTGACTTAAACATTGCCGCGGAAACCAAGTGCTCCCTTTTCATAGCTAACAGGGAAAAAGTACATCAAACTGAATGCTGGAACGAATACGTAACAAGCCAATGACGTCACTGCGGCTTGCACCACTGAGGCCACACGGCCACTCGAGGAGAAGGGATCATGACGGTTTAAAAAATCTGCTATAACCCGTCTGACGTATGCTTAAACTGTAACAGTGACCCCGAGTTCCGACTTAGGCCAATACCCCTTCATTAGAATTACAATGGAGGTTGACCACTTGATTGGACTAAATATTGCAAAAAATTGTCGCAGCAGCTTGAACAGTTTTGTCACTTTGATTAGAAAAAGGAAAAAAATGGGATATTTTAGAAACCATAGCACATTACCCTGTTGGCTGGAAGATAGGCACAAAAAACTTTACATCTCCATTAAAAAACAAAACTCCCATAATTCACAGTTCATTAAAAGCAGATCTTTCCTAACATTGAAATAATTGTTTGTTCAAGAACCCCAAGGAACAGTGGCTCAACTGCTAAGCAGGTTTCCTCTAATTTTTACCAACTTAAAAAATGCTTCATCTGCAACACATCTATCAAACAACTCAATTTCCGTATTCGAACCTCTTGGTTTAAATTCGCGACCACAGAAAATTCCGCCGAAAATGCCCTGTGGTGCAGTGCCAATGTTTGTCAGCTCGGTCGAAACAGGAAAACTGGCCATCTTAGTTATTAACCCTTTCTCTCAACAACACATTACTTATACTTTTGTTGCAAAAATTAAACAGTTTGAATCATAAACATCATAAAAACTGACCTGCTCTGGGGATAATTTTTTTGCAATACGACAGCGAACAAAATCAGCAACTTCTTCGTTTGTCATAACATCCCATATTCCTAAAAAACAGTCCAGAAGTAACATAACATATTTTTGCCTTTGCTAGCAAATTTTGCTTCTTTTTGAAGATGAGGTATAGACTTGCTGGTATTCTGTTACACAAAGGTAAATTAATTTTCAGTGGGGGAAAGCATTCAAAGAAGAAACGATAATGATAACAATTTCAAAGGAATCCGTGTATGATTTTCATTACCTAAAAACTAAGAGGGTTTAAAAGCGCTAAAAATTTGTGACTTTGGTTCCCAGGGAATCTCGAAATTTTCACTGGTGTTAAGTGCCAATCTTTGTCAAAAGAACTTTTAATTGTATCGATATGAGGAAAACATGTGCAGAAAATAACAAACAAAAAATGACAAAGATTCGTTTAAGCAAAGTCTTGCTGATAAAAAGGAATGAGAAGTTCGATGTTTAACCTTGGCCTAAGAGTCGAGAAATTTAAGTTGGAATCTAAGAGTTTTACTCCTCGTTGGAAACACGTTACTACATTGAAAAGATCAGCCATGTAGGGAAATGCAAATGAACAGTTAACAAAACATGATCCAAACACTCGAAAATAACAGGGATTAGGAAAATCCAGCGAGGATAATAGCCTTTCTCATCATTATCTGAAAAAAACTTTAAAATCTTGAACAGGTGCAGCTTAAAACTTGACGAATTGTTCAAATTAGCAGAGTTTTAAGTGCTTCTTTTTGCCATGCACAGTTTAAATGAGTGTCGAGTTTCTAATCCAGCATTTTCGCTTAAATTTCAAGCATCAGCGGAAAATGATCAAAAAAAGCAAACAAACGGCAACGAGAAACCTACTGTAGTTGAAATATTTTAAGTTCTTGTTTTTTTCTCAAAAATAATAGCAAAGGTCATTTTAAAAATATTTAAAAACACAAAATAGGGCAGATTAGTGAAAATTGTTAGATATCAAATTAACACAAATTTTTCCTTCAACCTTAAGTTTATCCAGTGTTTTAAATTGTAATGCGTATCTATTCTAAGTAGCAAAGATTTGTATTAATGTTGCGTCCCTTCGTTAATAAACACATTGCATCGAAACAAAGGGGAATTTAAAGATATTTAGATACCATGCTGATCATTTCGTTAAATTTCTATTTCTACATTCCAAGACTGGCGAGGCAGTTGGATGTTGTTTTATGGAAGATGAACAACATATATTCAATTGGCAAATACAAGGAAATAATATGCTAAAAACTTGAGACCTCGACCTGAAAGCGACAGCCAAAAGAAAAATAATTCAGATTTAGTAGATACCCCTATGACACAATCAAGTGAATAAAAATTTGGAAATATTTTTTAAGTCACCAAGGGTGGATAAGGTTTCTTAAAAAATGTAAGTAAATAACTATGTCAAAAAAGATAAATGCATTCTCTACTAGAATAAAGGTGATGTTCCTTTAGAAGGACATTTCTAGAGATTAACTGAGAATTTTCATGCGGCAAGCCCATCTTAAAATTCTGACTTGAAAACTGCGCTATATGAAGTACTTATGAAAGCTTGATACGTACCATCACATGCTAGGAAAATGAATTCGTGGTCTTCAGTTATTTGCTTGACAGTGACATCTGGGTACGCTGAAGAAAAAAAAACTAAAATTTGTACCATGATTTTATATCATCAACATATATATTGATAAAGCGATTTGATGTCGAAGAATTCTTTAAATAAAAGTCTGAATGATTGTTTGAGAGAAACATAGACACTGATCAAGTGGATGACTGGAGGTGGAAAATGTGTTTGGAAAAGATATACGTTCCATCGACAGGAATAACAAGATTAAGCAAACATTTAACAAAGGTAGCCACTTTCTTCAAGAATATATGACAATCACTTTTGGCTACAAGAAATAAATAATTTTCACAACTAAGATGGGGTACGCTAAAGACAAAGTAGATTACCGTCGACTGCCTACCTTAGCTTTTCAAATTATATTTCACAAAGTGAGAAACTTTACGTAATTTCGAGATTCTTTGTTATAAGAGAGTTTAACGGTAACACGAAGAATGAACAGCATAAATTATGTCGTTCTAGTTTGCTTTTCTAATAAAATGTACAATACAAATGTCAGGATTGGGAATTTTATGATGAAGCAATGTAAAACTGAATCGCATATAACAATCTAAGCATTGCTCCCTGATTTTATTAATTCTAAAAAGGTTCAGTTCCTAAAAGGAAGAAGTCCGTTGATGTAAAGAATCTCTCTAAATATAAATATACATTTCTGAACTTAAAAGCAGTGATATTTTTAATTGAGAAAGAAAGCTGAACTGAGAAGAAAGTTATTTTCAATGATTCAGATGATACGAAAAAAGGTTTTTTGAAAACAAATGCAAACTTATTGGTACAAACCTGTTACGATTTGCTCTTCTGCCGATTTCGTTGAATTTCTTTTAAAAATAAAATCACCCATTGCTCTAGATAATGCTAAATTTCCTGGAAACAAAGATAAAAGCAAAGTTAGTCCTAGTATTTTAAAGCATACTGCGACATAGGTCATTTTCAGTCAAAAATTACATGTATGTTCTTCAATACCTCTCAGTTTTAATACCGCTTTGATTCATTGCAGGCTTTATTTACAACTTAATTTTACCATATCCTCCCGGGTCAGCATATTCTTGTGTATTATGTAAGGCTTTCACAGTGAAGTAAATATCCTCTGATCTATCGCAGACGAGAGGACAAAGGTGGCAAAATGGAAAGCGTCAAGTTAGAAAGTAACTTAGAAATTTTAAAAAACGTGGAATATTGGAGAGATAGCCATTGGAGTTTAATCATTTGCTACTACATTATAGTAAAAATGTTCAGGGATTCATTTATACATTAGAATATGTCTATTATTTAACATTTCATGCAAATGATACACTGCAAATGATACCGAAGTATAGAACATAGTATATTATGCAATAAACCCTAAATTGTTCTCTAGTTTAGATCATTACTAAAAGGCAAGGGGTTCAAAAAATAGACGAAGGTATTTGCAGAACATGAGATGAAATTAGCAGCTGAAAGGCATCCTTCGTCATAATACAGCTACTGCATGCAGTGACATTATATTTTTCGAATATTGGAAATTTGACATTTTGAAATAGTCTTTAGAATGCCCAAATGATCAAGACTCGAAATGACTAGAGTTTGCACTACAGTGTTTTAAGGAAGCGTCGTTAGAGTTGTGCTAAACCTGAGGATTCTAGTTGTTATTTTTGTTATCTTGTGATCATAGTCGCGATCAACTTCGCCATCGTTGTTGTCATGGTAGCTGTTGTCATGGTTGTTATTGTCAAGGCCGTTGTTGTCATGGTGGTTCCGTTAACATTATTATCATTGGTGACGTTCATGTCTTTCTTACACATTGTCTTTAGTGTGTTCCTCCTTGGCGTCCTTTTAATTTCAATACAACAATCTCATAACCTTCCATAAAAACGGTGTCTTCTTGAAGAATTACACTCAATGGAATTCAGACCTTTTCAATAATAGATTGAGCAATGACATTCGTGGGTACAAAGTTTTAACTGACATCGACCGAAACAGACAACTGGGGATTAAAAACTATATAGGGTTTATCGCAAAAGTTTAATCACAGGGAATCTGCAAATTTCGATTGTATAAAACGCCTAATGTGGCTGCAAATACAACTAGAAGCAGATTATAAAGATTAAATGATTTCTAAACCTAAATCCAAAATAATGCAGAAAGATTCGTTGATTTCATGAAATACATAATTTTCAGAAACGAATATCGTCTTTTTAAAAGAACTTAAACCAACTTGCATACGAAATGGGCAAAAAGCCTAAACAATGCAATCTCGCGAATAAGTTATGACCGATTTTAGTGGAAGTGTGGCGAAGCAACCCTAAAATGCTTTGCAGCATGCACAATGCGTTTGTTGCAAAAAGCATTTTGATAATGATTCGAAATTCAAGTGGCAGTTGGTTAAACAATCAATGCCAAAATTAATTTGTAGCTAATAAAAATGTGCTGAGAGTTCTTTCGAAATCAGTGAGGGAATCTGAAAAATTGCCGACAATGAACTGAAGCTCCATACGCAATGGGAGATGTACATCCCTTTAAACTGCTTGATAATCAAAAAAAATCTTAACAATCATCTTCAGCAGAAAAAAAGATTATGTGATAATTCGCAAAGTTCTTAGGGGCAGTTATGGAAACTCTTATAATTCGAGCTACTTAATATCTATTGAAAAATTAAAAAACTCCAAAACTGGCTCATTCATCTTTTATGCTATTCATATAAGGCGTCACTCGGGCAAGTAATGGAAATTCTTAATAGCTATCTTTGGGTATCTTTAATAGTTAATGCTTTTTAACGGTGCTTGAAATATAAATCCTTATCAAAAGTAAAACCAAGCATTTTAAATTTCGACTTTCTGATATGGAAGGGGGTCAGATTTGATTATTCAGTTGTCCTTAGTTCTAGTATTTGTCGAAAGGCATTTTGGTTATGACGCTTTTTTTAAATATGTGTCCCACTTGTGAATGCCAGTGTCACGGTGAAACAGTAGCATTATTTGCAAAATTTAAGGTCCACTGCTCTCGATAATCACAGAACGACCAGCTATAAAGAAACTGAGCAAAAGAGGGCCTGAGACCGATCCTTGAGGTCCGCATTACTTGGTATTTGCCCAAAAACTATAGGACAACTTTAAGTTAATGATCTATTTCCGTTAATGTGGAAGCTTTGCAAAACAGAAATGCCCCATCACTAAAACGATAGGTGCGTACCTAAACGTTAAGTCTGCACAATCCACTGCTTTAAAATAAACAGGCCTTGGAAATCCTCCCTTATCCGACGGCTTTTTACATGGTTCAATTAAACGCAAGTGCTGATAAACACAATACTCGTCACGTGAACCACATAAGAGATAGGAAAGAAATTTCATATTTATGTATGCCAAACAAAAAATTTGAACGGAATAGCTTAAGAATGATGTTTATAGGCTGTAACTCCGAATTTCTAGGATGATGCATTACATTTGTATTTGCATCAGGTAAATTTCAACTTATGCCTCTCTGTTCTATACACGAAAGAAGAACAGCTCTGCCTACTTGGGATCGAGGAATATTTGAAAAATAAGGTAAACTCAAATTTCGAAAGGTTCTCGACAGCTGCGAGAAAAACGAAAGAAAATTTACCATTAACTCGATTAAACTCTACCCAACCACCAGCAGCGACAATCCTTTTCGTTTCCGCTATGAGAAAAAGCAAATGTACAAGTGAATTTTGAGACAAAATCGCTTTTAAAAAAACAGAGAAATCTATGACTTGATTTTCAGGATAACTTTCAAACACGAAACTAGAAGAAAGTGCCATAGAAAGAATTAGAAAAGCTGGGCTCTATTAGGAAATGGAAAAACGTGGCAGAAATTGTAACAGAATCTGTAAAATTGGCATGTAGTTAGTATTTCCAAGCTATGGGAAGCATTAAGTGTTTTCAGGTAGCTAAATACTTTCTCGTCTTCCCTTATCAAATGCTTTTGAATTACTTGCACATGAAAGTAAAAACTCAATTGAATGCTAAAAATACTTTTTACTGTAAATACTTTGTTTTAATACTTTACAAAATTATATAACGTCTGGTTAATACCTGCGCTTTATGCAAACATCATTAAGAAAGCCGATAAAAGGTTCACGTTATGCGAATTACCAGAAATGAAAAACATTTCAAACGTCAGGTTATATTTGTTAAAAAACAAATCAACTTAGCTGAAATATTAACACAACTGATTTTCTTTGTATATGAAATTTATTAATCATTATGAAACACGCTAGTCCACAAATCATTTCCAGCCTTGGTTTTGTTGACTATAATAAGTTCTAAATAAGTTCTCCTTTCGACCGGAAAGGGCACCAAATTAAATAATTCAGAAAAATGAACAACATTTATTATATTTGCATTTGCTTGAACAGACAAAAAATATTTTGATTAAAATGCTTGTAAAAGAGAGCTTTGCAAAAGGTGCTCATGGGTTTTCAAACAAAACAAGAATATATTACAGAAGGGATTTATGAGCGCTTGTCGGTGGTTTTAAATAAAAAGATGCCGTCACCATCTTATTCGAGGAAATAAAGTAGCCTCGGAAGGTCATTTGTAATAAAGTTACTTCCTTACTCGAAATGAAAGACCCAAGTTAATTTATCCGCCAATACCCGCCAATTTGAGCACCATGAACACATTTCGCCCAAATTGGTGAAATAATTCTGGTGTACATTTCTGGTGTATAGAATACAAAGCACAAACGTAAAATATAGAAAGCTTGGCGAAAAAATAGTATTAAATTATCTGCCTTTTCGATTATTAGATTTTCATCTAAACCTTCAACACTTACCTTCATTGGAAGGTTTGTGATCAAACGATAATTCTTGAACCCGCCCTTTGACACTTGCGATTCCTCTTGAATCGCCACAGTTGGCCTAAAAGTTTGATAGCCATTTAAAATTCGAAAGAACATATTTTTGTAAAAAGATAACATAAACTCTTAAATCAGGGATATACTTTCATGGCCTGAAGTCAATAAAAAAACTCAGGAAACGGAAGGGGGAGACTGGTGATGAAAAAAATAGCTTCAAAATGGACCATCTGCAAACATGATGAAGCATGTGTTAAAAAACCTCAGGAGCTTTTAAATTAGCAGATAATATGTTTATCACGAGATAAAAATGTAATAGAAAATATTTGAAAATATATTTTTTCTATGCAAAGCAAATCGTAGCATTCCTATTTGATTTGGAAGTTTTACTGCATACATTTGGCACAAGAAAGATACACTGGGTGACATTAGCATACAATATCTTAAAAATAGTGTGAAAGTTACACATGCAAACTGACAGTTTTGATATTATAAACAATGAAAATCCACGAGAGCTGGGTACAAAAATCATACATATTGACTAGAATCTTGATTGAAGTAAAAAATAACTAAATGGCTGCAATGAATATTGCAGGCTTTAAAGGGCCTATATGAGAATTAGCTACAAATATTTTAAAAAACATGACCTAGAAACAAATTAGACCAAACTACAGAATGAAATGTCCTATTTTCCGCACATATAAAATTGTCTGAGAAATGAACAAATATTTGTAAAATAATCATAATGAAATTGTTCAAGCCAAAACTATACGATGCACAACAAGACTTACACAAAAGATTGTATTGTTTTTTACGAGAGTGCAAATAGCAGTCGATCCTGCCATTTCATCTTTCATTGATTCGTCTGTAAAACAAAAAAATCTCTTAAATTTGCAGTACAAGATTTCTACATGCAGCAGGGGCAACCAAGCACCATTTTAAATGGGTGCTGTATGGTACTGTAGGTCGCATGGTCCCTGAATGCAAGTAAACACGGGACCGGGGATGAGATCGCATCCAGGCGTTTCCTGCAAATCAGCCACTTTCTATACATACATCAATATTTTCAATAAAGAGTCCTTCTTATTATTATCCCGTGTTTCAAGTAAGCTATACTTCAGTCACGAAAGTCTTGCACTTTTTTAAAATTATAAGTAGTTATCAATGTTGACCTAAAAATCCATTGCGTGCTTGGGAAGAGTCGGCAATTTTTATCAAAAATTATCAAGGAAGTATATCGAAAGACGGATACTTTCTAGCAAGTGTGGTGCGTCCTTACCTTGTAACATATCAGCATCGCAGCTTAAAAAACCACTCTTCAATGCATCTACGATATCTCCCTTGCCTAGTGTGACAATGATAAATAGATTAATTGGTAGGTACTAGGCATCTCTATAAAGCTAGCTGCAGGTACAATCGTGAGAATGAATTGGAGCTTTATTCGAAAAGGGAAAACAAGGCTATTAAGCAGCCTATATTTAAAGTTTTACAAGATAAAGCAGACATGTTCAGTTGTTAGAGGCGCTGACTACGGACTCAAGGGTCCGTGGTTCGAGCCCTTGGCGTGACCAAACTTTCACCTAGAGTGAGAAGAGTCGCCAACTTCTGTAATTCCAGGCGTAGGAATCACGAGGTGTGGTCACATCGAGAGGAAGGACCAGGACACTGCTCGATAAGCATTAGCCTCTCAGTGTCCTAAAAACTACCTTCGGATGCTAGATAGAAACAAATACAAATACATAGGTAGTAACTCAACCTACTAAGTTTTAGACGCAATCTCTTCAAAAACATTTCTTGCATTTTTAACCATGGGCCCCGCTATACTTTATGGCTATCTCATCTCACCGATTGAAGGATACCTTCAATTTTCTTTGATAAAACGAAACACTGAACATTTTTCATTTAAAAAACGGTGGCTTGAACACACACACTTACAGGGATACAAACAAACTATTGTTTATCAATAATTTACTTTCTAAGCGGCGAATGAAGAGTTTCGGAAGGGCGGTAATGAATGTGCAATAGAAAAAGTCTTGTTGGATGACTCACAAACTATCCTTCACGTTAAATCCAAATGACATATGACAGTAAGACTTTGAAATTTGACCGTGGCAATCAAAAATAATTTTTTTCTAGAGTTTTTCTATAGCAACAGGATATTTAACACAACTTATCCACAAAACTACGTACTATAGCCTTTTTGACTGACAATCTTTTTGTGAAGGTATTCTCCACAGTAATGTGCAACTTTCGAACCTAAAAAGTGTGGAAGTGTTTTTAATAATCATTTCAAAACATTCGCTAATAAACGGATACACTTTAGATTATACCTGGTCCTGTAATAACAAAAGAAGGCAAATTTACTAGCGAAAGAAATCACACTCTATGCGCAATAAATACGCTCCTTGTAAGCTTGTAATCATAAAGAATTATTTTCGTCCTTATCACCAGAAAACTGTTTACTGACTGTCGCCAAAAATTCATAATCGAATTTCACTAACCAACCTAAAGTTATTTAAATAAATACAACAAAAAGTTTCTTTTTACTTTCAATAAATATTTGGTTGAAATATCAAAATGAATCTGTAGCTACATATGCAGCTAAACAAACATCTATTTTATATCACCTCCATGCCCATCAAATACGGCAAAGAAAGCTGCATCTTTGTCCTCTTTCAGTGATAACAAAACTGTGTGCTTGTCTTCCATATCTTTTATTTGAGTTAAAGGTGGAAAACATTCAAGAAAGTTTAAACATAATTCAAAAATTTAATAGAATTCCTAACCTTTCACTTTGTTTTAGAGATAAACAAATTCCTGTCCTATAGCATTCCACCAATTTAATGTTTAATTTGAACAAATTTATTTGGCTTCTTACTATAAATAATATAGAAGAAAGATAAACAAAAATGAAAAGGGCTTATAGACTGTGAAATGTTAATACAAAGCTTTCTCTGTTATTAAACAGCAACTGGGAATGAATCCTTCTATTGCAATGTCAGGCTAGGCATGTCTAGAATAATATACAAAGAAATATCATCTTTTACTGCAAAAGAAAATGTTATGGGATGGAAAAAATACTGCGCAGTAGGGGAATAGCAACAGGGGCTTAGCAGTATCTTATTTCCGTCTGCCCCCATTGTGGCCTACAAAAACTACAGTCACTACATGGTAGATCATTAATATTGAGTTTTTGATCAACTATATAAATCAAATAAAGTTGCAAACCTCACAATTTGAAAGCAATACCCAAAAATTGCAAGACTAGCACTAGAGATTTTTTCAGGAGAAACTATATAAGTTGATTCTATAATTGCAATCTTTGTGATAATAATAATGAGGTATTTTGTTGAAATTTTATAACCATTAATTATAACTACAATAAAATCAAAAGGATACTGATCCTCCATCCTTGCATACATGATGCAGCCACTCTATAATTTGCATTACCAACTGCTTCAGTTTCTTTGGTAGTCACTGGCTCTGACAATGTCTGGCCCATGATTAACAACCTTTGAAGTTAATAATAGGTTAAATACTAATAATTAATAATATTGCCTAACCAATAGTAATTTGTGCCAACAGAGTGTGTTCCAGAAATACTTCTTTTCTTTTAACTCTTTGTAGAACAATTGATACCCCTTATACTCTCCCTGTATACCAGTGAATTTTCAAAGAAGTGAAATACAAAGAAAAATTTAAAACTTTCTCAATCAAAGGGACTGCAGATAAACAATCAATTATTTTAAAATTCCTATCAATAGGTATGATTCTTTGTGATATATTTATAGCAGAAGTTGTTCATGCAACTTAATAACATGTTTCCATTGCTTTCCTTATTTCACAATAATCAGCTGAACAGTAAGAAATTGCCACATAATCAGCATTCACCTTCTAGCCTCTCACTTTTTTAAAGAACTTGGAAATTAGTGAATAATAAATGTGAAAAATCAAAAGTTTAAAAACAAATAACAATATGAAATTCTAGTAAGTTTCAAACCAAAAACTTGCTGTAAAAGCGACAAACCCTACAACTTCTTTCATTAGAGATTAATGCTTCCAGAAATTCTAGGTGACAAAACCTTTGATTAGTGAAATGATTATATTTTACTATTGCCTACATATAGACTGACCATTCAAGCAACAAACCATAAGGTCCAAGCAAATCAATCTCAGATGGTTTTTAGTAGTGACATTCAAGGTTTTTGGGTTAGGGGATTGTAGCTAATGATATGCGGGTATCTTGATTTTTGCTGCTGCAGCTATGTTAATGAAGGCATTCTCTGACTTACTTTTTTTTTAAAATATCAGCTCAAAATGAGAAAGCAGTCCTTACTTGTTGGGGGATGAACAGGAAATCGGTTGATGGTCTGTTAGCTTCTAAAATTTTGTATCACATGCACATGAGCAGTTAAAATTGATGTTGTTAATTTACATCATGTAATGTACTCTGTGGTAAGAACTATGGCTCTTATAGGAATAAGCCAGTTTTGAATCAAAAGACCAAAGGGGGGTTAGTAGGAAGGATATATTGAAAAGAGTAAGAATAAAACTCTGGTTTGAATGATGCAACTATGATGTACAATTGTTTTGATCAAATGCTGTGAGGCACCATGAGATGTAAATTTTGTCCACAAGCCTTCACCCTAATGCCCATGTGAATTTGATGCATTTTTTCATTGGTTCAGCCAAATTGATAGAATTGTAGCCCTAAACCATAGAAATCAAGACACCCCTCAACTATAAGACGTTAGTACACTGTTGCTTTACCTGACTAGATTTACATTACTAGACATGTAGATGCTACAAACATGCTATTACAAAACAAGATGCTATAAACATGCTTTATATAACTGATCAATGGCCAAAACAGTAAAGCCATTTCTAGGGTCTCAAAGACAAGCTCTTGTGAGATCCCAAAATTTATTCAACAACAATGTTGAAAATTCAGGCCTGTTGTTTAAACATGAGATTGAATCTAGCAACAAAATTATAGATGACTATCAAAAATTTGAAATGAGTTTAAAATTTTTTCGGTCACTGATTTTTTGGGCCAAAGATTTTATAAGATCCTGTGTGTTATAAAACAAATTATTTTTAGGTAACTTGGTACCTTAATTGTGTTTATAAACCACAATTAAAAATACACGCACACCATCAAAATTTGTTCTTAGAAAAGTAAAATTCCTAAGAACAAATTTTGATCATGTATTTGTGTTTTTAATTATGGTTTATAAGCATAATAAAGGTACCAAGTTTCCTTAATAGAGTTTATAATGACTTCATCGCATAGGACATGTGAACTCCAGGCATGAAAACTCCCCAAATAGCACGACTCCTTGATTTTTTCTGCATACACATATCTAATTAAATCATATTAATACTTGCTCAGTTGTGGTGATTTCAAAAACCATTTATCAGGAAACATTCTCAAAAATCTACAGATATTTTGTTTTTCTTAAATTCACAAAGAAAATGTTATGAATCTGTTACAAGCAATCAGTAGAGAATTCAGCATTTGTGCCTGAAAGTACTGATTTGATTAAATTTCAAGCAATTTACAACAAGGGGCATCAGAATATTTGCTTGAAGGGAGAATCTTTGTGAAATGCCCGGCTAGCATAAGAATCCTCAGTGTAACAATGGTCAAAACCCCTAATAACATAGAAAAATAATGTAATCATGGAGGATCATCAAGTAAATTTTATTTTGCTACTTGGTTGTAAAAATCTGCCAAAAACTAAAACATTAGGATATATTAAAAAGTCTTGAATTCACAATTTTCCCACAGTTTCTGAGCAAATCTGGACATAATTTAAAAACTTCGCAAACAGAGAAATATTCCTAATATGCTGAGTTTGAATATGTCTTTGAAAATTGAACAGGGCAAAAGTTGTATAAGATGAAAATAAAAAACAAAAATGAGAAACAAACCTTTAGTTTAGCTTTCAATAACAAAAACCTACATTTGGAAATTGAATAATATGTTTACATACAAAGGTAAAATATGGCAAAATTTTTAGCATTCTTAGAAATAAAAGACGACAAAGATACAGCTGGAAACACAAATGAACAACCAAAGCTTCCACTAGATGCGTTTGATTGATGAAGAAAACTAAATTCTAGCGCAATTTACTACAGCTTCAGTTTCTCTTTCGCTATCTTGGCACGTATTTTTCTTTAGCGGATACAGATGTACGTGGCGTGAATATTCTCAAATGACTTACGCTTTCAATACGCAAGTTTTTAATTCGCTGGGATGATATTGGAATGAATTGCAGGTTAGCGGAGCGATTATATTTTCCTCTGAAGTTTCTATTGCAATAATTTAAAATACTGCTTTATCAAAGCTAGAGATTTTCAAAAAGAAAAAACCATTTCGATGAGTGAAGTTAAAGACTAATCTTAGCGAGTTTCCTTCCCTTAACAAGTGGCTGATCTAGGCCGACCAAAAAAGTTGAAGGAATAAGACGGATGTGCCGGACTGTGTGCTGACATCGTATATTTTCAGTTGGCAATAACATGTTTCTTAAACAAGAACATTTATCTCGTGTTCGATATAAATTACAAGCATCATTTAATTAACGCATACCGATGTTTACTTTATGTGCATTTTCAGTGTACAGCTCGCTAGAATTATTTGATCCTCCAAGCTACTAATCGTTTCGCAAACCTGTTTGGTTATCTTGTTTAATTGAATTGAAATGAAATGAATTGTTTACGGTTGCTGACCTCGTAACTCTAGTTCCCTTCTCTCGTGCTGCAACCGAGGCTTGGTTTCTTCCACATAAACCAAACCAAAGCCGGTGTTATTATTTAACGTGTGAATTATTTGGTTTGCAATTGAATTTCGAACTGAAGCTGAATTGATCCTAGCAGAAGACGAAATATAATTTTTCCTCAATTTTAGGTAAATTGTACTATTATTGAATTTAAAAAAAGAGAGCCAAAGGGAGAATTCTGTGCCCCTTTCTCGGAAGACAGCATTTCTTCAAAAATGAGTCAATGTTCTCTACCTTTTCCGTTAATTCATTGGCGATCTGTGATACCCATGACCTGGAAAAATTTGGAAAATAACATATAAAACAATAACATGAGAATGTCTGATAAATTAGGGGGCTTTGTGAGGATCAGAACCCGCAAACCCAGATGGAAGTTTGAATAAAATAGGAAACCTGGAATAAGATTGGCCATTCCCTCAACCCGTGAGATCCCAAAGCCCTCTTCTCGAAACTTAGCTGCAGCATCAATAATTTAAAGGTCATTATAAACATTAAGGAAGAGAGACTAATCCCTAGATGATGCTAAACATTCATGTGCGCTTCTGAAGTTATTTCATCAGCTTGTGAATCCTCATCCATATTGATGATGTGATGGGCAAGGGGTTGTTGGACAAAACTGCTCCTTATGTTGAAACATATTCAATAGCGAGGTAAATTTATCGGTATTGTAGAAGCCAATCACAATTTTTTGATATATTGATAGAAGGAAAAACAATCTAAGAATAACTAAGAATGACAGCTACAATGGATATAATAGCGTATACTTTTACAACTGTTGTTTTTTAAGCTTATTTTGTTCGGTCTAAAAGTCGAAGAAATTTCGTTGAATTGTAATGTCAAAATTATAAGAAATTCAATGAAAAGTCATTTCCATGGCAATTCCATTGTCATTAAGTGTCCAAAGCTGGGAGTTTTACATTTAAATGAATAAAGAATAACTTGCGTTTCTACGAAGAAGCAATAAAACATCTCGTACAAATATTTGGAACATCATACCATAAATTAAAAACAAAGTAAAAAGTTGATTCGAATGACTCTCTGAAGAAGTAGGAGAGCACAAAAAGAAGCTGAATATTTTTCAAATTTCATATCATATACTGAAGTGAATCGTTTGTTTTATTGGTTTATTCTGTGATTCCATCAGTGATCTATTAAATTGATTCTAAAAAAAATTGCCCAAAAGCCTTCTTCAAGTCAGTCTTCTTTTCTGCATCTAGATTTCATTTACAACGTCTTAATAGGACTAAGCACTGGAAAATATAGGTTTAGGCTAGTCAGGCTTCGTAGCTGTTGGAGATAAAATGTTGCTAATATAATAATAAGAAAACTATAAGACAATGATACTGCTAGGATTAAAAGTCACATTCTTCGTAGGAGATAAGGCCCCTTACACTACTCCCTTGGACTCTTCTCGTGTAGAAGCTGAGTCTCAAAAGTTTTGGATTTGAATAAAGACTTGGCCGAGCTAGCGAAAAAATGCTAGCTGTTTGAAGAGAAAAAGCTTACGAAATAATCGAAAAAACACAATCAAAAGAAACATTTCATTACTCTCCAAGCCTGTTTGTTTGTATGAGCAAATTGATCCCACTTCGCAGTCCATAATCTGGCAGGTGGGACGAAATCATCGCATGTTTACATGATAATTCTGTCCCATTTTCCAGCTGTAAATGGAAAAAATCAACCCACCCTCCAGCCAGTGCGCTGACAAGTGGGATGAAATTTGATCGCGTTCATATGAACATTTCATCCAATCTTCTAGCTTCGTCCCATCTTCCAGCGGTTATATGGAAAAAATTGATCTCACCTCAGTGAGATCTCAGTTAACCGGGCTGGCTTGTCTTCCATATAAACGCAAAACAAAAAAACACAAAGGATTCAATAGAAGAGTGGGATCCCACCTCTTAGCTCACAGGCTGGAAGGTGGGATGATTGTTTCCATAAATAGACACTCAAGATGGAGCTTGAATGGCTTTCTAATAATTAAGAGTTATATCCAGAGATGTCGGGAATGCTCTAGAGCAGAGGGAGGCTGCCTCTTCTTGAAGGACACTCTTGAGAACAAAAACAAAACGGCATGCTGTATGTTTAATTTCATTTTTTGCCATAATAAAAATTTTAATAGAAGTTCTAAATGTTTTGAATCCTTTCTACAAGCACCGATAGGGCAATCTTGACTGCCATGTGCTCGCGTTTCTAATTGGCCTATTTTGATTCACAACTAGGTATATATTTGTTATCATTGTTTTATCGTTTTATACTTTAATGAGTGCCAGGGAGAAAGCTTTAACATGCCTTAAAATGTTTGCCTTTTTTCAAAGCCAGAATTTTTTTTTCATTTCAGATATTTTTAGAAGGAATGATGTTGGTATTACACTGTCACAAAAAGAACTAGTTGGTAAGCAACCCGTTAATTTCTTACCCTTTTCTACTTATCAATAGTTTAAAAAGAAGCTTTTCAGCAACTTTAATCACAAAATCGTCACGAAAGTGAATAAAGTTCAGTACGATATGAAAACTTGTTATGAAAAACATGTACAGATTTGTAACAATCCAATAAAAGGAACATAAAGCTCACACCGGGGTGCCTTGTCTAATTAAAATATCACGGGTTCTATGTTTCATTTTACTATGAATTAATCATTTATATATAAACTTTTAGAATTTTCCGTTTCATATGCTTGAAATTCGGAACTTACAATTAAAGCAAAAACAGACTATCTTAGTAGGGAAATTTTACAGAAACGCAAAGTAATCGATAACCCAATGTTGAAAAGCAACAAATTAAAAAAAATATAAAGACATACATAGAGACAAAATAGGCTGTTTATATAAAGGGGATTATCAAAAGTAAACTAGGATAGGTTTATCATTGATTTCTCTTAACATGCTCTATCACATTGTTGTTATTGTAAATGTTCCCTTCTCAATGTTAAGCCTTCAAAATTTCGAAAGCCCCTTTCACCTTTCATTGATTATGCATTATTTCAACGATCCATTATCATAAAAAGGAATTTTAAGATCACCCAACTGAAGAACGTGTAACAGAGTTATCAATTCCGGACAACACGTCGCCCCACCCAACCTATCTATTGTAAGTAGATAATTAATGTATTTCTGTTTGTTTAGTTTAGTATGAAAATTGCAAATACAGTTCTAATTTATCAGAAAAAGCAGTCGATTAAAAGCGATTGAGAAATGCTTTTCGTTGCGTGATCCAATAGAGGATTTACACGTTACATTTTTACAGTACCGGGATCCTTTTATTTTTGCTCCAGGTAAGAGGTATAATTTGTCAATTTGTCGCTAGAATGGCCATGAAGAGTGGTGCTCTTATCCCAGCTCACCGCAATGTGTTATAGGCAAATCTTGATTCCCAGCCTTTTTTTAAACCTCCTTCGTAAAGTGGCTGCAAATTATCCCAGTCCAAATGACATTGGAAGCCTCAGTTCCTTGCTATTCTTCAGGGTACATGCTACAGTATTGGAGTAGGCTTGCAAAATTACAAATCACCCCTCCAATTTTGAAATATTCTTTGGATTTATCAGGTAAACATTTCACATAAAAGGTCTTATACAAGCGAACATTCAGATAATTCATTAAATTCAAAGGGATACTATTACAAAATAAAAGTATTTTACTCATGCTAATTAATTTTTTTGGGGCCCCACGGTATCACGGCCCTTGCCCCAGGCACATCACAGTTCATTGCCGCGCCGCAAGCGTATAAAATGAAAATAAACCCTAAGGACAAGATAACTAGAAAATTATACTTTCAAAGCTTATCATTTCGGTATTCGTCTTAGTTTCAAAAATATCCTTTTGCTTCAAAATCACATTCAGGACAATGAATTGTTTGTACCTTACTGGGGTGCTATTTGGCTTAAACTTCTATAATTTCCGTTTTCGTGTTACTTTCCACTTATCTCTTGTCTTCGTCATAGATCTAGGGCCAATTCAAGACAAGTCAAGACAAATTCAAGTCAACAAAGCTTAAACGAAACCTTGCAAATAATCACATGACTGCTTTCTACCCGCAGTACATTATGAATTACTTTATGTGAAGGCTGAGCATAAGCCAACGATTATAGAATAAAATCATAGCAATGTTTGAGTTGTAAGACGATTGAAATAGGCAGTGTTCCATCCAAGCATTTGTATTAATATGGCATATAGTTGGAAATCAACGGTTATTGGCAACTACACATATCATCTCTGATGTTATACCATAATTTTTGTAAATTAAAGAAAAATCAATAAAAGCAATATTTACAATCCTGTTAATAATTTGTAAAAAAGCAAAAAAAAATACACACATTTAATAGCCTCTCGATATCTATCTTGATTTCAGAAATGGAATAAATGTTCCTCCTAATGTTAAACACGTGATACGCCAGCAATTGGCATATTTCACTCAACATGAATAGATACTGAGAAGCGATATCCTACACTAACGTTCTGAAGGCCCATGCTTATTTAGAAGGAGTACAAAAATTAGCTCATCGATATATAAGAGTTAGAAGCAATACAGAACGCTAGAAAACATGAGAATAAGACAGATATACTGAGTAAAAAACCGCCAAATATTCAGCCCGGAGCTATATACATAAACACACGTTGTGCTTAGAGCAAATTCTACGGACAATTCATCGGAATTTCCTTTGCATAAGCTAAATCTTTACGTTATCACATTGCTGTTTTCATTATTTGAAGGTAAAATATCATGTATGTACAAACAACTAATCAAAAAAAATATTGGCGCGTAAATTCTCTTGCCGTTAAAGAGAATGGGAACAATTTGTGTAATCGAGACAACTTGATTTTCATGTAGAAAATACTTATTTCCAAGCAACACAGGAGATATCATCGGTGACATAAAGAAATTTATAGGACAGGAGTTTGTTTTTAGATTTTACCACGCGGAAAAAAAGATTCACTTTAAAGACTAGGCACGATGACCGAATAACAGACTCTTGACCGTACTGTCTCTCCTTTAGAAGGGCTTTTGTTTCCTTTTAGGAGGTACATGAACAGTAGGTGATATGACGTTAGGAAAGGCTTACGTGAATTGGTAAAACAGCTTCTACTTAGGGAAAGCCAGAAAGTATAAAACCAAATCTAATGTCGCTTCATGTGCAGCGACAGGTGATCAGACCTTGAGAAGGAGCGTTCACAGTGCGGGCACTTGAATGGCTTTGCACCCGTGTGCTTACGATAATGACGCGTAAGTTCATCTGATCGCGCGAATCTCCACGCACAACCCTCCCATGTGCATTCGTATGGTTTCTCTCCTGTATGAGTGCGCATGTGCGCTTTGAGATGAGAGCTCTTCGTGTATATCTTATCGCACCCTGTGAAGGAGCAGCGATGAGTCCGTCTCTTGTTTTTAGAACTTCCAGGAGAACTAAAACGAAAAGACATCAGGATTAAATCAAAAATTATCAAGAACAAATTTACACAATAATTTTATGACCTACAAAGGAAATTTTAATTCCATGTTACTAATTATGAAAAGATCAGATATTACATCATAGAGAAAACCTCTAATTAGCTTTAAAAATTATGCATGAAGTTCAAGTTTATAAGCAGGGAAGCAGGGACACGTTATTTAAGATAGAACTTCTAAACTAAGATCTTAGACAATGTTTTCTTTTAAATATAAAAAAGAGTCGGCAACAGTAGAAATGATGAAAAAAGAAGGCAAAATGTTATGTCATGTTATGAGCTTGATTTGAGTGCCTGATGGTAAAATTCTTTTAAATACTATTTATGTGTATAACGATTGATTTTATTGCTGTCCAGAAATATTTCTCATATTATATCTAAAAATAACGATAAACAGGGGGCCTTCTACTTCAATGAGAGTAAACTAAGTCAAGCAAAATCCTTACTTAGCAAATTTATTTGTAAACCAAATCCTCACAATATATAATCAAATTCCTTGAATGATTAGAACAGAACAGACTTCGTTTTGCTTGATGAGATAAACACAGGCAAAAAATGTGGCGAATGGTGTGAAGCCAAGACAAGCCCACAGCTCACGCAGCGTTTAACACGATTTCATTATCTTTAACTTAATAAACTTAGAAAGCGAATGACGAAAATTGTCATTATAACATCTTTCAATTACAAAAATTACAGATGAACATTAGTTAATCAACCAGCTATGGAAAGGGAATAAACCAAGTTGCAAAATTAGTCACGAGACAAAAATGGTAAATCCTCGAATTGGACCCACCTCGTGTAGCCCCATACCCCAATAATCCCCCACACTTGACAAATCACACTTTCAAAAGAAAATCAAAAATTTTGAAAACAAAGCAATCTCGAAATGTTTTTTATTGGCAAAATCAATTTGCACATTTCGAACATTTCGCACAATTTGCACAACATCAATCCAATTTTCGCAAAATGAACTTGTAACAAGTGAGAATGCTTTCAAAATGAGTTTGTTTGTTTGTATGGCAACTTTTAGATAATTCTTATAAGCCCCTACCCTTGGGTAATCCCTTCCATTGAAATAGCCCCAACCCAAAAATGTCCCAAATTAATGAGCCACCGGGGACAAATTCAAGGATTTATGGAAAACTAGAAATGAAATATTGAATCTAACTCTGGCTCCTGGTTGGGAAGTACTGGTTGCAGCAAAAATGTAGAGTTTGGCGGGATTATCGTCGTAGTGGTACGGATCCTAAAATGCAGAATTTTTCATATAGATTTCTTTATAGGGTACTATGGCGGAGAAAGGAATAACTTTTTCGAGGACTTCATTCGCTAAACGCGAGCAGGCCTACAGAGAAGGGCAAGCAAAGGGGACAGTTACATTGGGCCCGGTTAAATTGCTAAACAATGGTCTAGCGTTAGTTTGAAAAAAAACTATAGAAAAAAAGTTTATGTTGGGATCTTATAAAAGAGACCCGTTGTGTCTGTGCTGCCCAAAGCCTGTTGCGGCTCTACACAGGACAGTATCAGTTGGCAGTGATATTTCATTTCGATATTGAATACCTTGAATAGAAACCCAAGTTGGAATGGGCAATCGTTCATTCAAGTGACGATAAACGAGAACCACGTAGAAATGATTTAACGGTAAAATTATACTCCAATTCATCCTTGAAACCTCAATATTTACCTTTCATTCGTTTGAACAAAAATTGCAGTCAAATTGCTATGAACAAGACTACTATAGTTATATGTAAATGGATAACCACCTGAGTGAAAAAGTTGAACGAGAAATTCAAAGTAGACTATAAGGTATTCTAAGTTATATACCTTTCCTGAGTAGGTGCTGGTGCAATCGCACGGTATTGTTCTGGGATCGGGGGACTTTTGTTAAGACCTCTTCCTTCGACACCTGAAACCGATGTCATAGTCGGCCTGGGGACGACAACAGATTCTCTTGTATACTCTACGAAAGTATACTGACTTCTGGGTGAACCAGTGCCACCACTAGGCACACACGTGATCATCGACGGCAGCGAATCATCCTAGAGCACAAAGCAATTAGATACAGGATGATAAACCAACAGTGAAAAATCCGGAAAATATAATATAATCATCATAACAAGATACACGATAACAAGATACATGATCACGATCATTCACGATCATAATAAAAATGTACACGACAGACCACACAATGGCCATCAGTACCGTGTAATTCGATATAAACATAACGCATAAAGACCATTTCGATAATATAACTCAGTAAAATTACAGTGATGCCATGTCATCATAAAAAATAACAAATATAATAATCACATAATTAAATAAATAGTCTGGTAATAACCATAATAACTCTAAATCATTATGACAATCATTATTAATGAACATGGAGTCAATTCTGCCAGTTGGATAGTCAAAATGAAATCAGCTACCTATTTCAGAACCGATTGCATGTTTGTTATAAACAAAAGTCTAGTAAAACTGAAAAGCATAGCACATTTTTGGCTTTTTGGTCAAGAAGATTTGGGATTCTCATCCTTATTATAAATAGCACACACCAGGAAACAAATCAATTTTGAATTTTTGAAAGGGTTTGCACATACCTGGTGAATGGCATTTGCCGATTGGTAATATATTGCAGCTTGAATAGGCGAAGCACTGCCTGCAGATGCAGCTCTCGCAGCGGCGGCTTCTTGGCAGTGAATGCACTAAGAATCGTGAAAACAACTTTATTATCAATCAAAATAGGCCAATACCATGACGCATAAAGGAAGAGAACCAACAATCTATATCTTGGGATATTTTATTGCAAAGTATCCGCTTGGGGGGGGGGGGGGGGGCGAAGAAAAGTGGCTTCGTGGTAATCGGGCATAAAAGCTTCTAGAGGTGTCGTTAAAACGTCTTTGCCACTTAGAGCTTAGAGTCTTATAAGCAAATAAGACGCGTTTCGAGATGGGAACTGTGCTAATTGCTAGATAACTTTTTTCAGGCTCGTCATCATAGTCCTGCGACACAATTTGCCTCCAAACTCCACGGCATAGACCCTTCTTAGCAGACTCTCCTTAGCTGACCCTCCAACGATACATTTACTTCGACTTTCCTAACCACCAGAAAATATCAACTACCACGAGATGCCCAGAGCTTTGCTAAAAATGTCCCACTTCACGGAAACAAAACACATTCTGGATTTGCTAGAAATCATGCGGTGCTAAAAATTTTGAGCACATGGTGATATAGTTCACAATTTAAAAACTGATTTGACTTAAGCGATAAAAGGTATACGTTGAAATGACCTGACCTATGTGTAGCGAGATCATTCTAGATACATCTGCGTTAACGTAAGGCACGCCGGCTAATGTATTTGCCACCACAAGCTTACGAAAAGAACAACAGGACTAAACAATTAACCAACTAGGGCAAGGGCCAAAATAAAAGCTTAAACCACTTAACCATTTAGGCATCCATAAATTGTCAACTTTGACAACAGTTTAAAAACCCTAAAAGTTAAGAAAGGCCGTAGGACTTAAGGGCTTTGAGAGCCTCAGAAAAAATAATTGCATTAACATCTAATAACGTTACAAACGGTCCTAACACAGCATTGGAATTCCAAGAATAAATATTCGCCGACATAAAGACGAATTCCGTTAACCAATCTGATCATACGATTTCAGCCACCAAAAAGCGAAACGCAAGATATTTTCTAAACATAAAAATCCGTTCCTTTGCATTCGTTTCTTTTTCAGCCATAACCAGCCACAGAGAAATCTCTAAAAATGGTTGCTTTACGTGTTCCTCATTGCATTAGTTTTAAAAAGTGCTTTAAATTTAAGAAAATCATAAACAAAGGTTCTCAGCTCTTCAAGGCTTGTCAACTTTTTGCAACTAACCTATTTCTTCCAAGGAACACTATCACAATCAACATAGGCTTTAAAGTTGAATTTGCCATTCTGTTACCTAGGCTGACACAGGGCACTAAAATATTAACGATTTTCTAAACTGGCCTAACTTAAGTTTAGATTGCTCTTCTGATCTAGAAGAGCTGAATAGGTTAATAATCAAAGTTAGAAAATGTTAGGCAGTCACAAAACATTGGTTGATATGGCTCACAACATTGTACATCGTGTATGCCATGGAAATCTCTAACAGATTCACAAGTACGGATTGCATCGAAAAATTGCAAATAGCACATCCTGGTCATTTTTGTCTCTCTATGAAGACAAATGAAAAACAAAGTATCAAACTTTAGCTACCTTCTCCTCCCCATTGGAATCAATGTCAGGCCGTGGATATATAATTGAACTTCTGTGAGGGATTTCATCACTTACAGGCTCAGTCTGAAAAATAGAGCGATTTCCTGATAACATGACCAAGTATCTTCCTACATCAACATACATAAAAGTATTTCAAATTTATATTGCCACATTATATTGTAAGACAAGCCAGTATATTTATAAAGGTTATATACTAAGCTTGTAGTAAGCATATCACAGCAAATTTGCACTTAACCAGAGAAAAAATAAGCCAGATGTAAAATTGAATGCATTAAAAAGTTAATGAGACTGAAGGTGAGATTTTGATTTGGGAAAGCTACAGTGGGCTTGTGAGTACAACTGGGACAGAGTTTATATGAGAAAAACAATGCAACATTGGGTGAGGCTAACCAGTTGTCTAAAAAGCAACAGGTAATGCTTACCCCCTTACCTATCAACCACACATGTGCAAATACTGTGGTGAATACTAATAAATCAAGAGCAATTGCTTACACCTTCTCCTATTCATATCATTTGCTTGAAATCTAAACACCTTTGTATTACATCTAGCCTTTATTCCAATCCCTATGTGGGTACCAGTCACAAAAATATTATAGTTCAAGGTAGCCTCTTTTCTATATCAAATGAAAGTTTGATGACACAAACCTGAGTAAATAAAAGTTTACATTAAATTTCAAGGAAAACTAATTATTCAAAGAATGAAATTTATTTACCTTTATTGGGACAACAAACTTTGTTTCTTTTTCAAAGTCACTTGGGCTAAATTTGATAAGAAAGAGATTACTTAGAGGAAAAGATAATACAATAATCATATCTAGAAGGAAATCCATAAACTTTTAAAAAACTTGCCTGAAATGGTAAAAAAATGACTAAAAAATCATACAATTTATATTCTTATTCATTGTAATTTCCATTGAGACAGCAAAATGCAGAGATTTGCACAGAAAGCAAAATCTGGTAATGTTGAATCTGTTACAACTATTGTCAGCTAGCCCTCAAGCCATGCTGATATTCAGTCTACTGCTTTGTATAAGCCAAATGCCTTTGTTAAATAAATTCCACATGGAACAGCTTCTCAGTTCATACCCTTCTTCGATATCATTGAATAATATATTGGTGTTAATGTGATATTTCCACTACACATTGGACAGGGACATTAAATTTTCTTAGCATTTTTTGCAGAGGGAAGTGTTGTGCAAGTGAAAAGCCTTTTTGACTTAAAATAACTTTGAAAAATTTTCAGCTATCTTGACTTAGGAATGTTGCTTTTACAAATTTCTATGATTGGGCCAAAACTGATGTAAGAGGAGAATTTGAGTTACATTTTTCTATGATTTCTTGATTCTCAAAGATGCTAATAATTTTGTGTGTGGATATCATGGACCATAGAAGCAGACATAGGTAAGCAAGCTTTTGCTCAACGTTTTATACACCTATTTATAACATTTTGCCATTTTAAGAGATAATATTTTACCATTTTTGCTTATCAGACACCTGCAATAATGAACTCTGTCACAAGAAATGCAATGGCAGACATACATTTTTCCTTTTTATTAGAAAGGTCAACATATGGAAAAGTAGACTAGATTAAAGCACAGAATAGAAATGACCAGAAGGGTCACTCATGTTGGCATCCTTTGTTGCAAGTTCACTCCATTCTATCTGGTGTCTGGCTGTCTGTCCATACAAAAATCGTTTTTAACTTACATGAAAGGAGGTAAGTAGGCTAGGATGTTTCGCAATTGAAAGCATGGGCTTGTTGATGCAGCAAAACAAGATCCCTGGAATACTACTGGGGCTGTACTTTGCCCCCTCATGAAGCAAAAAAAGAGAGAAAAAGCACAAAGGCAGTTAGTTTGTTATGGATCAAGAGTTTTGGAAAAGATATTTAAGTGCTGTGTCATCTAATAATCAATGTCATACATATTTCTTTTCTGTGATTAGAGACAGCACTGATTTAGTAGCTTTGGCAGTTGTGTCTTAAACAGGCAGTGTTTTACACTAAGGACGCCTGCGCCTGGTGGCTGTAGGAGCAGTGGTCCCTTGCCCTAGCGAATTTTAGCATTTTTCTTCCTTTCACTGTTGGTTTGCCCTTTTTCTTGGTGCTTTGCCACTGTCGCCTTTGCTGCATCTTTGCATGCTTCTCTGCTTTACACAGAAGGATTTTATGTACACATATATATGTGAAACCAGCTGTTTTTTTCCTTTCAAGCTATTGTTCAGGGAATGCATTAACCATGTTATGATAAGTTGAATTTGTTGTCTATTACCCATGAATTATAACCTCAGAACTTGTTGCAGGCCAGTAAAAACCGGATTGGGTGCCACAGTTGGCCTGCAGGTTATAGTTTGGACACTTCTGGGCTAAGCCATAAACTTACCCTATATAGCAATTTTTTGGTCCCAAAAGACAAAGAGTTTCATCTTTTAAGACAAAATCTGCAGCATGGGGAGTCAAAAGACTTTATCATAAAATTGCAATAGTCTTGGAGATAAAAAATGTTTGATTTATAGTCTTTGAGCTCTGTTCTGTCAAAAAGTATAGCAATTCATTCACTGGAAAATCATAAAAAAGAAGAAGAGCACCATGGAGAGACCAGAAGCAACAGTCATCTGTGGACGGCTAGCAAAGATGAGCAGCCTTAACCAAATTTCTTCTAGTAATTTGGCTCCTTTTTCTTCCTATTGAAAGTTTCTTTGCCCCTCGTTTGGCCTCCCCAGTTTTTTTAAAAGTTTTTTTTAAAAATTCAAAGTTTTCTTCGAAAGATGTTTATTCGTATATTGACTGTGTTAGGGTTGCTCTCTTTTTTTGCTTAATGTGATATTTATTGCATTTTGCTTATTGTGATATTTATTGCTTCTACTATTTCTTATCAAAATTCTATGATTTAAAATTCTGTGTAACAGAATGGTTTGCTGGGGGGTGGATATAAAACATAGCTTCTATGGAAAAATGTTACCAATCAACTCAGGGGCAGATACAGAACAAAAGTTGACGGTCGCACATAAACACTACCCGGCAGGCAGTCTAGGGGGCCTCCCTCATGGTCAAGGGTAGAGCCATAATAGGGCCCCAGCCCCCGGAACCAGAGCAACTAGGTTTAATTTTAAAGGCAAAAACCCTAAAGCTCACAATGTCGATTATTGAAACCACTATAAATAAAAGGAATAATTTTGCCTTTTTTCAAGATAGTCATCTTGATTTTTGGTCTAGAATATCATTTTCATGTCTTGTAAGCGTTTACTTTCTAACTGCGATTGTCCCGCTAAGCAAGACTGATACACTTTGATTGATGAAACGCCTTAATGGATGCCCTTATCTTTAGGAGCGGAAGTTGCCTCACCATTGAGGTTTGCAGGCCTTGTAGTAGTTTTGAGGGTAGCGATGGGACTGGGGCCCTGAAACAATCAAATTGTTCAGTCAAACATTTTTCCCTTTTAAAAAGTTTTCCAAATTTTCTAGCAAATCCAAACACGCAGTTGAGATAAAATATATTGAGATTCAAAAGTGTACACTTCCTGTGCACCTCTTCCATATAGATAAAGAAAATTGGTATTCTTCTGCTTCACAACTTTCAACCTCATCCACTGTCTTTCCATTCCAGCAGTTGTGTGGCACAGTTATCTAACATAGTGTTTACAGACTTTATGTGCCGCACAAATATGTGAAAACTTGAATTTTGATTGGTGAGATTTGGTAAAATATTTGCATAACAAAGAGCCTTGCACATTTGTATGGCACTGGCGACATGTTTAAAAATCCTACTGTTTACGGTCTAGGATGGTCTTTGAATTTCTTCTATATTGAATTGAATCGTGGCATTGTGTGTAAGATCGACCAAGGTTCGGTCTTGTGTTTATTGTGTAAAGAGAGTATTATCTGTAAGGAGGGAAATCAAAGATTTTGGTAAGCATGAATGCCTTATTGCTATAACTGAAGACTAAAACTAAATTCTGAAAATCTGACGTTCTTCCGTGCGACCTGTGCAACACCCTGAATCCGCCCCTGAATCAACTTTACAAAGCCAGTAAGCCTTTTGTTTTGAGAATGTATAGTTCTTCTGTTGAAATTGTAATGTTCATGATGCATCATTGTTAAACAGATAAAACTCAGTGGAGTAAAGGCCCAAAGTTACCTCTAGTTAAATGACAAAGAGTTCCAAACTTTTAGGGGCCCCCAGCAACAATTGTTCATTGTTATTTTTCTTAGAGGATGCAGCTGCTTTTTATGCCACTAATAAAACTATTTGGCATAATGAAAACCTCCTTCATAGAGCTGTACCAAGTACTCACTTATTTAGGGGGCATTAAAAATCGTTGCCTTGTAGCTAATTTCGAGTCACCACGACACTGCTTTCCATTCTACTAGTTCCAAAATAATGGCTAGCATTGGCCCCTATAACTGAAAGTTTGGCCCCCAGCTAGCCCCCATCCCAGATTTTTAAGGCTAGATTCGCCACTGTTGATTACCAATAATTATTTCTTTTTTTCCAAATTCACTTCTTTCATCAGTTTCTTATACAAATTGTTGTGTTTAACATTTTGCGGGGCAAAACACTTAAAAGAGTGTGAAACCCAGACCAGAAGATTAAATTGAGGCACTAATCTGAAAACAGTAATGCTGTGTGTGGTTAGCAAGTTCATTAAAGAAAGACAAAAAATCTTTGTCTTTTGCTAGGCTATAGCCCCTCAGCCTGCTCAACCTATTACTCAAATGGGCTTTTGCTAAACTGCCTCATCATTTTACCACTATATTTGATTTATTTAGCTTAAAAGGTAAAAATTAAGCAAAAATTTTATCAGAGCACTCTTCAAAGAAACATATGGTAGAAATAATTTTTCGTTCAGTTCTACTAACTGAACTTTTAACATACATTTACCCCGATATTCTTTACCATGATCATGAATTGGCCATGACCTTTCTAATCACCAACAAAGGTGCAGAATCTTCAAATTTACATTTGCATGCTCCAAATATTACTTGTTTAGCCACAAAACTAAGACAGTTAGAGGCTTTTTGCAAATCTGGCATTTGTGGTTTAAGTTAGAATAGAATTACATTGAACTGTTGTATATTTTAACATTGCTATTGGTGGGTCAGAAGAGTTTGAGTGAACCTTTCCAAAATCGATTTGAGGAAACCTTTCCAAAAGTTGATAACTTTGTCATACGCGGCTATACCTTTAAACCCTAAATCAGATCAAGAAACAGCACACAGGTTAGGAAGAAAGGAAATATTAAAAGCAGATTATCTTTCAAATTCCTTAAAACCACACCTTTCTTGTAATTATACTGAAAACTTAAGAATTTTTCAATCACAAAAACTTGAAAAAATTCCGGAACTTTTTGTTTCACACCGGTCGTGAGTAGAAATGCTCGAGGAATGAAGTTTGTTTACGTTCCGATCCCTGAAGTCGATGTATTTATGTATCCGAGACGACGGCAATCTACGATTTGGCTAAACACGCTAAAATTAATAATTTGTTTTCTGAAATAAGCATTATACCCCTTAACCTTGAGGGTTGTGATTGTACCTTTGATCAGAGTCGTATGCTATCAATCAAAACTGGACAACTTCATTCGACAACAAGCCACCACTTTCATGAGAGGAGAAAGCTGAAATCGTTTAGGCCGCTAGCTCTCCTGCACGAAATTACTCTTCTAGACCTTACTAAAGATTGAAACGTAATATCTGTTATATTTTAGCTCAAAATATCACATAGGTATCTTACAGATAGCCGCCGTGCGAGTGTTTGAGACTTCTGATTCTCAGGCTTACAGGTTGCTAGTTTGAATGAGGCAAAGGCGAGGCTTGGAGACATGGCCGCACCCAAAGTTTAGAGAAACCACCCTCGCAAAAGAGGAAAAATAACATAAAGTAACTCGTGTACAGACGCAAAACTAACCTCGAAGTTGATGTGCAGGCATCGCATAACGTCGTCTGGGTTTCAAAATCTACAAAAAGTGAGTGAGAAAGGAAATAAAAGCGAATTTAGAAAGAACAGTTGTCGCCTAATTCACGAAGGAAAGCTAGCATGTTGATATGGGCAAGCTATTACAATAATGGCCTAGGCGCTAGCCATCAACGAAGAGATCGGGTAACAAATGGGGGAACGAGAAATAATTAAAAAATTACTTTACCTGGTATTCCATCAACTTGACAGGCTTGATCTTGGGTTTGCTTGGGCTTTTTTGCTGGAGGTGATTCTTGGTCTTCTTCGATTTTGACCGCATCCATGGTGGAGAAGGGCGGAATCCCTCTCTTTGAACACGCCCTTGAAGAAACCTTCTGGGGATTGGGAACAATAGCCACCTACTTCCTGGCAGAATCGATGGAATTTCTCAATTGATATTTAAAATGTACATGTAGATCAGCGTTACAATAATTGACCCTTTATTTTTGTCAGTTGGCTTATGTTGTTTCTTCCTGAGGCAAGGGTCTTAAAATTATTCTGATATTGTAAAAGGCAGATGTTTTCTCTGATCGTGTGATTTGTTTTCGATTGATCATCAAAGGATGTACCGGTCTACACTCTTTCATTGCTGTTCTTAATTTTTTTTTAGAAAATTTGAGGCTGGATTGTTCTTAGTTTGTTTTTAAATTTTTTAGGTGTAAGTAGGCTCTAAAGGTCGGGTAATGGTTACTCTACCAACATTAGTATGAATATAACCGAGCACTTTGTTTCATGCCATTAAAATTAGTTCTGAAGATCTCTATTTCATCTCTCCTCATGAATCTTCAATTACAAGCTGCCGTGTCCCCCACTTTTTCCACTTTTATGTAAATTTCCTATTCTTTCTTGTACCTTTTTTACTGTTGCTTGTAATAATTTTTGGAAAGTCAAATTGTATAATATTAATAATTATGTCACAAGCGTATGTAATAATAAGCAGAGAGATAGGGTAATAGGGAACTGGGCTCGATAACCTTTCAGGTTTATCTCAGTGTCCTCGGCAACACTCATGTACATTCTTTTTATAACCTTTGATAACCTTTATGAAAATAAGTAAATTAATCTTTGATATACACGCTATGAGAATGTTGCTTAATAAAATGAGATTTGAACAATGACTAAAGGTAAGCAGATACAGTAGCCAATTCTTACTATAAAAAAAAGTTACAAGAAGGTATGCATTTTTTAGAAGGTAAGAAGGTAAGAAGCCTGTTCCTTGCCCCCGGTCGTTCAGCCACGGTGCCACTAGGGGGGTCTGAGGGGCTGAAACCCCTCCACTTTTTCAAGATAAAAATTTTTTGACCGTCTTTTTTATTGTCTTTGAAAACAGAGTATAAAATAAAAGGAGAACATTTGTGTGAGAAATGCTTATTTTTATTTGACCTATTCACTAACTTTCTTAGGCATATTTATATCATTTGTTTATTTTTTGCATCAATTCAGTAGTTAACTTTCTGTATCATTGAAATGTCTGCATTTTTTATGTATAATCATTACCTACTTAAAATAAACGAGATGCACAATTCTGGTTGAGATGTAAAATTCTCTCAATCAATACAACAGCTTCTTGTCATTCGAATTTATGTATTCCTTGAACAAAAGGTAACATTTTCTTGCTTTCCCCAACGTCCGTCACATAACTCCCCCCTCCCAAATTTTTCTTAAAAATCAATAATAGATTTTTTTCTGAGAATCGTCGAATTGTCTACTATGAGCGGTTTAGTAATTTGTTAAATTTTAGCTTGGGTATGCATTTTTAGCCATTCTAGCAGGCTTAATTTCAAAAAATTTCTCTCGCGTTGGACCTAACCATGGTGGGTCCTCCAATGTTACTGAACTTGATTCTTAGCCCTCCCAGATTCAAGTTCATGGCCCTCTCTGTCGTTCAGACGTACCTGCTATAGATCCTTGAATAAGCCCCCGGGCCTCAATAATTTAGGAAAATTTTAGATAGGAGCTAATTCATGGGGGCCTATATGAAGAGGGGGAGAGCTGTATAAAAACCATCAAAATCGTCTACAAGTTGACACGCAGGTTGACTCGTTTCGTGGTTTTTTCTCAATTTTCAAATTCATTTCGTTTGCATTTTCACTTAGCAATAACTCTTGTAAGATATCATAATTCAGACAAGATAACTTTTCATTTGCCACTGAATTTGTAATCATGTCCATAAGACACATTATCACCCATGCAAATATAGACACAAATTGTTCAATTTTGTGTACTTAACGATTCTGCTGTTTACTTTGCACCAGTTTTGTTTTTTTTTCAAATACAAGTATCTAGGCCGGGATGGCCCTTAACAATTTTACAGCGATATAAGTGAATTTTTTTAAAGCTACGAACAATAACGAAACTAATAATTTAACTACAAAGTTTGCAGGCTCTATAATGAACGATCTTCAATAATTAAGGTATAATAATTGCATAAAAGTATTAAACGCTTAAATGCTGGGGTCGCTTAGGAATTTCGACCTTTTCTCAAAGGACTTCTTGGAGAATTTCAATTCCAAATGAACATATTTAATTCGTTCAATGAAACAGTATTTGGAAAACTTCTATATATCTCTTCTAAGAATTTTTGTCGTTCCTCATTAAAAAGGGAGCAAGATAAAATGAAATGGACTTCATTTTCAACTGCGTCAATATTTAGACTTTTACAATACAGACAAAACCTTTCGTCTCTTGGAGTTTTGTTCTTACTAAAACGTCCAGTTTCAATTTGGAGATTATGAGCACTGACCCTTAGTTTTGCTAATACGCTTCTAATGGTATAATCTTGTATGTAGTCAAGGTAGGGCTCAAATTTGTAAACTGTTTTAAAAGAGGCATATCAATTTAATTTGTTGTTTTCAGTTATATGTTCATTTAGCCTTTCTAATACTTTTGACCTAAAATGACTTATCATTTTAGTTTTAATAGCTGTACGAGTTTCCGATGGCTGTATTTCGTATCGTACTTGTAGGTCGCGGGCAAGGGATAGCCAGTTAGAGTGGCCATAGTCTGTATAATTTATAAGCATAGCAAACGCTTTGCTACCGTAGCGTTTTGAATCCAGAGATGATAATCGAGCGAAAAAATTTAAAATATTTATGTGTCTTTGAGATTGGAGACTTATTCTACCTAACTCTGCATAGACGGCATCTGTTGTGGTACTTGATCGAACACCCAAGGCATATTTACAGGCTTGATCGAACACCCAAGGCATATTTACAGGCTTTAAGATGGAGAGTCTCTAGTTTAGTCCATTCTTCAAAACCCCATATTTCTGATGCATAATTAAGAATAGGAGCAATTGCATGATCGAATAAATAAAGAAAAAGACGTGGTTGGAAACCACCCCATTCTTTGCTTTTAGAGATAAGGGAAAAGTAGGCTTTATGGGCTTTCTCTTTTATTTTATCAATGTGTTCAGAAAAAGACCCGTTTGATTTTATTGTTACACCTAGATATTTATAAGAGACACATTCTTTAACTTCTTTATCACCTATTTTCCCAATTTTACTTTTGTTAGATTTAGCACGGGATTTCTGCTTTTGAAACAACATTACTTTAGTTTTCTCCACTTCCATTTTGAGAGATTTTGAAAAGGTGTCTAATGCATCTAATTGTGACTGAAGGTCTTTTCTATCTCTGGCTAGTAAAAGAAGATCGTCAGCATACAAAAGAGAATGAACAGTTATATCACCTACAATTACCCCTTGAGAAGATGCCTGAATGTGGTGATTTAGATCATTTAAATATAAAGCAAAGAGGACTGGGCTTAAAAGGCACCCTTGCCGTACACCTCTGTTGCAAGGGAAAATATCTGTCAGGCTATTATTGCCCCTCACACACGATTTAACTTTGTCATAAAGTGACGCGATGACCTTTAGGAAGTTGCCCTTTATTCCGTAAGTAACAAGCTGTTGTAACAGTAGCTTATGGTCCATGGAATCAAAGGCTTTTTTAAAATCCACAAAGCATGCGTGTAGGGGGCCTTTATTGTTTTTAAAATGATTTTCAATTATAGCCCGAAGAGAGAAAATATGATCAGATGTCTGATACCCTTTTCTAAAACCTATTTGGTTTTATTCAAGAATTTCAAATTGAGAAATAATGTTATTTAATCTTTCGAGCAAAACACCCAAGAAATATTTTCCAAAAATGCTTAACAATGTAATACCCCTGTAATTATTCAGGCCAGTAATACTCATTCAGTTATTACTGCTCCATTTTGCTCAATATTCTTTCCTTCATTTATGGAAGATTGAATAATATCTGTACAAACTAACTTAGTCAACCAACTAACCAAACAAGCTTTGAAATATATCTTGCAAATTCTTTACAATTTATAAAAAAGATACCATGAAATAACAATACAGTTATATTTCTTTTAGACTCTCTCTATCTGACACACCTTTCTTTCCCTGACAAGCTTTTTATATCTTGTTACTTGCTGTTTTGTCAAAGTTGCCATTTAAGAAATCACAATTCTCTAGATGTTTCCGTTCAGGGTCCAAGTAACTATGTGGGCACTTACCTCGCCTCACGAGCGTAGCTAGCGGGAGGGGTACCGTGATGCCCTCTCAAAGAAGACTCGAACAAGCGCCCCCTCAAATTAGAGCCCCCCTTAAATAATCGCCTACCCTAGAGGTGACGCTATTGAATAAGCGCTCCCCTCGAATAAGCGTCCATCCCTCAACCTTAAGAAAAGAGCGCTTATTCGACTTTTCAACGAAAACATAATTGAAAGGCAATTCAACAAGAAAGATTAATGAGCAATACAATTGGCATCCAAATCTACTTTTTAAATAAGCGCCCTCTCGATTAAGCGCCTCCCTCGAATAAGCGCCCACCCTGGAGCCTCAAAAATTAAATAAGCGAGGCATTACGGTATAGGGAGTGACATCTGATCCACAAGTCCTTAGTTTGTTGGTGAAATCGTATATCGGTAGATGAATTCAATTGTACATCAATTTTTCTTCATCATATCTTCGTTGGTAAATTTTACTATTGATGATCCTCCGCAAAGTCCGCAGTCAATGCCGAGTAGTAGTGGCATTTTTTAAGGAATTAAAGCCTAGAATAATTTGTTTACTTTCTGCTGTATTAAGCACTTGTACATGACTTATCTCGATACCGAGGGAAGCAAAGGTTTTAGCCTCTCTAACTTCTCTTTTTAACGGTCCTTGAAAAATAAATCCTACTTTATCTCCTTTTAATCATCAGTATCTAAGCTTCAAATAACTAGATAAAACAAGAACGGCAATACAGGCCCGTTAGAAGCGGGGGTGAGCGTCCGAAGCTGTAGTACACCCAGAAATAGTCAAGCTGTACTACATTTTCTGCACAACGGTGTACTGAGTAGGAGGCAATACAGCGGGCAGCCCCCCCCCCCCCGCAATATGAAATTCATTTTGACGGCACTGAAATAACAGCAGTGAGATGATATTTAAAGTATTCTTGTTATTATATGCAGTGATAAAAGTTTCTATCTTTGAGTGATGGCATTTAAGCTAAGGACATCTAGATGTAACTCTGAAAGAGCTTTCAATCCAGATCCTTTTGGTATTTAAAAAAACAAAAGAGATTATGTCATTCAAAATAATTGTGCAAATGCTTTTTTCTAAATACTAACAAAACGATTATTTTTTAAGAATGAGTAAAAAGAGAACAAATATCTTGTGTTACTTTTTCTACTAAGCGTATTTTCAAAAAACAAAGAAAAAACCTAACTAGTGAAATTTACGGGTTTTGCTAGCAAAAGTTTCTTTATTGCTACTTAGTTAAGAAAAAGAAAATAATGTTTGGGCTGGCGTATTGCATACATACTTGCTATGAGGGAAAACAGAGTTGAATACATGATTGTAGATAACTGAAGGCAATATTTAAAAAGTATATCTCTAATGTTTGTGAAATGTATAGCTGACTCGGCTACACAATGCCAACTATTAGTAGCATACGAAAAAAATGATGAATAATAACAGCTTATTAACCAGCAACACTGAATGAATTCCAAACAAAGAAAAATATGAAATTTGAAATTTTTCTTACTTCTAACTCTAAACTACTGGGTATTATATTAGATAAGACTTTATCCTTCAAATTACAAGTAACATCCTTATACAAAGAGCTAAACAAAAGTTACATGCTCTATCCCGTATCGCCAAGTATATGAATACTGTAAAACGAAAACAAGCTATGAAAGTCTTCATCCTTCCCCAGTTCAACTACTGTCCTCTTATATGGATGTTCTGTGAGAGACGCTTTAATGATAAAATAAATCACCTCCATGAGATGGCATTACGAATCACCTATAAAGATGATAATTCTGATTTTACAGCACTTTTAGAAAAGGACAATGCTGTGAAAATTCACACAAAGAATTTACAGCTTCTCATAAGACACATAATAACCTTAATCCAGCATTTATGGAAGGCATATTTTATGCTAAACGCCCCCAATACAGCCTAAGGAGCGGAAGCCAAATGCATCTTCCAAAAGTCAGAACTACCACCTTTGGAATAGAAACCATTTCATATCTAGAGGGGGGGGTAATTATGACATAAGTTGTCCACAGAAATAAATGAGTCATCAAATCTTGCCCAGTTTAAAACTCGGATAAAGAATAGAAAGAAGAAGAATGTTGTTGCAAATTATGTAGATGCTACGTAGTTCAGGTTGGATTTCTTGACTAGAAAATAAAGAAAACAGTCGTCTTGGTGTAAAAATATTAAAACATCTTTTAAATATAAACGCATTGTAAAATTTGAAAAGTTTTTTTGAACCTTCAATTTCATTTCTTTCATTTATTAACTAATTGTTTTATATATGTAATTATTAATTATTCATTCTTAATTGGCTTTTATTCTAGATTTTTGTAAAGCAGGCCTAAATTAGCTTGTACATAAATTGTACATAGATAGGTATATTATACCAGCTTACTGTAAATAAATTGATTATTATTATAATTATTATTATTATTATTATTATCACTTTCAGAAAGTCAGAGAAATATGCCACCCTCGTATCTGACTTAAAACGTCAGTTTAAGTCAGTCTCGTTTGTCAATCTTTCCATCAGTTCACTTGGTATTTTTAGCAACTCCTGCAGCTCATTCATCGACATGTGTGACTCTTTGTCCATTGATCATCAACAGAAACGCTATCTCATCTCCAAACTTACAAGCATCTCCATTCGCACCACATACTATATATTTTGCTGTAGAAACAAAACTTAGACTAATCCAGAGCTACTCCCCTTTTAACCATTATTTTTTCACATTACTACGATTGTAATAGTTTTTATTTTGTAAACACAGGCTAGCCAGTTACAAATTACCTTGTAATAGTGAGATTTGTAATTGTAGTTTTAACTGGAATTCAAAATGAAAAGTTTCCATTATTTTTATTATTACTATTATAGCATAGAGATAAAGATGTTGTGCTCATAACTTTATTCACAGGTGCGGAGGAGAGGAAGCTCTATTTGACAATCCAATTCAATGAATTTTATGTGGGAAAGAAGGTTTTCACAACCGTATCCATGACCGCCAAATATAAATGGCAGATATCTTTCATCTGAAGATGTTTATGGTATTTGGCAGCTGCAATTTTTTCCAGCTGTAGATGGTATGTCCCTTGAAAGCTTAAAAGTGTACTATGTCTTACCACAAGGGGTATTTTTATGGTGCTATCTCAAATGATAAAATGATTGTGGATTTGCATTTGCCTGGCGTCCAACGTAGGGACGCCAAGTTTTTGTTAGAAAAAACTGCACTGTCTAAAGTAATAAGAAAGACTTTCAAATATTAAATGTTTGGGGTCAACATCTCAGCCTAGTACTAATTAAACGCAAGAAAATATCCATTTTCGTTTGTGAAATTAACTTATAAGGTTCCGAAATGATTTTTCTCAATTTAACTATTACTTAACTGGAGATGTGTAATATAATGCAGATTTTTAGATAGCAAAGTTTTTTGTTTGCAGGTATTCGTAGCTCAAGGGTAAATATGCCTACTGAGGATTCAAGAAAGGATTTCATCCTTACTACCAGTGCAAACTTCTTTGGCCTGCAAAGCAGTGACCATACTGTTAAGTCTGGAGACACTTCATCTGCCCTTAACAAGTTTTTAGATGATGAAAACTGTTCATTGCTGACTGCATTTCTCACTGGGCATCAATCAAAGAAGATTGTATTTTTTAATGAAATAGAAAGGGGGAAAAGTGCAGAAAATGCAGATGATGGATTCCTTGCATTTTTTAAGATCAAACCTTGTGTGATCAACCCAGAGAACATTCACAATGCAATTCTGGTTTCATCAATGTTTGGTTCACCGGCCACTACACTTTATCACACACTGCACAACTTGTTTGCCCCTAACCTATTGCGAAATGGAAAAGATGATTCAGATATTAGTGAAAAGTTGCAAAATTTGATAAAAGAGCTAGAATTTGGGCTAGGAAGCTGGCTTAGGAAAGATGGGCCTAAAGTTGCTCGTAAAAAGGATGGAAGTATTGATGAAGAAAATTTGTCAGCAATATTCACTCCAGATGATGAGTTTCAGTTCTGGGGAGACCTAGCAGTTTCTGAGAGAGACAGCCAAACAAGAAAACGAGCTTCATCATTTCTAGAAATGTTCCAGCGTGGTATGTTGTGCATTCTGTTTTAAAGTTTGGTCTTATAAAACATTTTCATTGCAAGCATGTAGTTCATTTTTGAAATATTTTTTGATTTGTTTCAAACAGTAAATTGTTTGAAAGAATTAGACTTGGTATAAATCTTAAAATGTCCAGCAATAGTTACAGGCTAAATATGTTTCCTAATTAAAGGTTAAGTATTTTTCTCTCTCATTAACTTTCAGAAATATTTTCAAAGATTAGTGATTTGCTTTGATTTGAAATAATTGTTAATACTTGTTTCTCTAGATACAATCATTGAAGCCCTAAAACACTTCTTCACTGAAACACTTGTTGAAGCTTTTTTGTGTTTTGATGACAGGAGGGAAGGAAATTTTCCAAAGGAAATTGACTTTTTGGAAAAAATATTGTTGATACATGCATAAAGCAGGGGTGTAGTGTAATAAAAAATAAGGGTGCAAAATCTTGCAAAACAATTTCAAAAGGAATAATTGGCTACATTTTGACATTAACAATGCCTCCTATAGCCCTGTAGCACTGCGCACCTGTCCAAAATAATAATTCACAAAAGTTCCATTGGGTACATCTTTTAAGCACTCTGTAAACATGTTTGTCTTTTCATCTGAAGGAAGTTAATGTGATTTACCTATCTTTTCTGGATGATGCTTTTATGAACATATGTATACAGCTCTGTCTAATAGCATGGAACATTATATGACAGACTGGCAAGGCAGTGATTTTCATCACCATTTCTTTTAGCAAATATGACCCATAGCTACACAAAACTGAGCACACTTGATTTTCATGATGTTCTGGACTTCATTGACACAGTACAAGAAAATCTTGATGATTTGTGGAAACAAGATGATTTTAAACCCTATCCTCAAATGAGGATGAGCCACTTTTTAGACATGACTGCTGCCTCTCTCAGTAGAGCAATACAAGAGATGCTCAAAGGTAACTCTAAGTTTGATTAAGGTTTGATCAAATCTTGATTAATAACTCAATTTTGTAATGAAACTTGCTTGCTGTTAGTATTAGATGAGGCAAGAAGAACATATTTATTTTGCTTTTAGTTAAAAATATCAAGACCATCAAAGTGTTGCCTTTGTTATATATAAGCTAGGTTGACACACCTCTTGTTTTAAGGTGTACCTTATTTTGATCAAAAGGAGTTTCATAAATTGTGTTTTCCAAACATCTATGTTTCCATGGATAATAATATTTAAGTATCACATTTTTTTAAAAGAAAGTATGTAATAGATCTTCCTGCCATAGAAATAATTGTACTTATGCCATAGAGATATGTTAATGTAAATTTTTGAGACACAATTTCAATTATCCAAGGAGCATTATTTACTTAAAGTTTCAAAGCTACTTATTTGTGAAGTAAAATTGAGACAGGACATGAAGATATAGGTTTGAAAAAAAGGCTAATTTGATGAAATTGTTAACCTTTCTGTAGCTGACTTCTGCTTCTGGCTGTCCTTTTTTGTCCTGCAGTGGGAATTGTTTTATATTTTCTTTAAGTTATCAGACAGAGTCAATTTGTGACCTGGAAGTTGGCTATTTCCGCAATATAAAAAGACATCATTTTTATGTCTTTTCGGAAAGTGAATGTTACCAAACCACTCAAATATGTTATCAGTTTATATTATTTATGATTGGAATGAAACAATATTACTCATTAAGATTCCCATCTTATTGTTCAAAGGCACAGATTTATGGAATGACTCATTTGCAACAGTTAGAGATAACTTGAAGCAAGGAATTGAGATATGCAATAAATGGTCTCAAGTTTGCAAGACTTTGACTTTCCAGTTCTGGAGAAATTATCATTTGAATCAATGGAAGGGTTCAGAATTTATTCCAGAAAGACTGAACAAACTTTGCCAGCGTCTAGAAGGGGTACGTTACAATTATTAGCTTTGTTGGATAATTCATTTCATGATATATCATACATAAGCAAAATTATCCCCTTGATAATAAGAAAAAATTTACTCATTGAATCTGTCCAAATTTGTCTTCATGATCTTTTGAGAACTTTTTGTGTTATATGATAAATATATCAATTTCCTGGTAACATACAGATTAAGTAATACAATTAAGGTAAATAAGATGATCTAGGTTCAATAAGCATTCTTTTCTTGATTTATCGTCATACTTTTTTCTTTTTCTCAGGTTTTAAGAGTTAGAACCATCCACAATCAGATTGCTAGGCTGGTTTCATCTACTGAAAAAGGAGAACTTGGCCTGTCAAAGGCTTTCTCATCATTTGCAGGGCTGGATCCATTGCTGTACAATCCATTCACTGATCCAATATGGCAGTCTGCTGTTGGTCAATTTGAAAAGATGATTCAGCCATCTGAAGACAGGGTGGCTGGAAAGTTGAGACAGAGATTCAAGGAACTGAATATTGGGTCATATCAGGTGGGTATATCAGGATCATGATAACCATTAACAGGGTGTAATCATTATAATCATTGTCCTAATCATTGCAAGCATAATCAGTCATTGAAATAAGAGTCATACCTGCTAAACCCATATGTTAATTAGAATGGTCATTATTGGAATGATCCCTGACAGCTTTGTTGTCATTATTATTAACTAGCCACTAACCAGGGTATGCCATCTCTTAATTGTCGTAATCGGTCAATTGTGGTTGTCATGACTTTGTAAACATGACATCTAAAAAAGGGTGGTATTAATACTGATTTTCTCTTTGCAGCTACTCAAAGAATTTCAGAAATATAAAGAGCTTATCAAAAGGCCCAACATAAAGAAAGGTCTAGGTCCTGAAAGGTATGTTATCCTCATATTTACTATGTCCTGAAAGGTATGTCATCCTCATATTTACTATCTAGGTTAATGTCTTTCTTTTTCTTTTGTAAATATCAAATTCTAGACTAAGCACCTTTCATAATAAAATTATAACTACAATTAAAATTTATCTTCTATTATGCAGCGTTTCTAAGTTTTGATGTTTTTACTTTGTTTAAGAACATTGATTTCTTAATAAAGATTTTAATACATTAAATGCTTTATTGTACTATTGCTTTTATTAAATTATTAAAACATGAAATTTTTATGGCAGTATTTATGATTCATATTTGTATCTTGAGCATAAAGAGAATCATTCCTTTTATATTGTTCCTTACTCATTTATGAAGTTATTTTCCTTTTCAATCTTGCATGATTTATCAATCTTTCTACCCTTATAAGAATGTATGTAGATCCTAGGGAAGCTGCTTTTCTGGCACATGTTGAATCATCAATTTGTTTTTCAGGGAATCCCTTCTTGGTCAGCTTCAAGAACATCTCAAAGAAATGAAAGAAGACTTTACCTCCCGGTCCAGCCACTCTGGAAAAAACAGACCACCCAAAGGGAAAAACCTTCCAGAAGTTGTGAATGATATTATATGGGCAAAGCAACTGCAGTCAAAGGTATGTGTTTAATTTGATCCCAGCAAAAATTATATTGGTTTATAAAGATTTTAAAAGGACTGATATTCAATTGTAGTGCTTAGACTTGGTTTAAGCCAAAAATTAGGCAATTAGAATGATTTCTAAGAGTATTGAAAAAGTATAATTTATTTTTAGCTTAGCTTTTTTTCCCTAAGTTTAGAAACCGTATCAATAGACACTTGAATAGATGGTGCTAACATCCTTGGAGGGGTGTTAGCACCATCTATCCTCTTGTTGGAGTAGGTGGAATATGATACCAGTATAAGGTAAAAAGTGAGGTTGTACAGGAAAAAATTAGATGGTAAGACGGTTGGAGGTTTCGTTTCGACTCTTTATCTTCATTCACCAAATAATGACCTATAAACTACAAAAAGGATGATATGACGTACACAACGCTGAAATAAACTGTTTTTATATGATGATGATGATGCCGGTACAGGCTATTTGGACGACATAGATTACTTGATACGATCGAATACAATACAATGCAATCGATGTATCACAATAGATTTGACTTTTCGATGTTTTTTCAGGTTAAGTCATTGATGCAATCAGCAGAGGAAATGCTGAGTGATCTACTTAGTTTCAAGCAGTTTTTTCGTATCGGCGAAGAACTGCGCGAGGAAATTGAGGCCTACGGGAAGGACAAGTACGAATATTGGTTGAAAGATATTTCAGACTCACTGGAAGATCCAAGCAATCCAATCAGGTGAGTAAGTTTTATGATTCCGTCTCGGTATTCTTCAAATCTTAATTTCGTGATATCTCACCCTTTTGCTTTAGGGATGCAAAAGTACCATTTGATATTAAGTGAGGATAGTCTATTACGTTTTTTCTGCAACACTCTGCAAGTCTTGATTAATGTTGAGTCCGTTTGTAAATGATAAAATCTTTACAAACTTTGATATTTTGATCCTTTGTTAATGGCCTATTATGGTATCTCTGTCTCGCTAAAAAAAGAAATTTTATACCTTGAATCTAAAAACTGAGTTATAGAGATACGGAAGTATGGTGAACCTAAATATTTTGCCTCTCTAAAACTGAGTAAATCCCTCAGTCTCTCTCAGATAACAGTATCTGAAGCAGTAAAATGTCTCGAGACAAACTAATTTTTTTATCTTTACGAGAAATCTGTCACGTATTTTTGACGCATTTATGTGTTATGCAATTTTTCTACACACAACGAACATCATACATTTATACACTCCTGTTACATAGTCTGCTCATTTTTTCTTTGACAACTATCCTCAAGATTCGAATATGTTTTGTATTAGAAATTTGTTTTAGTTGTTTTTTGTTGAATCTTTTCCTGTTGATTTTTCTTTGCTATAAAAATTTATAGCATTTCGAAATTCATTATTTTTCTGTTGTTACTTTCCAAAGTTTTGATATCTTAAAGAGCTTCTAATGCTAGCTATTTATAAGGATTATTTGGTTTGCCCCTGCAGCTTAAGAACAAGCGGGAAGTTGATGGAGCTTGGCCACGATGATGGAAAGCTGCGCGTTCACTATGACGATAGGCTTGTTACATTGATAAGAGAAGTGCGTCAGTTAACTGGCTTGGGCTATGTTATTCCAGCAAAGATACAGAACACAGCTGATACAGGACAAAAGTTTTATAAACAAGCTGTGATTTTAAAACAGGTACGGCCAGGCATCGTACAGGACTCATTTCATTCAAGTATATATTTGCCCGTTTTTGTTTACTTAACAGAAATGCAGATTTGCATAGGTATCCTAAATCATCACGGCCTTTTTAAAGACTCTTCTACAATTTCCCTTGCAAGATCCATCACTGTATTTTATCTGCCTAATCCAGCTTTTAAAAACCTTGAAAACGTTAACGATTTCCCATATTATAGAACTCATCTGTAAGGCAATGCTCTCGCATCTGAAATGTCTGGTCTGGTTAAATTTCCGTATTTCGACCTTTGCTTTGTAATCGATTTTCTATAATCAGTAGCTGTTCCTGTTAGTGAGTTATTATCACTAGCCTTCAAGTCGCTCAATACTTTTGTTCTTTAGGGTTTTTATCGTTAGGGTTCATTTTAAAACGGGTTTTTACCAACTTTGCTGCTTGGCAAAATTTCAAGATTATGTAGAGAAGAAATTTGGCAACAAAGCTATGATCGTTTGATTCTTATCTCGTAGGTGGCACATTTTTACAACACGATTGATCAGCAAATGATACCCAGCCAGCAGGCCATGATGCTTGACTCTGCATTGGCTTTTGAGAGACTGGTGAAGAGCCCAAAAACGGGCAAGAAAGGAGCGAATGGAAATGTCCATGTAACATGGGACAACCCTGTTGAAGTTGAGAAGTATATAAAGATGCTGCAAACTGCGGCCGATAGACTTTCTATGGAAAACCGACGGTTGAGGAAGAAGCACATCTATTTTGGAGAAAAGGTTTGTTGACATTTTATAATTGGCCTCCAGCAAACGAGATGTTTCTTTGCCCGAAAATGTCCACACTTCAAACTTTAGGACAAGAGAACCATAAAAGTCCGGCTCTAGTGACGCTGATAAATATCACCAGCATTGATCAGGATGCTATTTACAAAAAGAAAACGATTTGATACTTTACCTCATTTGATTTAAGGTATGCAGATTAAAAAAGTAGTGTAAGCGGAAATGAACTATTATGCTCAGCTAGACTCGAGATTTGATAGTTAGCACATGCTCAACGTTGTTCTGTTCCAATTCCAGTACATTATTGCTGGACATGCTGTCTGTTAGAAATTTAGATTGTTGATATTCCCCCCATTGCTTGGTATTCATATTTCCCCAATTTGTGCTTGCCTCAGTCAAGCCGATTTTACCTTCATCTTTCTGCTTTATTGGTCCTTTTCGCAGTCTTACCCATTTCATTATGTGTGTTCCCAATGTTGGCTATTTTGTACGCTTTTCTGGTTCTTTATATTTTATTCGCCTCTAAATAGAAATTTTGAAAATTAGCCGTTTTAACTGATATCCCAGTTCTTGACAACAAAGCTACCTTTCCCTCTCCAATTAGTTCAAGAACTGTTATTTCATTTTTCTTATTCGATGTTTTATTGGTTGTCTTAGATTGGTGAACTGTTCAGTACAGATCTTCTCCGTAACCCGGCTGCATGGAAAGAAGTTTTGCTCGAACTGAGACAGATAATCAGCGGACTTGCACAGCAGGTAGGGTTTCAACCCGTACCTAGCGAGAAGGCAGCTTAACTTAGAAATATACAACTTCGGACGCTGATTATACCATTTTTGGGCGATATTCACCAAAAGCCTCCAAACCACTGTATCTATTAGTTTAAAAATCCATGTTTATATCAGGTTGATAAGCTGATTGGTGAAATATTTGCCAGAGAGGTTTTTTTACTATTTATCAACTATTTCAATAATATCAATTTCTGTAAATGTAATCCTTTTCACTTCTACTTGTTTAGCATTTTCTTATGCAACATGGAAATAAATTGAAATGTTTTGTTTTCTAAAGGGAATCAAGGAAGAAAATATGAAGCCATGGAAGTTGCACTGGGACATGCAGCTTTACAAAGCATTGGAACATCAGTATCAACTTGGCCTAGAGGTGCTAAATGAGAATTTGCCAGAGATCAAAGTGGAACTGACCTTCAGGTTGCTTTACAGTAAATTTTTGCTTTAAATATATATTCTAGATATTTGAAGTTTATTATTTTATATTAAATACTTGAAAGAAAGAAACTAGGGGACTCATAAAGCAGGAGAGTCCTCATTTGAAGAAATTAGCTTTACGATTATACTTAGTTTTCCTTTTGGATTTTGTGGGAAGCTTGTTGAAGGTAATTTTCAAACAATGACAATCCTTTGAAACAGACCTAGAACTTCTTAGCTTGTGCCGATTTAGCTAAGGACTCTTTATGTAAAATAAAATGCACCCTTTATGATACTCTCCCATACAAGAGGTTTTTAAATTAAGGTAGTTAGAGTCAGTAAAACTAAAGCTATTTTACATTGATTGAAATTCGTCTATATTCAACATTGAATACTCAAGATAGTTTGCCTTTTCAAATGGCAATATCCAGGGTCCTTTGACTCAGTCATACAATGTTAGGCTCATTTTTCTATGTTATGATAGATTTGTTAATATTTGATGAAAATAAACACAGTTTTTGAGTAGTTTTTCAAAAATTATCTTGATATACGGTATGATATTTTTTGGAAGAATCTACAAATTTGTTTACTATCATCTGATTTCTTTTATAAGACAACAGCAACTGCAGTTTCGACCCCCATTTGAGGAAATCAAAGCCAGATATTACAGAGAGCTTCGAAAGTTCATCTCGATTCCACAAAATTTTAAAGGCTTTGGAGGTGACAATGCCCTGTTTGCGGCGTTGATTGATCGCACTGCCTCTGAATTTGACAACGTGTTCAAAAAAGCAGAGATGCTATTTGATCGATTGGAAGCTGTCAAAGAAGAGTTTAAGGACTGGGTCGTACTTGGCTATGTGAATGCAGATAAACTCGCTGAAGAGAATCTAATGAACGTAGTTGATTGGGAGAAAAATTTCAAAATGATCAAAGTTAAAGGAAGAGAGGCCGAGAAGATCCCATCGTGAGTGTGATATATGTCCGTCATTTTCAGACTTTTTTAAGCCACCCTTTTGAGTTTTGCCCAAATGCATTCTCTCTTATATAGACGGTACATATTCAAGTTTGAACAAAGACAAGCTCACTTGTGTGGAAATTTGTGTGGATCTTTCCACCCCATTGATTTTAGTCTCAGCCCCGCCTAGCTGCCTAGCTTTGTTAATTTAGAAACAAATATTTTAGCCCCTCTTTTGCTATCTTTTATAATTGTTGACTGAAACAATGCTGAAACGTACATTTTGCATCTCCAAATGGCAACGTCGATAGGTAATTGCAATCCAATTTTGGATTCTGTTTTCAGATCGATTAAGATTGACTGCATCCATGTTTCGACAACACCAGTAAAGAGCTCGATTGACGACCTATTGCAAAGTCTTTTCGATGCCTTGATAATTTCACTGCGTCGGTCAATTCTTAACGATTACAACAGAACAGAAACCTATCTCAATGAAGGAACTCAATCATTAGGAAAGGTTCCTCAGTCGATCGACGAGATCGGAGAAGCGACGCAAAAGCATTCAGCTCTGGCTGCTGATCTGCCTCAGGTTTTTTGTTTTAATTCATCTTTTTAAATCTCAGCTAACATTCAGGCTCTAATTCCGCATAAGTGGACTTGCTTGAATTTATTCAACCAAGCAAACTGGACAAATCCAACATTTTTCTCTTTATCGACATATTCAGATTCTGACGGTAAGTCTTCCCAAATCTATTGACTTAGCATTAAAATTTTTTGTTGAACTTTGTCTGTACGCTGCCATCGAAACTATTCAGAGACTGATTTTGCACGAAGAGGAATAGAACCTGAAGACAATTAGTGAAACAGGGGTTTTCGTCAATTAGTGAAACAGGGGTTTATACAATTAATTCCCTTCGATCTTAATTCATAGCAATTTATTGCAATTTATAATGAATGACTCGTACATTTAATTGAAAATGTTTGTTTTAGTTTCATATCAAATATCTAGTAAATCTTTCGTAGCATGTAAATCAATAATGTTAGTTTGTAGTTTTCATAATTTTAATCGATATTTTTTCAAATAAATGTATCAAAATTGTAATCAAATGCAACGACTTTTGAACAAAAAAGTCGTCATGAATTATTTTTTTGGCAGCAAAGAAAAATATTGCGTATCTAACCAATATCAAATTTTTATTATACATCTTATTTGAGTACCATAATTTGAAATTATTATCTTTGGTCATAAGTCATGACAAACCAATTAATGTTTGCTTATTTAGTCCTCTTTTAGAATAATGTTTTTACATGATCACTGTTCTATTTCGGAGACTCTTTGCTTTCGTAGATCAAATTAGCTCGCGAGGAAGCAAGTTCTAAAAACAAGCTGCTTAGTTCTGTCGCCGCTGAAGGGGTTGAGCAAATCGCAAATTTGTCGCAAAAATGGAGCAAATTTGAGCTAATGATGGAAAGTTTTGCAATGATGATCGCTGGACAAGTGTGTACAAGTTTTTATTTACAATAGTTATGCAAATTATTTTGTCTCAAGTCTGTGAGTAAGTTCTTACAGATATATGTTGATTGTCTAGAAAATTGTAAAGTTTCTCCTAGTTTTTATCTTCGTTAGTTTTATTAAAAGAATACATCTAAAAATTGAATTTGAAGGAAATTGTATAGAAATTTGTAAAACTTTTGTGTCTTTCATTAGAGAGACGTAATGAGGAAAGATTTGGAAAATAGAGTGAAAAATTTCCACCAAGAAGTGGAGAAATTCATCGCTCGCTGGAACCAGCTGAAACCATCCGACATTGATGCGGACAGCAGCCCAGATAACTTCAAGGCTGCCGCGACGAATATTAAGGACAGAAAGCTTGAACTCGACGATATCATCAAGAACAAAGAAAAACTTCTGTAAGCATGCATTTCAAAATATTCATTATTGTTATTCTACGATGTTTATATCTTGAGGATGTTTATTATCTGCGACGTATATGTTCTGCTTTTCTGTGTTTTTTCAAATTATTTTTTATTCGTCTAACAGATAAGAAAAAATCAATACCTTCAATATTATTTTGACGTTTTAGAGTAGCATGCAAGATTTTATCTATAGCTTAATAAGAAAGACTTACTTTGCAAGAATTGTAAAGTCCGTTTTGGAGCTCATTTCATTATCTTGCGTCAAAGAAATATGAACAGATGTTGAATTTCGATTCTTGCATGAATTGTTATTCTTGCGTACTGGACTTTTTTGTATTTCTACCTTGGGTATGAAACTCATTCTCTCTTGAAATGATAATATACCCTTCAGCCCATGAGCAATATCAGACCTTTGTTTATCAGACCTTTAAGTTTGTTTTGAACTCTGAGAGTAGCAACATACACATGAGGGTTTGCTACTAAAAAATTTGCAGAATTAGCTACCAGAAAACAAGATAATAAAAACGAAACATGGGTTTTAGTCTGATGATCAGACAAAAAAGTATTCCGAATCGTAGATTAGTTTAAATCCAAGTATATGAATAAAATTTTTCATTTTCTGCAGAGGGGACTGTGCAAACTTTGGGATACCAGAAGAAGACTTTTCTCAGCTTGATGACGTCAAAATCGACATTGAAACATATGAGGCAATGTGGCAGATATTTGAAGAATTCAATGGGGAAATAGAAAAACTGAGGAAGGAAGATTGGATATCTTTCAGGTAACAATGAACTGCTTGCGTAGGCCAAACTCTTTTAACGACCAGAAATGAAAGTGATTTTTGTCAAATTTTTGACCATTCTTATGCCAGCCCCTATGCTACAGGTGTCAAGCGTGCTCCTCTAACTATTTTTCTTCGTTGAAAAATAGTTATTTTATTTATTTATTATTTATTTCCATCTTTTCTGTTTTATAGGACGCGTTCTCATGTGTTTGAGGAATTTCTGATGACCTGGAATGACAAGCTCAGGAAAGTGAAACCGAATATAATGACCCTCAAAATTCAGAAAGATGTTGACAAATACAAGGTATTTCTATTTCAATGTTGACAGATCTGATCTTGTCTACAATGGTATTCATCCAAACCTTAATCATTTCAAAATATAAACAACTCTATTTTGTTCTGCTTAAATTCTTATGTCATATAGTTTTTGAATTTAAAAATCAGAATTTTAATTACATATATTTTTTTATATTCTTTTTACTATGATGCTCAACATTGAACTCTTCCGCATACTGATATTGGTCAGAATATTTGCTCCCTGGAAATTCCTGGAAATTCCTGGAAATGGACTGCTAAAACTGACTATGATTGTGTATAGGCCATCTTTGATGCCTGGTAATCACTTTTGCAGAAGCAACGATCTTGCTCTTGTCTCTAAAAATAACAACCTGTTAAAACCTGTCGATTTGAAAATAAATTTTGATGTAATTTTCTCTGCTGTTGGTTGTTTAGACGAATGTTTTATTTTGTAGAGTATCATTCCTGTGTTGAAATACGTTCGAGGCGACCCCCTCTCCGCTGATCACTGGCTAGAATTGTTTAGACTTCTCAAGATGCCGAAAGGAACGACCCTCGAGAAACTCACCTTCGGCAATATTCTTGATTCCGCTGAAGAAATAACTGCAAAGAGAGACGAGCTTAAGGTGAGTTGCTTTCTAAGAGGATATCAGTTGTAAACTTTTGCGCAGAGTCATTTTGCTTCATCAAGCAGGATGAAATTTCCTTTCGTCACCCTCAAGAATTAATTGATCTGCAATTGGAATAAATTTTTGAAATATTCATATACACTTCTTCAAAATAATGCCAAGATTTCTGATATGCTGATCCTCAATATTCTTCATTTTTTCATTTTGAATCTAAGATGCATCTTAAATTGTTTTTTGAAGATCAAAGAAAATAATTCAAATCTTTGTTTTATTTCACCATGGAAACATCATCTTCGTATCTAACTCTATATTTAGCGAGAGCTCAAGTGTACTCGATTTTTCCTATAACGTTAAAATCACATTTGTTTTACTTCTAAAAACTCAAGTAAGCTATAAATCTTTATAAAGCTATAGCCTTGCATTATTCTTAAATCATTTTCAAATCTCCTCGATTTTGAGCCGTAATATTCTCAGAAGCTATCTGCTATCTTATAAAATATGTGTATATGTTTATATATAATGCCCATTCCCGAAACCCTCACTTTCATTTTCAGCACTTCTTTATGAATATTTTAGGAATCAAAATAACTCCGATTAATACAATATTTTATTTAAACCTTGAGTAAGCCTATTCATATTTGAGTCTCAACGATGTCATAATTTAAACATTCAATTTAGGAGCTGAATAGTCGTGCACAAGGAGAGGTTTCTATCCGTGATGCACTGCGGGAAATGGAGCTGTGGGGCGCAGGCGCAGTTTTTAGTCTTACGTCATATTCTGATACAAATCGAAATGAAGTCAACCTCATTAAAGATTGGAGGGATCTTTTCAACCAGGCAAGTCTTCTTACGCCGTAAAAATTCAGTGTTAAGACATTGAGTTTCTAATGTTGTTGAGCCAGCCTTTCTTTCTTTTGAGCTTAAAATTTCCCATCGCTTTTATTTAGTTACTTTCGTAAAGAAAATTACCGTTTACATGTACGTGAAGTACTCGATGCCGTTCAGGCAGAGCTGTCCATGGAAAAGTTGCCTCGTGATTAAGCGCGAAACTCGAGTAGCAACTTAGAACCGTTCTGTTCTATACAGCAAAAGCTAGTTATTTTCGTAAAGTATGAAAACACTTTTCCTAGAGAGGCTTTTACTAAAACCGGAGCATGACTTTTGTAGCAGCACGTGAAACAGGATTGTGTGTTGTGTTTCAGGTTTGCCATTGATCCTTCAAATTTGATCCATGGCTCCTCTTCTGTTTATAGAATTTTGTGCATTATGTGTATTATAATGATGATACACTATGCCTCATCTCACCTGATAGGTTGATTTAATTGTGGTATTATAACTTTTGCACTATGCTATATTGTAGTCAGTGGACAGTGTCGTACAATATCAAGTCACTGCGTATAAATATCAAAATTGCGTATGTGATTTAGGCTGGTGTGTTAAAACATAGCTATACGACTTTTTCAGGTTGGGGACAACCAATGTCTACTGCAGTCACTGAAGGACTCCCCATATTTCCAAGGCTTCGCAGATAAAGCATCCATATGGGAAACACGACTTGCCGATCTGGATGAGTATATGCACAATTTGAACCAGATTCAAAGGAAATGGGTTTACCTAGAACCAATATTCGGGAGAGGGGCTTTGCCAAGGGAGCAGGATAGATTTAAAAGAGTTGATGACGAATTTCGGTGAATATAAATTTTCTGTATTTATTGTTATTTGATCATGAATTACTTTTTATTTTGGGTAGAAGGAGCTTGAAGTATTGGTTACACACAACCCAACAGTACTAGAAGAACAAATATTCGCGTTAAAGCTCTTCTGAATAACCTCTAGGACAAAATGAGATTGTGAATATGACTTGCCCATTTTTACTGCACGGGAAAACTTTTCCTTGATTTCAGTAAAGGTTCTTTTCCTTGGTTACTTCAAGCAACTTTCAAGTTTTTTCCATGTTGTCAATTGCTTTTTCCAGGCATATTCTATCGTCGGTTGCAAGAGACACGCGGCTATTGTCTTTAGTGAGCCAATCTGGCATCAAGAACACCCTTATCACCATGCTGGACCAGCTACAAAGATGCCAAAAGTCTTTGAACGAGTTCCTTGAGGTTTGTTTATAAAAACTTTTCATATACATCACAAAGAATGATATATCTATCGAGAAATGATTAATGCTTAGTTCCTCTGAAAGCTATTGCCCATCCGACCAAACATTGGCATCTGCATGATTTTGAATACCCTCTGCAATACTTCTAACACACAAGTGCCAAGTCTTCAAGTCGGGAGGGCAATAATTCAAGGTCCCAGATGCATAAATGAGAAGTCTGGAGCCCCTGCCAAGAAAGTTGTCAAATATTTTATTTTTCTGTAATGTTAACATTTCTCTCTGTGTCTCAAACTCTGCAATAGTTTCCACTCTCAAACTCTGTAATGTTAACATTTCTCTCTGTGTCTCAAACTCTGCAATAGTTTCCAAAGTTTGTCACGACGTTTTCAAGGTTGATCCCTGTTAGTGAATTCTACTTCATTTCTAGGAAAAACGATCTGTCTTCCCTCGATTCTACTTTATTGGCGACGAAGATTTGCTTGAGATATTGGGGCAGTCGACAAACCCACTTGTGATCCAATCACATCTGAAAAAGCTGTTTGCAGGAATTCACAATGTACTCTTTGATGACGAAAACAAGCAAATTTTGGCCATGAAATCTATTGATGGAGAAACTGTTACGTTGAAAAATCCTGTGGTTATTACTGAGAATGTAGAGGTAAAACATTTAACAAAAGCTCGAGGAAATTTTAATGTTTTATCAGTTTGTGGCAAAGCAAGACTTGAGTTTTTCTTTATGATCTAGGCCTCCTTCGTCTTTGGGCTGGGGTATTTTCCTCGTAAAAAATGCAGCTTTTATTTTCTATCAACAATTTTCCAAGATGCAAGAGTAGTAACTACGATAACCATATTTTCTCTCTTGTTATTTATCTTTTTCTTTACTCTTTCTTCTTTCCATCAAATCTATTTCTTCTATCCCTTCTTTTTGGAAATTTAAGCCCAGTCTTGAAATAATTATTCGTAAAGTATTGCCTCAAAATTTCTGTTAGCATCATGCTAGAATCAGCACCTTGTAGAAATTGGTATTTTCTAAAAGGCAATACTTACTGGTTGGAGTCGGGAGGCTTATTGAAAGCTGTGTTTGAAAAGCATTATAAATAAAAATCAAAGCAATTTAATGATCTTCTTGAGTAATATGGCTCAGATGCAAGTTCCATTTCATTTCATTTGTATTATATTTACGATTTCCAAACATGAAAGTTCTATTTCATTTCGTGATCTTTTTGAAGGGTGTCTTTTTTCTTAGTATCAAGCTGGCCAATTAGTTTATTAAATGTTCAATGACATCTGTTGTCGTACAGAAATGTCATCCATCTCAAATACTATTCCTTTTGGTGTACTCATTATATTACATTGTATTCAAATTCTATATTAATTTTAATGCATGGAGGAAGCTTGTCCGTTTGTTTGGTTTGGTTTTTTTGTTCATTTGATAAATCAATGTCACTTTTCTTTTTATTCCGTGTAACAATATTTTCTTTCCTTTACTTTTAGATATGGCTTGGTGATTTAGCCAATGAAATGAAGAACACTTTGAGTATTTTGCTGAAAGACTGCCTGCAAGCCAGTCGATCTGGAAGCGTTGATCCAACAGTGTTCCCGTCTCAGGTTTGTTTATATTTGCGCATCACATTTATTCAGTTTTCTTCTGTGTATGTAAAGTTTGATGTTGTTGCTACCTCAACTTTCATTTGACAACACAACTGATAGAGTAACGTTGGCTTAAGATTAAAGATATAATTTTCAAGAAAGAGGGTGATTTAATAAAAATAGCTACTAGAGCTATATAAAAGTAATATTTTCTCAGATATTTTATAGCTGTTATAAACTATAACCAAGATATTTACAGCTGCATTTATTCCAACGAATGCAGCTATTTCATGTCAAATACACAGTAAATTTGTGAATGTACAAACGCTCTTTGGAGCGGCTCTTTTAGTCTGGAAAAGAGTACTCTTTCACGATCTTAGACTTTTCTGCCAGACCAAAGAACCTTTTAAAATCATGCTCATCCATCCTAAGGAAGATGTTCCACTTTTCAAATGTCTTTACAGGTACTCTGCTTGGCTGAGCAAATAAATTTCACCGAGAAGTGTGAAGATGCGCTCTCGAGAGGAAGTTTGGTCTCGTTCAAGAAAGAACTGGAGGAGCAGCTCGAATCGTACACGAACTTAGAGATGGACTCAAGTGATGAGGCCTACAAGGTTTTGGAACTGAAGCTGAAGGCATTGATTCTGGATGCTATTCATTTCATTGACATAGTTGAGCAGCTGATCAGCGAGAACATAAGGAATGTTAACGAGTGGTTGTGGCAAAAACAGCTACGCTTTTACATCAATAAAAAAGGTAACATTTTCTGTTAAACTGTTTGGCAAGTAACTGAAAATAAATAATTACTAAAAAGAGTCTTTCTTCATTTTGTAACATGTTGCAAAATTTTACTTGGCCTTTGCCTGTTTCTGGAACAATGAAAATTTAGCTTTCCACAGCTGTACATACTATTTTAACAATATGATGTGTTTTTATCTATAGTTTTTACATAACAATATCTTTGAAATGGCACCTCTCTAGCCTACCCCAAAGTGATTTCACATAGCAGCAGCTCTATCTTTCTCATCTTTAGATCGAATGCCACACGATGCTAGGTCTGGTAGATTTAGTGTTTATTACAAACCTTTGGGATTTTTATTTATGTTCATGTCTAGCATTTATAAAGTGTTGTCCCTTTAATGTCCTAGCATGTAAAATTACCATAAACTGATCTGTCATAAAGTTCTTTACATCAAATAGCGTCATATTCGAACTAGGAATTTTATTTTAGGATGTACGCTTGGGTATCTAGGACTCTGTTGGGTTTGTTGATAAAAATCAGTACACTGACAATTATGTTTGGAAAAAACATTAGCAAAGCGCGAGAACTGTGCAGGCGCTTATTTTGCTCCTTGAATGATTCCTGCTTGTGTGGGTGTGTTCTCTGCTATGTCTAAGCCCAAGCCCACGACTGTCTCTATGAATTCACCGCTCCAAAGTGGTTATTGACCGGTTTTATCAAATCCCATGAAAATGTCACAGAGTAGCGTTTGCTCTTTCTGTTTCAGCCTTATATCACATGTATTCACAAAAGTCTTTTTATCTAGGCGTATGTATCATGAGGATGGTGGATGCTGAATTTTTGTACACATACGAATACCAAGGGAATGCACCAAAACTGGTTCACACACCGCTGACTGACAAGTGCTACCTCACATTAACACAAGGAATGCGCATGGGAATGGGTGGTAACCCTTATGGACCGGCTGGAACCGGTAAAACAGAATCGGTCAAGGCTTTAGGCGGGCTGTTCGGGAGGCAGGTTCTTGTTTTCAACTGCGATGAGGTAAATTGACCACCATTGTTAATTTTTTCTCCTTGAGAACCCATCACATTATTTGCTGTTCCCTAATGTTAGCCTATGCTTCAAAATTCGTTATTGTATTATGCTTCTAAGACAAAGCTTGTAAGTTATTTGATAAATAAGATCCCTCACCCAGACAGAGAGGTTGTTATTGCCGTTCGCATTGTTGACTCTACAATCTGGAAAATGGCATGATTTTGAATACAAATTTAAATTGTGATTTATTGCTTGATTTTTTATATTTTTTCTGTCAGGGCATTGACGTGTTTTCTATGGGAAGAATCTTCATTGGTTTGGTGAAGTGTGGTGCCTGGGGCTGTTTCGATGAATTCAATCGGCTGGAAGAGGCTGTCCTCTCTGCTGTCTCCATGCAGATCCAGAGCATCCAAGCCGCCATCAAGAGTCAGCAAAAGAGCGTAGAGCTCCTCGGTCGAACGGTAATTATTCAATTCTTCAGCTTTATCAATTATACTTTATCAACACTTGAGTGAATTGTTGAACATGGTATGTAAGCTGGAACAGTACCAGCAATCCAAAAAATCAACAGAAAGCGACTGGAGACTCTCCTAAGCATAACTATAGTATTCAAATGTCTCTTCTTGTTATTTTGATTACATTTTCTTTTTAATATTTGCAAGATCGACCTGGATGCAAATTCTGGAATCTTCATCACACTGAACCCAGCAGGAAAAGGTTATGGTGGTAGACAAAAGCTGCCAGACAATTTGAAGCAACTGTTTAGACCTGTTGTTATGTCCGTACCAAACAACGAACTGATTGCTGAAGTACTCCTGTTTGCGGAAGGGTTTAGAGACGCCAAGAGTCTCGGTCCAAAATTGGTTGCGATTTTTGTTCTCTCCAGGTATAGCGAAAGCTTTTTACCTTTTTGCCCAACAAAATTTTTTGTTCTTTTTTTATTTTCTACTATGATTCAGCCGATCTTTAGAACAGTTAAAATCAAGGCATAGTTCCGTGTCATCAGAGCTGCCTGACTATCATTAAAAAAATAATGTGAATTCTCAAGCGCAAATAATAATAAACTAGGTTGCTCGGAAATGCAAGGAGCTTTTCTGCAACATTTAATTGTATGCATCCGTGGTTTAGTTCTCTAATTTAGTTCTGCACAAATTTCTTTACTTTAGTACTATGATTACGCTTTGGAGCATAATACAAAGTTTTGATATTCAGAAAACGTTTTAATTTTTAGAGAGCTGTTGTCAAAGCAACAACATTACGAATGGGGTTTGAGGGCACTCAAAACTGTTTTGCGTGGTTGTGGAAGTTTGTTGCAAAAGGAAAAGAAAAATGGAGGCAAAGGTTCGCCTATATTTTTTAGATTTTGAAATTTACTCTAAACCTTTATGGCTTTTTTTATCTTTTAAATGTTGTCTAAAAAGTAGTGATTTTTTGTCCAGATCTGAAAGATTCAAACGGAAAGATTCATGAAAGTTATGGAACACAACCCCATCGTACGCTATATTCTGTCTCCATAGTTTCCACAGCACAGGAACACGAGGATGCAATAATATGTGATATGAATCTCGTAACTTGTGAGATCTATCTAGGCTTCTGTGTACTCACTGCTCGAAGACTTCTTCCTCAACTTCCCTTTGATGTCACTGCTGCAAGACCAAGACATTTTTTTGAAATTCTGTCCCCTGTATTGCACAGCCAATATCATTTTTTCTATCTTTTCTTATACAAAAATATCGTGCTTTTTCAGTTTGGCAATTGTAAACTCGTAACAATAGTCCTTTTACTTGTCTTTCAGTTGATGCTAAAACAGAGGAAAAGATCGCCATTCAAGCGATACGGCTTAACACACTGTCCAAGCTGACATTTGCAGACTCTAAAAGATTTGATGCTCTTGTAAGAGATGTTTTTCCAGGAGCTGAATTCCAGGATGTCGATTATGCCGAGCTTCAATCGGCATTGGTTGAGACTAGTCAGGAAATGGGCTTGATCGTCAGCAAAGTTCAGGTTTGTTTTCAGCGTAGCATTTTTTAATGGTTCTACTCTTTCCTTCTCGTGTATTCAAGTGCTTTCTTTACATCTTGTTGAATTCGGGGGGGGGGGGGGGCTAACGAGCAGAAAGTAGTTATTTCTTATAAAAAATGTCTTATAATTACGTCTGATATTTCCTACCAAAAGGAACAAATTTGTAACATTTCGAGTTTTTTGAAAAACCAGTTGCGAGTTTTTTGAAAAAAAGCAAATTTTACTGGACAATAGTTATTTCTTATAAAAAGTGTCTTATAATTACGTCTGATATTTCCTACCAAAAGGAACAATTTTGTGAGATTTTGAAAATCATAGGAAGTAAAGTAAAAATAATTCCATCTTGAAGACACTGGTAAAGCCAGTTGCGAGTTATTTGCAAAAAAGTAAATTTTACTGGATACGCAATTTCTCTTTGGTTTAATTTTAAATGTCCTTAAGATAATGTAAAATCTTCTTTTATTCCAAAGTTCTTTGCAAAAAGTTCCACTTTTGTTCTTGTTTTATTTTTGTCATTGGCTGGAATACATAATTTTGTTTGATGTAATTTACTTTATAATTAAAGTGTTAGAAAATGTTCACAGAAAATGCTGTCAAGTCAAAAAGAAATATCCTTATTACCAACAACAATCTCTTACCGATTTTCAAGAGCACTTCCTTTCAATAGATCAATGATTCTTTTCAACTTTTGCATTTTATTTCGTTTCAGTGTATTTTATTAAATTTATACCTATGATGCTTGAATCTAATTATGCAACACAAGCAGTTAGAGTTGTGATTTTTCTTTCTATGTAAATGCTAAAAAGTCTCAAATGCCATTTTTACACCACTCTTATGTTTCCATTCTGGCAGATCAAAAAAGCATTAGAGCTGTACGAGCAGTTGCGCCAGAGGATGGGGGTTGTAATTGTCGGACCATCAGGCTCTGGAAAGTCAACTCTGTGGAGGATTTTGAAGACTGCACTTGTCAAAATGAAGCACGAAGTAAAGCAGTATACAATGAACCCGAAAGCAATGCCAAGAACTCAGGTACGATAGTTGGTTCAGAAATTTTGTTTTACATCAGAGTATTACTGCTTTTATGGCTTGTCTCGTCTTAGCTAGTTTTTTGCGCTTTGTGATAACATACTTCATGTTGCTTTAATGCAGCTTTACTTCTCTCTTGGGTTAAAAATATGTTTAATTTTCATCCCATAATGTACATTTATCATTTCCCATTTTGTACCAATACGAAAAGTTAAATCCATGATTTTGGGGCATAGCAATTCAAACCATGAGCTAGATGACACGTTTGAAAGAATAATATCTTCCTCTGAACCTTTTGACTTGCATTTTTTTATTGAAATATGAATGTGGTAAATTTATCTTGCTAGCTCCTTGGCCACATTGACATCGATACTAGGGAATGGTCTGATGGTGTTTTAACCAACGCGGCAAGGCAGGTTGTCCGTGAACCATTGGAAGTACAGTCGTGGATAATCTGTGATGGAGACATCGACCCTGAATGGATTGAATCATTGAATTCCGTTTTGGATGATAATCGCCTCCTGACTATGCCTTCTGGTGAAAGAATCCAGTTTGGGCCTAATGTGAATTTCCTCTTTGAAACGCATGACCTCAGCTCTGCATCTCCAGCTACCATCTCAAGGATGGGTATGATCTTTCTCAGGTTCGTAGAAATTGGATAACTCATCTCATTAATTTTCTCGAGTCTTTGCTAAGGACAGTATGTCTGGGTGCTAGCAAGACAATCCTTTTGTTAATCATTCAGTGCAATTGAATCAGTAAACAACTTTAATTTTAATTTTAAAGTTTTCCTTGACTGGAAAGCTATTCACGAATACGCATAGCCAGTTCAGAATGTATAGTCCCTTTAGACAAGGGAATAAAACCTTTCAAGAAAATAGGCGGCATCCATCTTGTATGTTAGATTAGTTTATCATTGTATTCATTGGTGCACTGACCATTTTTCTAATTAGCGATGAAGATACTGATACAAAAGCACTTGTGAAGTCTTGGTTAAAAAGAAATGCACCTGAAAATAAGGGCCTTGAAGGATGGATAGAAGATTACTTTCACAAGGCAGTGGATTTGGTTAACAACCAGCTGGAACTTGTGGTGCCCACAACCCTTGTTGGTGTTATACTTGGTGGCCTCTCGCATTTGAAAGACGTGACATCCCGCGGGGAATTTGCGTGTGCTATTATTCGCGGCCTTGGAGGAAATCTAACTGAAAGCTCAAAAGAAACTTTAGCAAAAGAAGTAATTTGGATAGTTTTTTATTCATTTCTTCAACTTAAGTTTGTTAATAGAAGGGTAGCTCAGGTCATAAATTGATAGTTTTAGGTTGACCCTGCAAAGTCGTATATAATCGGACTATGGTTACTATGGCTCTACTTGCTGACATGATTCCGGTGGACAAAGTTAAAAATGAAAAATATTTCTAATTAAAATAAGAATATTCAAAATATTACTTAAACTATTTGATTTTTTTAATGCTTTATTAGAAGGACTATTTTTAATCTCTGCGTCTTATACGAATATAGCTTAACAATTTCCTTTTAACAGAAATATGGAGTGAATTCTACTTAACTTGCTTCCAACTTTGAAATTATTTTTGCTTTAGATTTACCGCTGGACAGGCGAATCTCCATTAGATCCAAAGCACCCACTCAACACTTACTTCGATAGATCACGTGGACGTTTTATGCAGTACCAAGCAAAGGTAACTAATTGTTTAATTATTGTAATTAGCGATCATCCCATGTGAAGTGGGTCTAAATTTTTTGTAAATTTAAGTCTGATAAATCGAGTTTTTATAGATTTTGTTGTAGCAAAGGAAATGTCACTTCCCTCTTAGCCATGAAGAACTTTTCCCAAAAGCAGAATGACTGATGCTCGTGACAATTTTGAACTTTTAGTAATTACACATCTTTTTCAGGTCCCAGACACGTTGAGGGCCGAAGACCTTTCATCTTCCAAGCTGCCAGTCATTTTAACAGCTGATGCCCAACGATCACTTGACTTCTTCTCTCCCTGGCTTAGCCAAGGAAACGAGGAACCATTTTTGTTGGTAGGCCCGGATGGATGTGGTAAAGAGTAAGTTTTTGTTCAAACTTTATCACTTTGGGTACATCATTGTGTAGATCATTGTGCATAATTCAATTTTGTTTATCCAATAGGTTCAGTGCTTCACTCAGAACATCACTTAACACCACTCAGGACAAGATGGACAATTTTCATATTCACTTTCACCATTCTGATAACAATTACGATTTTTATGTATCTAAATGCTCGTCATCATTTTTCCATCATGCGTTGAAGGTTTTAAACCTTCGGCTACACAAACCGTTATGTTGCATGCCATAATGGACAGATTTTAACTTCAATGACAGATCTCTCAGTAATTCACGTTTTAGAAAATGTGCCCCGTTTGCTATCCTGCTTGAGATTTTAAGACCTGTAAATTTGTCAATGTACTTTTTTAGAACCAAAGTAACATCTAAGCCCATGAATTGTTCAATTATTAAAGGGCCAATATTCGTATAAAATTCTGATAAACACAAAGTCGCTTGAACATTCATGAACTCATGCAAACGGGGTCTTAATCTATTATTGTACGTTTTAAGATCATTATTTATCTCTAAATGCATATTCACAAACTTATGATGAGTAATTCATGATAAAATGATAAATTCTAATCAATGTATTGTTCGTTCTTCCTCCCTAGACTACTGTTGAACCACTGTTTCAAAAGTCTGAGATCAACTCAAGTTGCAGTTATTCATTGCAATGCACAGACATCGCCCACACATGTTCTTCAAAAGCTTACCCAGACGTGTATGGTGATTACGACCAACACTGGCCGTGTTTACAAACCGAAAGAATGTGAGAGACTTGTCTTGTATTTGAAAGACCTAAACCTACCAAAGCCAGATAAATGGGGCACAAGTCAACTTGTTGCGTTTCTTCAACAGGTATAAACTCTACGTTTTTAAAGCACCTTAAGCTGAGAAAATATACTATAGTTCAATAGCTGAATGTGATGGTTGAGGTAATGAGGGTATTAACAAAGTAAGATAACGAATGATGTTTATTTATTTAGTTTATTTCTTTTTAGAGAAAATGCTTAAAGGCATGGAAGTAAATAGAGGGAAATAGGAATTGATAGTTGATGATATTCATCTTTTATCATAGTGCTAGAGAAGTGGAATAAAGAGAAAAATTAAATCGATGTCCACGTCAACTTCTTTCTCTTAATTGATCCTTGCTAAATAATTCAGCTTTGCTTTCTGATTCGTTCATTTTTGGTTATTTCTTTATTATCAAAATATCAGCTAAGCTGGGATTAGATTAATTTTCAATGTTGATTACGCAAGCTTAAAAAATGTCTCATGAACTTGCTAAATTTTGATTGATAAAGAACACTTCCCGAGGCATTATTTGTCACTATTCTTAATATGTTTAGCTACTGTTCCTTTTGGCATCAACATCACTGTATTCCCCCTAATTTCCTTTCATTTCTACACACCCACTTAATGCTCGGGTCTTCTTCCAGGTGTTGACATACAACGGTTTTTATGACATGAACCTAGAATGGGTTGGTTTGGATGGCGTCCAAATTGTTGCCTCGATGAACGCTTCAACCTCTATCGGGAGGCATCCTCTCACAACACGTCTCACAGCCATAGTGAAAATTTGCTCCATTGGGTGGGTTCATTGTATACATTGAGCATTTATTTAGTTTTTTTAATGATTTGTATAAAACCTCCTGTTAACAGAAACCAAGTTTTTGTCATCTCTTCATACACATTTGTTTCTTTAGAGATCCATTTAGAGATGGACACATTTGACATGTTTCTTTAGAGATCAGTAGACCAATTGAATAGCTCAGCAATAAAAAGAAACTTATTCCGCTTTTGCTAAAATTCTGAGTATTGCCTATTGCCTCTCTTAATCATATTTCAACACTGTGCCCTTTTTTATACTGATAACAAAATTATATTTCAAGCATCGTGATGTAGGTTTGTGATGAAATTAGAGAAAGATACCTTTTGCTGCAGGTACCCAAAGACGAATGATCTTGAGTTGGTTTACAACTATTACCTGAAGGCACTGCTTCAAGAGTCTTATCAAAGTCATCAAGTTTGGAATGCTGAGAAGAACATCTCTTCGTTGGCAAAGACTCTTGTTTCAATCTATGAGCAGGTTATAAACGTTTCTATATAGTTCTTATCTAATTTTTTGTCTAAGATGTTTTAGGGATTTGCTACGCCAGCAGTCCTGTTCTATCGACCATCATTTTGCCGTTTTCTTAAAATCTTTAATACTGTGAAACATCTGGAATTTTCAAACCTTAGTAATACTGGCGCTAAGTCGTTTCAAAGATTATTTAACAAAACGGAATCAAAGTGCTTTCTTTTATACTTAGATTCATATTTTTTCTTGATTCTTTGCAGATCCGGACGAAATTCACAGTCGATGACTATCCTCATTACATATTTACCCCCCGTGACCTCACAAACTGGGTTCTTGGTTTGATAAGATACGACATCCCAAGCACGGGGAACAGCGCCGAACAGCTCTTGCAGGTGATTGCGTACCAAGCGAAGAGGTTGTTTAGAGATCGCCTTGTTGGCAAGGACAACTGTAACCGGTTTGACGGCATTGTTTCATCTGCGCTACGCAATGACTGGAACTTCAGTCCGGATAATACTAAGAGCCAGCATTTCGTAACATGGGGTTCAGCTATTGCCCCTTCAGATCAAACGGAGCTTAAGAAGGCATTTGGAAGACCACTTGGCCTAATTGCGATCGAAGACTTCCGGGATATTGTGCGCAAGGGGCTCATCTCCTTTGGTAGGTCTCAACCGATTCCATTGGCAGGGTTGTAGTCTTCAATATTACACAAGCCAGTGTAATTTTTGAAACAATCATATCGATGAAAATTTTATAAATCGTATTGGAACGTATGTCATTTTTGGTATCCCATCTTGTTTTTGAGCAGCCACTAGTTTCTAGTTTCTAGTTTTCCTGTTAATTCAAAATCTCTTTTACAGCTCGCGACAACAAGGAAGACGAAATCTTGCTATTTGAAGAAGTCTTAGATAACATTGCAAAGGTCGATCGGGTCATCAGTCAACCAGGGGGCTCCTTAGTGATGGCAGGGAGAAGTGGGGTTGGGCGCCGCACAGCTTTGTCTCTTGTTGCTCATATGCATCAGATTATGGTGGTATCTCCGAAAGTATCGAGAGCGTATGGCATCAAACAATTTAAGAATGACCTAAAGACGGTACGTACTGAATTTAGTACAAGCTGTTGTGTGGTATGGATGTGATTTATATTGCAGAACATATTCCAGTTTAATCTATGAAAAGTTTTCAAGGCACCGTATTGTTAGGATTTGTAAGGTGTTCTAGTGTAGTATTTCATGCAGCAGCGAGGTACACATGATTAATTGTCGTTATTGGCACTTCATTGGTGTTGGTATTGAGTGAAATAAACTATTTCTATATTTGACACTTAAGGATAGTAGGGTAAGGCTTTTAATGTGCTTTGTTGGCTGTGTATCAAATCTTGGAATAATACTTTTTCCGAAGGTGATGCAAACAGCAGGCATTGATGGAGAAAACATCATTTTGCTTCTTGAAGACCATCAGTTGGTTGAGCCAGTCTTCTTAGAATTGATAAACAGTCTGTTGTGTGCTGGAGATGTGCCTGGCTTGTACACGACAGAAGAGCTGGACCCGATTCTGTCCCCACTACGAGAGCAAGCAATGCAAGAGGAATTTAGAGGGCCGCTCTACTCGTACTTTGCACACCGTGTGAAGAAGTACCTCCACGTGGTGCTGATTATGGACTGTACCTCGGCTACCTTTACTGCCCAATGCGAGGCAAATCCAGCATTGTACAAGAGCTCTGCATTCCAGTGGATGGACAGTTGGAGCAAGGAAAGCATGCTTGCTGGTAGGACTTTTCCACTTTGTATTTGTATTTGTCCTTATCTATGTCTCAAGTGAAAGAGTCATCAAATCATTTGTTAGCCATTCACTCCATTGATACGATCAGCTGATATACAACACCAAACGCGGGTTGCTGGAAATGATAGATGGATCTGATACGAGAGGTGCAGGATTTTTCGTTACAGAGAAATGGGGCCCTAGAGTATCGTTAAAACTTTTAACCAAGCGGATTGTGACCTTTTCAACAGATGTTTGTTCTTAATTTCCCATCGCATTTTTTGGGAATACATCCAGACTGTAGGGATTCTTAATTCGACTGAATGCAGCGCAATGTTATTTGGTTTTCAGAACAACGAGTCCATGCAATTTTAGGTGGTGTGTTCTTTGCTTTTTATGTTGCACTCTTGCATCAGATCTTAAGGTATTCAAACGATTTGCGCTCAGTATGATTTTGGCAAGAATAAGGGTATTTGAATTTTATTTACGTTGATATAGGGTTTTAGAATGAAATTTAAAATCTAGACAAAATTTTGAACCTAAAGTTGTATCCTGAAAACATGCCTGTCTGTAAAATGACATCCTATTTTTGCAACTCTTTTTAGTCCCAAAAATGCTTCTGACGAGTCTAGATCCTGACAACGAGGGAGGGAAAATGAAGGGAAGGCTATCTTCCGGCGGTGAGAAACTGTTCAAAATTTTCCGTGAGATCCATGAAAGCTTCCCGTCAAAAGATGCAACTCCCAGAGGCTACTTGAATTTCCTTCAAACATATATTCACCTTTTTAACCAGAAGAAAGAAAGCATTGAAAACAAACAGAAACATTTGCAGGTATAAATTTTGCATTTTGTATTTTCCATATTTTGATATTTGCCTTCGTCTCTTATTTTGGCCTCCAACCTGATACTGAAATGCTTTCTGTACCTCTAGCCTATTTCCTCCAGCACCGTACTCGAATCTTAACTCTGTGTTTTTGCATTCTCAGATACTGTTTAATATTGATACCGATTTTTACGAGACCAGAGTCTTCCATTTGCCAATCCTGACCTTGTTACAAACTCGTTGGTTGTAATCTAGTCCCTCACCCTTCCCAAGTGTATTTTCAATAAGATTGATAACTTGATTTAATTTTAGGCTGGTGTTACAAAACTGAACGAGGCAAAAGTACTTGTTGATGATTTGAAGAAAAAAGCTGCAGATCAGAGTAAATTGCTAGCAGAAAAACAGTCAGAAGCTGACGCCGCTTTGAAGGAAATCACCCGAAGCATGGAGGTGAGATGCTTTTTTCCTTTTATCAATTGGTCCAAGTCTGCAACGACTGTCGTTATTATCCACTAGCAACCTGCATTTTTCTCAAAATCGTATTTTTTCATGCTTATAGCTATAAGGACTATTTTTTTAATGGATTGTAGCCCGAGGATGTTTGCTTTATTGTTAATGCTCAATAATCTGTGCTTCTCCTGAGTCCTGTCTCGCGTTGAATGCAAATGAGACTTAGAAAGACCAGTGACGGTTTTAAGGGGGGGGAGGGGGGTCTAGGGGGCCACAACCCAGGCTCTGCGCTTCTGGTAGTCATAAGGGGACCCGCACCTAAGAATTAAAAAATTTTAAAGAACAAGGACCCTATATCCGCTGCCGACCAAGAAAAACTGATTTAATTATACACACAATTATACTTAGCATTCCAATCGTTAAATTTGTAATTGATTGGTCGATTTGAGTGATAGGTTGTCAGGTGATTGGAGTGATCAATTGGTGTTGCTAGGATGATTGACCTGAGTGAACTATTTTCTTAGTCGTTTGATGTGCTAATCTATCGAAAGGTTATAGTGAATGTTTGAATATCTGATTAATTAAATTATCACGAAACCTCGATGTCCTATTTTCCTGAACAACTCTTTTAAAGATTTTAAACCGTCATTTGCTGTTATGCTGATTAAATTTTCTTTTCAGCGAGCCAGTGATCAGAAAACTGAGATGGAGACCCTTAAAGTTAAACAAGGAGATGAAACCACGCATTTGGAGAAAAGGAAAAAGGCAATCGAAGCAGAGCTTAGCGAAATTGAGCCGCTCGTGCAGAAGACGAAAGACGCTGTTGGGAATATAAAGCCTGAGTCTCTGTCCGAAATCAGGTCCCTGAGGATTCCGCCAGATGTGATTCGAGACATTCTTGAGGGAGTCTTAAGGCTCATGGGTATATTTGATGTCTCATGGCTGAGTATGAGAAGGTATGTTTCTTGGTTTCTAGCCCTAAGGACTGGATAAGACACGAGTTAATGTGCCTGTGACATGATAAGACATGAGTTAATGGAGAATTGGTTCATTTGCAATCTCTCTGCTCTTGTTTTTTTGCTTCGATCCCTTCTCTTTGAAGCTATTTTCTATTTTTGCTATATGAATACTATAGGTCTGATGTAGCGAATAAAGTTGAGCAAGTATATTGTTCCTGGATACATATTTTCTTTCTTGATCTTTTCGGCCATGATTTTGACTTTCTATACTCTCAAGAGTTTCAGATGAAAAGCTTAAGTCATGTTGTAAAATTTTTTTTTCATTTCTATTCAAATTTTGTACTACTAGAAATTGCTCATAAATTTTTTCAGTAGTTAGAAACATTCCCCAACTCTATGTAGGACATGCTGCAACATAAACTTTACTTGACTTTTATTCAAAAGAAAGTCAATATATTACACAGAAACTTGTTTTTTATCATGATCGCATCAATTATGTTATTATCTTTCTTTCCAGCTTCCTATCAACAAGAGGCATTAAAGATGAAATATGCAATTTTGATGCCAGGAGAATTACTCCTGAGATGAGAGAAGGTGTTGAAGAGCTGCTTGTGAAGAACAAGGCTTCTTTTGATCCAAAGGTACTCTATACTGTTAGCTATGTTTACATATGCTTTCTATCAAAACCCTTTTTGAAGGCTTGTCGAATAATTGTACAGTAAGGCGGTCAAGGCACTGAAATATACGTTTTAATGTTCGCTTGAATACTTTTTCAAGCATCTTTTAATCTTTGCTCTTTGCAAATGGCCAACTACCCCAAATTTCCTAACTTCAAAGTTGAAGTGCCTAACAGACTCAAAGTTGATAGTCAATATAAACTAGTACCTATCTGTTTGCATTTTTCTCACGCATTATCTCGTTGATCTCAATTTGCATTTTATACCTTATAATGATTTAATTGTCGATTATATCTCTTTCCAGAATGCGACGAGAGCCAGTGTTGCTGCTGCCCCGCTCGCACAATGGGTGAAAGCCAATATCCAGTATTCAAGAGTTCTCGAAAAGATTGGACCTCTTGAAAAGGAGCAGAATGGCCTGAAGAAGTGAGATTATTTATCGCTTTGTGAAACACATGAAAATCGTACCGTTATGGGTCTTTGAGTAAAATTCTGCTCAAGATCCCAACGGTTTTCGATGCTATTTGACAGAGCGACCGTTGTCGAAAGGAACGCCTATGACTCAGCTGGCATGCTAGCGCGTTAGGGATGTTGTCCTAGGAAATAACAGGATGAAACGTAGATGCTGTGCCTGTCCTTTCACAAAGAAAGTTGGAAGCATAGTTGTGTTCCCATCCTTCAACATCATTCCATTTTCTCAACATCTTCTTGATTTTTATAATTGCTACGTTTATAAGAAAGCCTTCCAATTTTTCAAGAAATCTACTTTCATGATTTAAGAATATCAGTTTAACCATGTCAGTGCTTTGAGCACCTGGTTTTGTTTCAGTCAGAACGTGAATATGTTCTCTCTATTTTGCTACAAATCTGTGCTTCATTTTGATACAACCACAAATGCAGAAATTCAGCACATTGAAATATCTTAGTTAATTTTAATTCATAATCATGATTAATAGTCGTTTTTTGTATTTTTTTTTGTATTTCAGGAGTCTTGAAAAGTCCCAACAGAGAATGGAAAAGCTGCAAAAAGGCTTGGATAAAGTTGACAAACAAGTCTCAGAAATGAGAGAGAGGTGAAATGTTATTTTAACTCGTAGGCCCTATTCTGTCGCTTTAAACTATTTTTTGCCTTCGTGTTGTGCACGTGACATCATCTTTAGCTTTATGTGGTTTTATTTCAAGATTTGAACAGCGCACACGAGAGGCTGCTCAGCTCAAGTTTGATTTGGATAAAGCACAAGAAACTATCAAATCTGCAGAATCACTAGTTGGAAAGTTAGACGGAGAGTTCAAGAGATGGTCAGCTCAGGTACCCTCTTTTTTCTTATATATATTTGAAATGATATTCTTTGCATATTTCTCTAATATATATTCCTCTTATCCATATTCTTATTACTTGTATTGAATCTCAATTTGCCTTATTCGAATCTTGTAGATATATCCAAACCAACAGCTCCACCACCCCTCCCCCCCCCTAAACTGGGAACTTTTCCCCAGTTAGCCCTTTAATTCTTAAACAGATATCGCTGCAATACAAATTGGCTATCTAAAAGTATTAAAGTTATTTAACAAAAATGCTTTTATAGGTTGGTGAGTTGACGATTGAAATCGAGCAATTGCCCGTTCGCTCGCAACTTTCCGCTGCCTACCTGAATTACCTTGGAGTCGAGTCCGAAGATGTCAGACGCTCGTACCTGACGAAATTTTGTGAGCTCACTGGCCTGAGTGATTTTGACTTGAGAAAGTTCCTTAGCTCAGAGAGCCAAATGCTGATTTGGAAGAGTGAAGGGCTGCCATCTGATAATCTGTCAATGGAAAATGCATTAATGATTCTAAAGGTGGGTGACCAAGAACCGTTATCACATTTATTCTTTGATTGAAGCTGGAAATGACGGTTGATGGCACCATTGTCTTCTTCTTCATCTTCTTCAGTGGCTCTTCTTTTTTGATGGTCCTAGGTTTTCTCAATCCAGGAAGGACAGTTAATAGTGTAGCAATGCTTTTGCTACCATTCCTAGTGAATCTAATTTAGGATACCTACATGTTTGCCTATGTCTTCAAATATATTAATTTACGCACTGTGTATTGCTTTTCCAATGCTTTATGCCAGTAAAAGCCACACAGAAGGTACCTCTGAAGATCTGGATCTGTGTTCGTAGTTAGGTTTAGTAGGTACGTTGTCAGAGTGTTCACCTTTAATATCATATTGAGAATCTTGATAACAGGATCTATTTTCGTAGGGAGTGATATGCCCGTTCCTCGTGGATCCATCACAGAGAGCAAGCGAATGGTTGAAAAAACACGTGACTAAAGACCAGAAGGTGGAAGTTGTCAACCAGCAAGTTAGTTACTCGGCCTTTCCCTTGTTTGTATTAACTTCAGTTTCTCTTATTCATAAATGTTCATCAGCGAGGCTGTAAAATGCCAGTTATCCTGAACTATATACGAATGACCATAATTACAAAAGAACCTAGCTCAAATGCTGGTTTTTAATTTGGAAAAATCTTGTCTAAAACGATATTTTATACCGAGATTTATATTTTTTAATGGCAAGGCGCTAATTCATCAATTATTTTATGTTTTCAACAGGATGGAAACTTCACGACCTCTTTAGAGTTAGCAGTTCGGTTTGGCAAGACACTGATAATTCAAGAGGTTGACAATGTTGAACCTATATTGTACCCAGTTTTACGCAAGGACCTCATCAGTCAAGGTAGGCTTGCATCCCAATACAAAAACAAATCTCCTTTGCTCAGTGCTTTTCGCAGTACATAAATAAATCTCAGGTTTCATGTTTGCCTAGGTATGACTCAATTCATAACCTTTCATTGATTGTTTTTGACATTTAAAATCCTTTTTGCTTAAGGGCCAAAATACGTTGTGCAGATTGGTGAGAAAGCAGTTGACTTTAATGAAAATTTCAGGTGTGTATGCCTTAAAATAGTTAATAAGTGGCTCTTATTCTTCACTTTCTTGGAATTAATACTAGAGGTTAATTATCTTGCTTTGTTTTTTAGAACCGATATCTTCTTTAAAAGCTTGAAAACTCCCTCCAGTTTTGTAGCTTTCTGAGACAATTTTCCCCAAAGTTAATGACCAGTCTCCGGGGTAATCCTTTAAAACCGTTGGCAAACCCTTATGGAGAGACAAAATGTGTGCGACTGTTCCTCCAAAATGTCGAAAAGAGCAATCTGCTTTTTGTTTGGCTAATGGTAGAAAAGGATTGATTGTTTACGAAAATTATACTTGGCTCTCTAACTGTTTGTCTGAAAATCTTTTTCTCCATTGTTAGTAACAAGTACCCTTTTAAGGTAAATTCTGCCCTGTAAGACATCTAATGGCTGCGAGGAAGTCGCTCGAGGACAATCTCTTCCGCCTCTTCCTCTAACCATGCGTCGTAGAGAATTAATTAATTCCTTTTTTGTAGATTGTACATGACAACAAGGAATCCAAACCCTGAACTGCCTCCGAATGCAGCGTCGATTGTGAACGAAATTAATTTCACGACAACAAGAGCCGGGTTGACAGGGCAGGTACATCAGAAGAAATATATTTAATCGGCAATATGATTGCATTAATTTTGCTATTTTAGTGAATTTAGAGTAGAAATTCGATAATTGGATTCCGTGAGCTATTTTACTCTTATCCGTAAGCAGACCATTTTTGTGCTAAATCAAATACACGCTAAGCAATGACTTTTGTATGTCACAAGATAAAGGCAAAAAGTATTTGCAATTTTCTTAATTTGTTTTCAGCTATTGGCTCTGACGATTCAACTTGAAAAACCAGAATTAGAGGTGAAGAAAACTGAACTGCTTCACAAGGAAGAAGAGTTGAAGGTTCAGTTGGCCGAGCTTGAAGAATCTTTGCTTGAGGTAACAGCAATAATATTTTTGCTTTGAACACCCATCAGTCGAAAGGAAAAATGCAAGGAGCCTTTCGTTTCATGAGCATTGCAAACACTTTTCACTAAATAGCATTCCACTTAGATGTTTAAATTTTTAAGCCAATTTAGCAATCATGTCTCCCAATGAGTTAACTCAAAAGGGGTAATGATCTTTTGCTGCATCACCCTCCTCCATCCAATCAATCCAAAGGTACGTCATATTAGTTTTCTTCTTAAGCAATTAATACGTTTGCCAGCATATTCTAAGTATTCTGTCACTAAACATTAATCTATATGGTAAATAAACACTAGTTATGTTAATTATACCTGGTAAATAACGTTACTCATCCTGTCAAACAGTTTTGGTCGAAAAGCTAACTACGGAAATACAAAAGCTATCAGATACGGAAATAGAAAAAATTTCTTGAAGCGGGGGTTGAGTTTTAATTTATACTGAAGAAAGTTTAGCATAAATTGTCATACTATAGGTCTGATAATTCTGATCAATATTGTATCTGAACTTTGGTTATGTTTCCTTGCAGACGCTTGCAAATTCAGAAGGCAATATTTTGGAAAACAAAGCGTTGCTTGACTCCCTCAATAAAACCAAAGAAAGCAGCATGACCATCGCAGAGTCACTAGCTGACGCGCACAGGATTCAAGCTACGTTGGACAAGGTATATTGTTCTCTCTAGTTGCCACAGTAACCTGCAGGGTAACTGCTTTCTTTAGGGTGGTAGTGATTGTACTTTTCACAGAAGTGTAATTGAGGGCTTGTACGGAAATGATGAGAGAATACATTGCAGATTGCATTTTGATAGATTGTCAGATCTTTCCGATTAGAAAAATATTCATCTTGTGCTTTTTATCTCGCAGATGTTTACAAGCTTTACTAGAATGGTTTTAGGTTTTAATTCCAGCAATTTCCTCAATCTTAAGCAAAGCCTATTTTAATAGTATTTTCTGCTTCTTTTTTCACGTATTTCACAGTATTTTCTACCAAGTCCTCAATAGAGGTTTAGCCATTCTCTGACTACCACCTTTTGCCCATCTTGATTACCCCATATCATTTACAGGAGCGTGATGCTTATGTTCCATTAGCAGAGCATGGGAGTGCCATGTTTTTCGTCATTGCCGATCTTGCAAAGATCAATGGGATGTACCAGTTTAGTCTTTCATCATTTCTTCATTTGTTCCAACGTGCTCTCGAACTCATAAAGGTATGTGGAGATGTTTCTGTTACGGAATTTATCCTTACCAAATGATTTTGATTTAAAAGGAAATTCGGTTGGTTTTATGGCTTCATATCATAGTCGTTTACTTTTTTGTACACGGGCAGACATGCTATATTCAAGGCATAGAAAGACAGTTGGTATTTATGTGAAGACGTCATTGAAACGGTGTCTTATTACAGATTCCTAAACAAGGATGTTTTTTACTACACAACAAATATATTTGACAACAGCTTAATCATCAGATGTGCTTGTCTCAATTTTTTTGTCGCTTTACAGGCATCAGAAATTTCGGGTGACAGGATAAAAGCTCTGAAGAATTCTGTCCAGTCTCTTGTTTACAACAATGTATGCAGCTCCCTTTTCAAGGTAAAGTATTGTAACAAGAGGTTAACAAAATACATTAAGTTCAATTCAAATTGTAAAAAGAGATTTTGCTTTTAAAAATATTTGCTGCTTCCAGCTGAATTTGAATTATTTTTGTGTTTCAGCTAGGAGTTCGCTTGCACTTCGTATGAATTTTGCACCAGTTTCATTTTCTGACTGTCTTGGCTCTTTTAAGAGAACATGATTATTAGAAATGTTCACAGAGTTGTTAATAAAGTTATTATAATCTCATTCAGTATTGAAATTCATCATCAGAGTCTGAACATCAATTGATCGTTGATATTTTTCAGGCTGATAGGCTGATGTTCAGTCTGCACTTAGTCCATGGAATTCATACCCAACTGTTCAAAGCTCAGGTTTGTATCTATTTTTCCTTTGATAATTGTTATAATACCGAAAAAGGCAGTGGAAGGTTGAGTCAGTTTTAAATGCAGAAAATGCCTGTGAAGATTGGAATTAATCATATTGTACGATAAGCCTGGCATTTTTCTTCAAAGCAAGTATTAAAGGCATTCAACAGATACTAGAGTAGCTTCAACCATCTGTCAATCGGCTATTGGCCAATCAATAAACGTGTGTGTGATATCACGCTTCTTGATTGGCCAATGTTTATCGACAGCTGGCTTAAGCCACTTTAGTTAATGTCAATTTCCGTTAATTTTTATATATCGCTTGGAGCTGTTTATGTTCCAAGAACGGCGAAAACTCACCATTTTTTCATAGTTTATTGCGTCCAATGGATGACGTTACAGTTTCTAAAGAATCGAATGAACGAGCTTTACTTTTCGATTTTACTTTTTTCATGCAGGAATGGGAGTATTTCTGTGGTCTTGTTGTTGACAACATGTTGAGGCGACAAGTAAGTAATGGTCTTGTTACTTTGCCTCAGGTTTAGCCTTTTCTCTACTTCTATCCTTATTGCCTCCCAGTATAAGAGAAAATAGATCATACTTGCCATTACTTGAAATATTATCCCAAGGAATTGTTCATTTAAAGGAAAATTGATTTGTTTTCAAGAAGAAACACGATTTATTCACGTACGTTGCTTTAATTTGCACCAACAAGCGCACGATTGTGTGATCTTTGTTTTAAAATTGTGTTAGGTTTCTAGACCATTTGAGGAGGTGGGATGAAGCCTGAAAGATATCCTGTATCTTTAATTTTTGTTTGGTAAATAGACTCATTGATGTCACAATTGCAAGTTCCTTTACCTAACTGAAATTCTAAATATTAGTTTTATTCTGATCATTCACCTTAACTACTCCAAGGATTCTCTTCTGGAGATCAAAAGTGGACTACCGTCATGGATTGATCACGAGCGAGCCCAGGCCATTAGCTCGCTAAAGGTGAATTTTATTCAAATACAAGCCAACTGAATTGTTAACTTTAGTGAATTACGCTTTATGAATACTCTTTGAAATAAACCTTAACTTGATCGCAATAGCATATAATCCATATGTTTCCTGTTTGCTGACATGATGTTTGCTGTCTCTACACCGTGCCATTTGCTTTTTTTGTCTGGTTTCTTTGTTTCACTACAGTCTATACAAGTCTTTTTACTTTTAGGAGATTATCTTCATTTTTGTCATATTCAAGCCAGTTTGCTTTAAAAAAGACAGTGAATTTTATCAAGCCCTTAGTGCAACATCTCCCACGATTACCTAACACTCATTATCCTTGCTTGTAGAACACTTTCCCGGAGCTTTTCACTGCTTTGGACCTGAAAAACTCTTCATTATGGGATCCCTTTGCAAAGAGCCCACACTGCGAGCAAGACTTCCCCAGGGACTTATCAAAGAAAGTGTCGAATTTCCAGCAGGTCAGTTGGCTTTTGTCAATGAATCTTCTTAAACAGAATTCTTCAATCTTTTTTGTCAAATGGATATCGCCCTTTTTATTTCCGCCGAGTACCTTTAAGACTTTTTGTTGTCGATTACACCAATCAAGTTCTTCTTAGCACATCAAAGAAGCAAAGACATTTCAAATCTAAGTATACAAAAGCCTACATCATTGGGGAAAGGGGGGCACACAACGGTCATTTACCCCTCCCCACTTTTTCAAAAGTGAGCCAACAACTTTTAAAGTCTTAAAAAAATATGGACAAAGACTTTGAATTACGTTTATTAAAACTAATTGCGAATAAAAGCAGTCCCTTCTTTTTTAATCTAGACCCCAAAATATCGCCTCTCAACTTTGAAATGTTTGTTATATACCCTGGTATTAGCTTATTACTACGAATTTACTTAGAGTTTGAAACCAATTTTTGAATGTATCTCTTCAATATCTATTAGCTGCCCATATAATATCTAGCATGATGAAAGCAACATTTTTTACAGGTCCTAGCTGTTCAAACAATCAGACCAGATCGACTGCAAAGCGCAATGGCATTATTTGCAACCAAAGCTCTTGGTAAGAGACTTCTTTTTTGTACTGGGAGAGACTCTGTTGCTGATATCCTTATCTTTGCCGCAGCCTTTTAACACATAGTGTCTGCAACCCGTCCAATTTTTCCATCAACTGCTGAATTGTTTATTAAATTACCTTATTTCTTAAATTGTTGTGTGTCCTTTTAGTCATTTTTAACATTTGGTCAAACGATATTGTATTTGCAAATTGGCTCTGAAATTATTTATTTCATCAACAGAGCTTAAGTCACTTGCCGCCCCGTCTCTAAATCTTAAGAGACTGATGACCGAGACAACACCGAAGGAGCCAATTTTGATCATCATTTCGACTGGAGCGGATCCTTCTCAGGTGCGGGTTTACCTTTTCACTTATTCATTTATTTATTATATTTAAATTTATTTTTTACTCACTAACGTATAATTCTTTGCGGTCCTGGCTAAAAAATATTGCTTGAAGTATTGCTTTGATCAATTTTATTTTCTTTGATTCGAAGTGGTAGTCAGGTACCAGAACACAAAGTCTGTGCTGCATTGCTAATGAAATTCTCTATGCAACATGGCCCGTTCTGTTGCCGGCCCTTTCTTTTGTCACTGTGGAGTTACTTCCAACGTTCATGCGAAATCACTGAAATCACTTCCAACATTTATTAATTGCATTCACTATCATGTTGGCCTATCATAAATACAACTGTTCGAAACAAACTTGTTTGTATTCCATTGTATTTGAGATTGGAGTGCCTTTCTTGTTCATAGGAATTGCAAGACTTCGCCGACAAAACTGTTGGACCAGAGCACTTCCATCAGGTTTTTAAACCATTCTTCATATTCTGTTGCTCAGCTGCTCCCTGCGTCTCCCACCAGATATTTTTATTCTCTCTCAAGCTCCGTCTTTTTAATTTGCAATGTATGTTTTGGTGTGTTACTTTCTACTTCACAGTTTGCTACTTTTAGATTGAAAAACTTACTTTTGTTTGTTTGCGGCAAGAATTTTATTTGGCTACTTGCATATATTATACAGAAGCATATCAGACTTATTGAACTTTTTATCTTGGTAATTTGTCATTTCGTCGTTTCGTTTAGGTTGCAATGGGACAAGGCCAGGCTGAAATTGCATTGAAATTGCTAGACGACTGTGCAAGGCAAGGCGAATGGTTATGTTTGAAGAACCTCCATCTTGTTACTGCATGGCTTCCGACTTTGGAAAAGGTACTGCTGAATGTTTTGCTCTAAACGATATGGCACTATTCTCCTACGTCCCTAAGCAATTGAGATACATTTTCTGGAAAAAATTTGAATTTTTTTTCAGCCATATTCACATGTGTTTATAGCAAATTATATCGAGGAAATCAGGACAATTGGTGATTTTGCTGTTAAAACGATGTCAATAATTGACGTGTCCGGATGTCCGGAAGCATATGTTATTTGTTTGTGTCGATGGTTGTTTTTGATCTTGGTCATTCCTTGTACCGGTTTACATCGTGATACTTCTTTTGATCAGGTAATAAATTCACTTCAACCGCACGAGAAGTTCAGGCTGTGGTTGACAGCAGAGTCACATCCAAAATTTCCAGCTATTTTGTTGCAGTCAAGTTTGAAAGTCACTTATGAGGTTAGTATGTTTGTACTTTTAGTGCTTCTTCCAGTTTTGTTAACTGCATTGCATACTTCTCCACTCGCTAACGTTTGCTGATCATATAGATCGTATTGAACATTCGCTTGCTTTGGCTCTGATAGTGACTATTGTTTGTTCATAATTTATTTTATCATAGTGTCATTCCATCTCATATACACTAGAGCGTAGTTGTAGTCACCCTCAAATAACCCTTCACCTGTCAGCATGTATCAAGTTGAATGCGTTGTTTTTATAGTAAGGGGGGTCCATGCTTTTCCTTCTTTCTTTATTCTCTTGCCACTAGCCTTCTTTTACTTCGGCCTCAGCATATAGACAACAGCTCGGGATTGCTTTACCCTTTTTCTCATTTTTCTCCTCTTTTGTTTTTGTGCCTGCTAATTAATATTTCAGATTTTAAAGATCATCAGGAATTAATAATATTCAGCTTTGGTTTTTAGATGGTTCAATCTTATATGTTGATTTTTCAAATAGATTTGATTTTATCCCATATATTTTGCAATCCACGCTTTTTGTGTATAGAACAGGACTGTTTTAAGATGCTATTTCGAGTTTCACGCTTGATGCGATCATCAGGCAATTGTTGCATCAGGCAAATGAACAGTCCTGCTCTATTCAGCGTGCACAGCTCTGCCTATACTACACCCAGCACTTTTTGACAGACCGGTAAACAGCAATTTTGTTGTTGTTACCAAATCATCACTAATAAACTTTGAATAAACAGCAATGATATTCGATTTTCTAAGTAAGATGAACTTTTTTTCCATAGGCACCGCCTGGTATCAAGAAAAACATGCAAAGAACATACGAAAACTGGACGCCAGAATTCATTGCCCAGTCAAACTCAGTGGCAAGAGCCCAGTCTTTGTTTGCTCTGTGTTGGTTCCATGCCTTAGTCCAAGAGCGAAGAAATTATATTCCACAAGTAATATATCATTTTGTTTCCTTTTCATGCAGATCTCGTATTTGTCGTCTTTCTGGTCTTTTTAATTGCGGTATTCATATTCTGATTTAACAAATATTATTACTTGATTCGGTTCCTTGCTTTCAGTCGTGGTCAAAATGTGATTTAGAACAATATATATTAAATGCACGTCAAGGTTTTTCTTGAATTTAAAGCTGTTACATTAATCGCAAAAATGAGTAATTGATTAGTTTAGCTAGCTCAACGTTATAATGAATTCAGTACTGGAGCCCCCAGCAATAGTCTGTTCTTATGGGTTTATTCGAGGTTTCGTGGTATTTTTATGTTTTAAACCCCATTCTTCTTCTTGGTAGGGATTTACAAAATTCTACGAGTTTTCTTCAGCGGATATTCGCGCTGGTGCCGACATCATCAACAGGCTTTTCATGAAAGCAGGTGAAGATTATCGTTCTTTCTGTACAAACGATTTGATGTTAATGATGGACTTTTTGTTTTTCTCATTAAACTTAATGTGTAACAACATAAACGAGAATGCACTGCTTTCAATGTTGCAATTTTTCTCAACTGCTGATATTGTGACAATGTGAGATAATCTGTAGCCTCGTCACACCTTTCCAAACATGTTTGTTAATAGAAATTTTGTTAGAGCAGCGAAGTCTTTTAATGAGTGGGGCAACCCCCATCTTGGAGCCTGGAACTGCGCATGGAACTTGATCACTATTATGTATACTCTTCGACTCCAAGACGGGGGTGCCTCACACAAAGAAGAAACACAAAATCTGACAAAACTATTCCTGTATCTTAGTCTTCTTGAGAGATCTCAATGTCTTATAACAACAGTCATTTGAAATGCAAAGGCCTAAAAAGTATGATTCAATTTGAAGGTACTCAATTTGAAGAACCAAAATACCGTTATCTTACTGCTTACAAGTTTTTTAATTCATTCCTCTATTGATTGAACCTTGTTTTTGCTTATAATAATTTTAAACAAAATCAATTTCACAGGCAGTGGGTCAATTCACTGGGATTTCGTACATGGGCTTTTTGAGAACGCCATTTATGGTGGAAGGGTTGACAATAACTTCGATGTTCGAGTTTTGACGTCATATCTAAAGCAATATTTTGCTGACGGGCTGTTCTCGGGACAGGTTTGCCAACTTTTCTTTTACAGCATATGAAATTTAACTTTGGTTTTTAATGCATTTTTAAATGCAAAGCGTGTAATTTTTTCGATCTACAAGTTTTGATACACATATTTTTATGACCTACAGAAATTCCAAGATTGTATTAATATTTTTTTAGGGATCGTCACGAGGTGTAAAACAAAGAAAATTAGGCGAATTTCTAACACTACCATCGTCAACAAACTACAAGGTAAGCCGGAAAAATGCTTCTTGTTTATTTGCAATAGCCTAAAGTTTCTGCTCCAAACCGATACATAGAAGAGCTGAAATGAACATTACATTATCTTGCGTTCCAAAAATTAAATACAACGCTATTTTCTTTATTTCTGTTGTTTTTTACCCTATCTCCCATATATTTTTCTTGTAAAGTTAAAAATTCGTCATTTTTTTTCTAATCCAGATGGGCTTTATATAACAGCTGGAAATCTGAGTATGGCTTTTGCATTCAAATGTATCCACCTTGGAGTTAAACGTTTTAAATCTATTTGAATGCTTGTTGTTTCTTACAAGTTTCTACATTTTGCTGTTAATACCTGTCGGTTGTTTGTTCTGTTTTTCTAAATCAGAAACCTATTTCTCTAGGAATTTGTTGATATCATCACATCATTGCCTGATGAAGACACCCCTTCATTTTTTGGACTGCCAGCAAACATAGAGCGCTCCTCTCAACGGATTATCAGCTCACAGGTTCAAGCGAAAATCTTAGAGTCTCAATACAGTTCTTTTGTTGCTCTTCATTTTACGTAGAAATTGTTAATAATCATTTCAAAGAAACTTTCTGAGCTTTGAATTTGACTTTACTGGCCATAACAGATAGGTTATTGAATGTTAACCTGACTTGGAGGTGCTTCGCATAGAACTTTGCACTTCCCCTTTTCTCTCTTGTAATTTCTATGCTATATCAGTGACAAACAAAATAATATCCTGTTATTTTCGCCCAGAATTGAATTTAATCTAAAAGATACTTAAATGATTTGAACTCTTAGAATATGAAATGTTTCACACCTTGTATGTTAAAAGTTTTGTGATCAATCAAATATTATGTGAAAAAGTGAAATCGTTATTGACTCTGCGAGCAATCAGGGTAATATTGAAAGGCACAAAATACACGCAAAGAAATTCAGAAATATGAAATGAAGGAATCAGAATTTTGTAGAAACAGCCTCTGAATAAAAGATTGGAAGCCTGAAAATACAGCTCAGTTCTTAAAAAGACTGTTATTTATCAATCTTGATTGTAAAAAACTGCGTTGGTTTCCATAGGTCATCTCTCAGTTGAAAATCTTGATGCGTTCGGATGAAGCAGCGAAAAAATTCAACAAGGAGAAGTGGGCTACAGAATGTGCCCCCATTCTGAATCTTTGGAAAAGACTCAATCAGGTACTTTAATAAATTACAGATCTGAACCATCACTTTGTTCGTTTTCGTATTGGGGAATTGGAGATTGGGGAATTGGAGACTCTCCACGAACCACAGGAGTTAATTTGAAGCCTCCTGCTTATGCGTTTCTCTTGCAGGGCCCCGTCTAGAAGGATCGAAAATGACATTTTCATCATCTTCATGATTATTTAATCTTGAATCGAAAAGAAATTTGTAATTATAAATCCCTCTGATAACAAAATAATTTTTATTGGCAGGGTCACCAGATTCTCCAAAAGAAGGTTCACCAACCTCATGAAGATGATAGCTCTTTGCCCGTTACGTCATTCATCAAGCTCGAGTTGTTCAATGCAATTCAACTTGCCCAGCACATTCACTCCACATTGGCATCCCTAGCTAAGGTTATCAAAGGAACTCAACTGCTGACATCAGATGTCGAGGCATTGGCAGTGGCAATTATGAGGCAGCAAGTCCCGTCTGATTGGTGCACACGCTGGGAGGCTGGGCCAGAGGATCCAGTGCAATGGCTAACTGCCCTCATGAACAAAACACTGGCTTTGGTGAGCTGGGCCGAGAAAGCAGAATCCGGAAAGCTCCTATCCTCAACCTTAGATTTATCGGATTTGTTTCATCCGGATACATTTTTAAATGCTCTTAGGCAACAAACTGCAAGGTCAGTTTTCTTTCAAATATAATGTAGGGCGAATCCTTGCTTTATTGTTAAATTCCTTAAACATTTTATGAAAATGTGACAATATGTTTTCGAATTAATATCTGAATCGAATGGGTATAACAGAAATGTATAGGTATTTCAGTTGCTTCGTAACAGACCAAATTTAAGGGATAGACTTCCATTAGACAACCTCTTTCATTCAGAGACATTACAAGAGTTATCTTTTAAGATAATGTAAAAACCTAAGATAAGGAAAGTTTGAAATTGAAAAGCCATGGAGAGAAAGCTATCAAATCTTAGTTTCTTGTGGTAACTATATTTTTATACTTGATTCAGAGCCGCCAAAGTCCCTATGGATAAGCTGAAACTTGCGTGCACGTGGAGGGATGAAAGGATTGCCGGGGCCAAGCATACTGTTAAGGTTTGTTATGTTTAGCTACAGCAACAAACGACTGTTGAGATAACTTTTTTAAACTATTAAGACTGATCTATTTAGATAATTGAGACGAAGGGAATATAAAACAACTTTAAGTATTGATTGCAGGGGCCTGTTTATTAGGAAGATTCGTTTCATGGTGTTTAACAGCCCAGTATCGACATTTCTGCCCTATACAGTAAACACCCGTCACCCGTGTATAAGAACGCAAAATTTTGCAAACCAGCATGGATAGGTTCTTATATATTGGGTATTGAATAGGAAACGAGGCTGTTTAGCATTTTAGATTGCATCTTACGTGATGCAGGGCTTTCATAAATGTATTTAGTTCCGATTCAAACTTCAGTCATTTTGATGTGATTGAAGGGGCTAAAGGTCTTGAAATTGTAGTGGATTACAAACTTTTTTGTGGAAGTTTCTACTACCTACAGAAAGTGCTACAGTGAAAGCTGAGCCAAAGGAGTCCGCCAAAAGCTTGAATTTAAGTTAAATAATGGACAGTACGGCGCTTAAACTTGGGAATTGAAAAACATTGCAATATTGAACAGAGTAATGAATACTGCATTTATAAAGTTATTGTAAAGAATCTAAAATATCAGTTAATGGTTCAATGACAATGAGTAAGCAACTAGTGTTTTATACTGTATCTAAATCATGTTTTGGCTAAACTGTCTTCTAACTTAGAAAATATTTGTAGTTTTCAAAGCAGAGAATAATTATTTTGATATTACCATATCTCTTCTACTGTTCCATGTACAAAGTGCCTTGCTTTCACATAACTTGAATAATCTTTTTAACGTTTTATTTTATTCGTTAATATTTTTTTATAATAACGTTTTATTTACGTTTTATTCGTAAATTTTATTCTAATAGATTGAGGGGCTACAGCTGGAGGGTTGCACTTTTGATGGCAAGAAATTGCACGAGAACACGCGTGACTCATCAAGCATTTCTGCGATACCCGTGTGTACATTGGGGTGGATACCAAGGGTAAGTCTAGAGTTTGTCATCTTTATTGGATTCTTTTTATTTGTATTTGCAGTTGAAAGGTTGGCTACATCAGCGTTTAAAATTTGATGGGTTGTATTACTCAAAAGCCTTGCATTTTTTCCCCAATTTATCACCTCTTAGCTGGATTATTTCCTGTCACAATTTTCGAGGGGATCGTTTCTAAAAATTTATTTTGTATTATAACAGGAAAGTACTGATCCGTACCCCATTGATGAGTGCATCGCATTGCCCCTGTACTACACCCTGTTCCGGGATCGTGTCGTCACACAGCTGAATGTTCCTTGTGGGACTGAACAAGACAAGTGGATACAGTCTGGTGCTGCACTTTTTTTGAAGAACATGTGACCGTGACTTGCTTTTTACGATTTATGTTATTTGTCACCCGAACCTTGCATATAAGCTCATTTACCTTCATTGAGAATTGAATACGATAAAATACGATAAAAACGTAACCATACGAGTGAAGTTCGGAAATCAACAAATGGAGCCTATTCATTCAACTTGGCTTTAGATATAACTTTGAAATATGTGACAGGGCCCACGCCACGAATTTTAAAGTGGGGCGCCAAGGCTAGCAAAAATAGGGGGCCAAGACTTTTTTCCCCTTTTACTGCAGCTTCAAAACTACTTGCTTCTCAAACAAGTTGGGGAACATGGCCACCCCGGCCACCCAGGTGTAATACTCGATAAAAAAGCAAGTTACTTATTTATTAATTTCTGCCCCTTACCACAATTGCGCTTATATGCAACGTTAAGGATGTTATGCAGAATCTAGTTTGTGAAACGTTTTTTTTGCACTTGTTAAACATCGTGCACAATTCTTTTTTAGTGCTTTACTGTGTAGTTAAATCAGTGTTAGTAAATTATTCAGAATGGATTATTCAATTTGTGCCTGCTTCATTACTAGCGTTCTTAAACTCACGTTTGACATACACATTTTTGGTGAATCCTGTTTGAAATCATGTTTGAATTCCAGGATGATTACTACTCATGGCAAAAAGTGGCAAGAGGGCTAGGTGCCATGGTCCTATAAGTAAAATTGGTTTTTTGGCATTACAAAGCCTTTTCCTTGGGGAGCACCTTACATGTCAGACTTTCATTGAATTTGGATCAGAGATTCCACTCGGATTTAAATCTTTCAAAGTTTTTTTTGCCTTTTCTCGAAACTGTTCTAAACTTATGCCCTTAAAGCATTAGCTTGCAGATGAAGACATGAACTAAAAATGCTCAAACACTTGAATCTATATGTTTTAAGTAGCTGACAAACAGTACAGTATAGACTGATCTATTGTTCTACTTTGTACAAAAGCAAAGAGACAATAAGATTTTTGTTAAGTTTTTAAAGGTTTACAGGCACAAGCTTAAAGTAATAAGCAGGCAACTTAGAGTGGCGTATTATTTTGAAAATCAGGGTCTTTGTTCCCTAAATTTTGTTAATTTCCCAAAGTTTTTGCTTGCTTGACTGACCCTTTTTTGATCTGCTGAAAAACTGATTTGTTGCAAGAAAACTTTTTGAGTCAAGTCCAGCCTCAGTTTTGGCTATTGCTTACTTCAATGTTTGAAATAGAAACATCAGAATAGAACAGTTATTTGAAATTGAATAACTGTCTTGTTTACAAACTCTAAAGCTCTCGAACCAAACAACTTATATGCCAAATTTGGAAGATCTTGATAACAGGGACAATTTTAAACCCATCAAGTTCTGAAGAAATTACTATTCAAATAAATTAAATTATTGATGTTTTTAATTAATTTTTATGTAAACATAAACACAAGGGGAAATTATAAAATATATTATATGACACTGATTGGTCAACCTCTACAGTCATGTGCTTGTGTTTCTGATTGGTCTATTTCAATCCACAACTGGGTATATATATTTCCTAGCGTAGATTTTCCGATCTATGTTCTGACGTTTTAAACTCTGAAGAGTGTCAGACGAAAGGCTTTAGTTTACTCAAATGTTTGCTTTTTCCAAAGCCATATATTTTTCAATTAATCTGGTGATTCAAAAAATATCAGAAGGAAAAATATAAAAAAACTATCAACATCTTCATTTCTACTTTAAAACTCATTTGGAACAAGAGTCTATCAGTGATGAAATACAAATGCATAGGTTAAAACAAGACATGAATTTTTTATATACTTCAATTGTGAACAGCAAATAATATAATTGTGAACAGCAAAAATATCATGCGAGATGAAATATTCTTAGCAAATTTACAAAACTGTGATGAAAATATAATGCAACTTTATATGCTTGCCTCATATCAGCTATTTTAATAAAATGGAGCTACCCAATTCATACACTTACACACTGTATATACAAACATTAGAATGTATTTAGGGTCTTATATTATTAAACCACAGCCATGAATTTTGTGATATCAAATATATACAGTTACAGAAAAGTAAGAAATCTATAAGAGAATGCCATTGGTATTAAAAGAAGACTTGATGCAAAAAACATGTAAATGCATTATTTATCTTTATCATTATCAATAATTATGGAAATCTAAGCTCCTTAATGATCAGTGGGCCTCCCAGTAACAGTTATCGCTCATTCAATATTTAAATTTGTTTATGTAACATAGAAGAGTTGTATCACCCTGCTAACAATCACATTGGTGTCTGTGTTCTTAGTCTTAAAGGAAGGCATTTTAAATTAGCATTGGTTGAAACAATTCCTTATTTATAAAAAGCTTAGTTCCAGGAAATGGAGACAGCCTTTGTGAAAGTTTCCTGGGATCTTTCAGTGCTTCAACTTTGTACTTTTATATCTTTTACTTCGTTTTGTTTTTGGCTCTTCATCTGTTTCTTCACTTGACGATGAATCTGAGGAGCTTGAAGATGATGAAGATGAGGAGGATGTGCTGGTAGTTTCTGAATCTGATGAGTCAGAAGACGAGTCTGAAGAGCCATCTGATGGAGCCTCTTCTTCTGAAGATGAAACTATCTTCTTTTCACTGAAAATATTTTGAACCATGGTTATTTCTATTGTTTCATAAAGGAAACAGAGGGCACCAGTACTTGTCTTGAAAACTTTTTATTATGTAAAGGAAATATTGGGGTGATAAACTAGTAAAATTTATCTATGCATATATGTCATGCCTGACTGTCAAATATGCTAGTTTGTAAAATGTCTCAATCTAAAACAAGTGCATGAACAAAATTTTGATTAGTGAAAAGAAATCTTAAGCTTTCTGCTGTCTTGCCTTTGCTCATATCAAAGTATGAAATGAGTTGTGTAGCAAGTATTCAATTTTAAGCAAATTTTACCATGTTTTTTGAGTGTATGAACTAAATTTGCATTCATAATATATCTATAATCTTTACCGAAATTTGTAATTCCAATAAAAATTAAAGATTTCACTCAATTTACAAAAATGCATTGATGTTGTAAAGCACATAACTAATTATTAAATGTTAAACCTTTCTGTCGCATCTTCCTTTTCCTCTGTAGGTTTGGGATCCTTTTCCTTGTCCTTCAGAATTCGTGTTCTTGATGGACGATAAACATATTTTCTGTCATTTTTACATTCATATGTCCAATGGCCAATTTGTAAGCACTTTTGGCACTTTTGACTTTTTGCTTCTTTGTTGCTGCAAAAATTTCAAACAAAATTTATTTATTGAGTGAGCAAAAATGCATGCAATTAGATTCAAAACACTTTTTCACTTTATTGAATATTAATATGAATTGCTGGTCAGTAACTTCAAAATCAAATGAAAACCAATATAACATAGTTATAATTATTTTATAGCTGTTACTTTTTCTTCACTGATTTTTCTGGCCTAAAAATTTGACAAGTAAGGTACATATTTAACAGGTGTCATTTGCATGAGGGCAATAGCTCTGCCCAAACAACGCAAATAAAAGCTGTGCAGCACACAGTGAAAGTTTAAGTCTAAGACAAAAGATGACAAAAACTATAATTAAAGAAAATGAGGCAATCAAATAGCATTTTATTTTTTTATAATATTGACTTACAAAATTTAATCTGAACAGCTCATATTCCCAAACTGCAGAGTATGGCAGATTTTAATGATGATCTCAAGATTTCAGGTGTATAATAGCAAAATTTCAATTTTGCAAGTGTGCACTTTGACCAGACTGGAAACTGACTCTTGCGGGGACAGGTTTACTTTGAAAATTTGAGACTGCGTGGATATCAAAGTAAATATGACACAGCTGTTATGCCGCGGAAGTCAGGACAGCATTGGCCCATTCTCTGACCGCATCGAAGAAAATCGATAATATCTCAAAATCTAAAAAAGCTATGAAAGAGCTGTTTTTCGTTTTGGACTTGGCATTAAATTCTGTACTAGAACCTTAGAATAGAATCGTAATTGAGTTTGTCGGTTCCCTAAATCGGCTTCCCGCGAAATTCTTTAAAAGAATTTGTCTATCGATACCACTGCCAAAGCCAACCAAACAAGGATAATTTGAAATATTTTTGTATCAAACACTCTGAAAAGGTAGGAAATGTATGAATATAGCATTTAAAGCGTTTTAATTCAATTGTTCTACCTTTAAGTTTATATTTTCATCGCACCTAATGGAGAAGCCGAAGAGAAGTACGCTGCGAAGGGACCTCGCAGATTTGGAGAATCGCTACGAAAACATGAAGTTTTAGGCCGACCGGGTCGTCGAAAATCGGCTCACGCTTCCACAGACAGGCTTATTTTGCTAGAAAAATGTACCAAATCGATGCTTTATTCGTAGGAGAATGAAATTCTTGGGGTGCACAAGCGGACAGAAAAGCTCGCAAACGGTTGAGATTCAAATTTCACGCAAACGCAAGAAAAGCGTTTTTTTTGACTGGTTCGCACCAAATGCTGACCTGTGCACCCCCATAGTTTTTTAACCTCGTTCACTGGCCAATTCATGCAACAAAAATGAAGTATTTATCGTCTATCGTTTGGAAGCGCCAGAGAAAAGTAAGAGGAACACTTTGGCCTAAAATCGCCATCGCATAGGAAAATCACAAAAATGGTTGTCCTTTCGATTTTTTTCCCGTAAACCAGAAACAATCATGCAAACAACAAATTTATGTTATAAAGGAAGCAAAAGTAGATTTTTCTTTTAAAATTATTCGCAACTTTATGGAGTAAGTGTACGATTTATTACTGAATTTTGAAAATCACTCAATTTTCGAAAGCTGCGTGTTGCAGTCTGTTAAAAGGCAAAATATTCGCTGTCCTCATTTCCCCGAGAACAATAGGCGTAACAGCTGTGATGAATTATGTTAAGAAAAGAAAATCCTATTGATAGTTATTCTGTTATAAAACCATTGCAAGTTTATTTTCATCTTGTAAAAACAAATTTCTTCATTTGCCCTAAGCAATATAACACACTCACGCCATGTCCAGATCTTAAAATGCCAACCTTTTACCAAATGTGCAGGGAACATTTTAGAACACTACTGGGGTGTGCACTTGCCATAGTTTACAGTTTGGTCAGTTTCTACAATAAACCATGAATTCATTGTTTCCATCTTTTCTTTTATCGTTGCTTTTTGTGATCCTTTGAAAATATCCATAATTTTTATGGCTTAACTTCGGAGGATGCAAAACAAATCTTTCTATCCTTGTGATTTTTGTGACTCAAAAATTGTCCAAAAATAAAATAATTTGATTAGCTAAAAACGTTCACAGCCTATAAGAAAAATTTAGCAATAAAAATTTGACACAAGCCTTAGTGAAACCATACTTTAAGTTTCAGCGTGTAGTTATTTTCAACGATACAAGTTTAAACCCAAACCTTTTTGACTCTCTCAAAAACTTCCAGGCCAAGGCCGCCATGTCTTCGCGGGACAATCGCAGCGAGCCACAGGGTACAGAGGTGACAATTTTCATCCTTCGATCGAGGCTGGAAGAAACGAAACGAACAACAAAATGGCGCGCGAAAAAGAATGGTTTTTTACTCTATTTGGAATATGTTGTTGCATCAAGCTGCTTTTGTTGCCAGCATAGTATGATCTTTGATAAAGCTTTAAAAATGTTTGATATCATTTTGCTGATTCTATTTTTGTAATTAGCTTCTTTTTTATCAAATAACTTCATCATAAACCATTCGTTTCCTGAAATGGAACCTTCACTACTACCATGGTACTAGTTTACTTTCCTTGATTTCGGCCCAAAGAACGCCATATTATATCTAACTCTGGCACATCTTAGGCTGTGGACCTTAGAAAATTCTTTCTGCAATATATGCGATGGGCTGGGGTAACCTCTACAAAGATCTTTCCTGCACCCAGGAAGACTCTTGAAACACAAAATTTGCTTGTATTTTTATTTTCTGTAGCTTGTAGCACCAACAAAAAGGAAGCTAATGAAAGAAATCGAAATTACAATAAGCCGGTAGTATTAAAAGCTAGGAATTTAAACTTTCTGTGAAAGTCTATGTAGAATTCAAACTGAAAAGTCTCAAAAGGAGAATGCTACCCATGCTAAAAAGGCATGGTCATTAGATTGCCTGGACAAAGTTAACACTAAATTTTCCTTATATGTTTTCTTATATAATGATTTCTGTGTGAATGATATCAGTGGACACAAAATGGTAAAGGGCATCCAAATGACCCTGACTAGGATCTTCAAAGTATATGTTTGAAAATCTATGACAAAAGGCAATGAATAACATTTGACAATGTACTGCTCACCAAGTGAGTCTTACCAGTCTTTATATTCAAGAACCCATATTAGGTATTCCAAGGTTTCTTGATGAACTGTAGAAATATCAAAACAAACTATAAAAATGCTTTCTTCTTTAATTTTCAATGCATTTGTCTTTGTTGCACTCAAAGTTTTGGTGTAGATATGTGTAGTTGCCTTTTAACATTATTGTTTATTTGTATTCTGATCAAAATCTTATCTTGCAGCCGATCTACAGATTTTGAAGTGCATAGAAACTGGCTTGCAATCACTCATAGCCTACCTGTTTCTGACTGGTATTATGAGGTAAGTTTCAGTCCATATGACTACACAATGCACAAATTTGTTACTTTTGTAGTCCTGTGGAGCTTAAACTGTTTTCAAGTATAAATAGAATTTAATATGTAGCTAATGAGCCTTTTATTTGCATTCTTACTTCGCTAACGATCTTAAAGAAACTACGACTTAAATTTTTGAACGGGCCACACATAAAGGATTATACTTTGTTGGATACTCTGGTTGAGATACGTTTTGGTTTATATTCTACACTTGTGAAGCAAAAAAAAGAAATAGTTTTAAAGGATGAGATAAAACAAATACAAATGTTTTTTAGGCTGGAAAGTGGTAATGAAAAAAATTCTGGGCTTGAAAAATTGAATTGAAGTGTCTTGCTGTTTTAAAATGAAATGCCCAGTTTATATTATTTGTAATATAGAACTTAAAATTGATGCTATTATTGAAAAAATGACTTGTGTTTGACCTTTTGTTATTAGGTTCTACTCATGGTACAAGTCCATTAAAGAGACTTGTTTGCGATAAAGGTGCATGCATATCTGTTTAGGGGTTCATGTACTTGTAACCAAGCCCCCCCCTTATCTAAGCAGGGTAAATGTGTATAAGTTTGTAAGAAAGATTTGCATTAGTGAATAAATTGAAACAATGCCTTTTATATTTGGGCAAGTCAATTGCATTATATATGTTTATTTAATTCATAGTTTCATTTTTATGTTCTGCAAGGGTTTTTCATCTTTTTGATAATTCATTCTGACAGGAAACTTCACAATGGACCCTGGACTACCCACCCTTCTTTGCATGGTTTGAGTATTTACTATCCCAGGTAGCAGAGTTCTTTGACAAAGATATGCTAATTGTCACCAATCTTGAGTATGGAAGCAGAGCAACAGTTGTATTCCAGAGGCTGTCTGTAATCTTCACTGACTCTATGCTAATTTATGCAGTGTACAGGTAGATATATATTTACGTAGTTTTTTCTTTAATTTCTCAACTTACTTGGTTGCTTTTTATGATATGAGTGCTATGTTTGTTTGAAAGTGTTAGATGCTTCAGGTTACCAATTGTTTGAGAAGACTGTATTGTGTAACGATATCAGTTGTCTTGAACGTTGCCTTGTTTACATTGTGTAAAGAAACTGCTCTAAGGTAGATGAAACTTTTTCTATTGTGAGCTCAATATATATTTTCTGTTTAGATAACACTTTTGATATCTCCCCTTTTCCATTAGATACATTGTTTGTAATCTTCAAGGATTCAGAAAAGAGCCTTTAGCAACAAGCAAAGTCTTCATCCTGACCAGTTTGCTGCTTTTTAATTTTGGATTGTTTGTTGTGGATCGTATCTTTTCAAGTTATTATCAATCACATGCTATTTTTTTAATAGAATGATCCCAAAGGTTAAATTGTTACATCAAGAAATATTTTAATTAAAGCCTGTTTGATTGTATCATCTAGAAATTAATTCTTCAAAGTGAATAGTTTGTTGGCCTGTTTTTAAGGTTGTTTAGCCATATTCAATTTTTATCTTTTATCAGCTATATAGGATAACCTCTTGCACTAAAATTTAGTTAAAAATTAGTGAATGATTTTAATGTGTTTAATGTGTCTTTGTTTAATGTGTGGATAGATATTAACTGACTACTGAATCAGTTACAGGATAGATATTAACTGACTATTTTAATGTTTTGTATATTATGACCAATAATCATTTTATGCTAATTTGCCCATTTTCTTTGATTGCAAACAGATATACATTTTCAGTACAATGGATTTCTTTTTGGCATTTTACTGCTATCTATACAGAAGACAACTGCGGTAACTTTTTTATATAAAGTTGTAATTTTTATATTCACGTGTAGCCAGTTTTATAGCAAAAGTATACTAGAGATTTCAGTTTCAGTTTTTGTGACATTGTAAAATTTATTTATGTGGTGTTTTTGCAGTTTGGCATTAAAAGTATTATTTGCAAAATTTTAAAGTGACACTATAAATCCTTGAATTACCCCCTAGTACAAAAGTTAATTGGCCCCAGTTAACTAATCAATAAGCTCCCATTTTAAAAGTAACAATTGTTAACATAAAGAAAGTAAGGAACAGTGCTAAATGCCAGGAGCAAGCAACAATATAATAAACACCAGCAAATTAATAGAAGCTTCATCAGAGCAAAAGTAAGCTGACTGACAAATTTACAAATTTAAGATTTTCAACATGCCTGAACCTTTGAATAAGCCTCCAACTTCAAACAAGCCCCCACCCTGACATCCATTTCTTGCATTTTGATAAATTGCCACAAATATTTACAATTCTTGAAATGAAAAATTCAGAAGAGTCATTTTTCCTTGATAAGTCACTCATTAGTAGATGATGCAAGACTAAAATGAACACGACACTTTCGCAATTTGTTTGTTAAAGACACCCATTTGCAGAATGTACAGATTATTTGATACATAAAAATTAAGTAGGCTGAATATCGAATAGAACTTTAAAAAGTGAAAATTCTTTGAAAAATACTGTTAGCATAGTGATATTATGATACCTTTTATAAGCCTGACAAACCCAACCTTTTATAAGCCTGAAGATTTAATTAAATGCCATTTTTACTTTGCAGGGAAGCATACCCCACGGAGCATTCCTGTTTGCAGTTCTCCTCAATTTCAAACATATCTTCCTTTACATCGCCCCTGCATATTTTGTTTACCTTCTGAGGGAGTTTTGTTTCCGAAATACAAGGAAATCTTCAAGTGAGTTAGACTGTGTTTGATTTTTCATTTCTGCTTCAGAGTTAAAATCATTTGTCAATATGAATAATCACGACTTTTAAAATCATTTATTTTTTCAATGTGTCACACAAACTTGCTTGTTTAAGGTTTCATTAATTTCTTCCTCTGTAGCTTTGACAAACAATCGGGTATTTTTCTTCTTTCAGGGATGGCAAATTTGATTGGTGTTGATATATTTGACCTGATGATATCGAGGTTGATCGGGCTAGGCCTTATCGTATCTTCAGTCTTTTTGGTTTCATTCGGGCCATTTGTATATATGGTATGTCATGGATTTCTTCCATTTCCTTTTTTCTTTGTTTGCTTTTTAATGTAGATAGAGCATGTAGCAAAAATATATTTTTACTTCGATAATTTTCTTCACCTTTTTGTGACAGAAAATGATAGAAAATTATCGTAAGTGGCACAGATTCCTCTAGATGGTATCTTTTTACGGAAATCGGTATATAAAGCTATGAATTAATCTTCTAGGGAGAGATCATTTCATTGAGGAGATTTTGCTATCATTTTGTTCTTCATACTCAATTTTCGCACATTCTCATTTCTGTCCGAAAATAGTTTTGTTTTTTGTTGTAGTAATCTGTCTTACTCCCTGATAAACATGATAGTTTATACTTTGTATCAAATTGAAATTCAAAGCTGTAAACTGTCAGTGAGAGATTGTCGGTCATTCATCTAACCTTTAATTCAATTCAGCTCGAGTCAGTTCAATTCAAGTTAAAATTTGGTCACATGAAAGTGATTCTTTATTTTTGGCTTCACATTATCTGGGTCGCCGTTTTCACGCCTTGTTGAAGTTATTTGGACCCAGTTGCTGATATTGAAATTGAGACCTACTTTCATGCCAACTCATTCCAAGTTCTATCTGGTAAAAAAGCTCACAAATTATTCTTCCCGATCTGTAGGGCGATCTCAAGCAAGTTCTTTCTCGCCTGTTTCCAGTAAAAAGAGGGTTGTGTCATGCCTACTGGGCCGCGAATTTCTGGTCCTTATATAATTTGGCTGACAAATTTCTTGCAATAGCTGGTATGTTTCAGTTCAATAAATTATATTCTAATTTTTTGAAGTAGTTGAAGAGTCACTCAATTATATTATGTGTAATGTATGTGCATACTTCTCTTCTCATCTGGTAGTTATAATCCACTTTTTAATGTTTAAAATTTTCCTTTCGACATTTTTTCTCCATTAATACTCCTATCAAAGTGGAACTTAATATAATTTCAAGGAGCCTCTGCCTTAACGTAGATTAAAGACACTGGTTGTCTTGTACAACATTGGTATCATGTGAAACCTTAAAGAAGTTAGAGAAGTTTGGGATAAATCGTTCACAATGTTGGTATCAATATATGGAAAGCATGACACTTTAGCTTTGCTGTAGAAAAAGCTGTTAATAACTGCCTTTTCTTAAGGGTACAACTGGCCTTTGTTTTCTTCTGTATAATAGACCCAAAGTACTGCAAGGGACTTGAAGTCCTTCTTTCGCTCAAACCAATATGAATTCTGTTTTACAGGTTCCAAACTAGGTCTCCATATCTCTTCAACAAGTCAAGCTTCCATGACTGGTGGCCTTGTGGCACAGCAAGAGCATCTCGTATTGCCGTCTGTATCTGCCTTGGCAACTGCAATTCTAACGTTAGCTACGATGCTGGTTTGTGATTTACTTTTTTTCTGATCAATGGTTTAAATTCTACAGTTTCAGATTGAATATTTTAGTAAAAGTCATATTGGATCTATAATCGAGCGATAAGGATAATTTATGTCCGTTCTTTCATAAAATAAACCCTGAAAAGATATTACTTAACAGGGAAAATACTTGATAATCATTTATGCTTTCTGTGGTAAAAAGCGAATATTCTATTTCTAAACTTAACAACCTGTTCTTCTAGCCTTCCTTGTAAGTGGCTTTTGTAGTGTTATGAAATTCCCACGAATTTTATAGACTAACAAATCATTCCGCTAGAAATCTTCAGCCAAGGTGTCTAATTCCTGCTTAATGCGTACAAATAGACCTTCTGCTATTCATTAACGAAAGTCATTAAAAGCCCTCAGATATGATTTTCATCACTTTTTTACCATATTATGTATCAATGCTTTTGATACCAATAAATATTCTCAGCATTCATTCTCGTCTTCGTAATGAAACGTTTAACTTAGGGCATGCAAATGTTATTTTTCAATAGTCAGTCAATCTTATCAAATTGTTTTACGTTTCAACGATTAATTAGTTTTTTGCCAATTCTACCCCTTTCTGACCTTTAATGCTCTGCGTTTGAAAATAACTAATCATGTTCCTTTGGTTTTGGAAGAAACACTGGCATTTGTTTAAGAATGAAAGAGTTTAAGAAAGTCTCTATAACTAGTGTCAAATTATCTATAGCATTTCAAGTTAATCTTTTACAGTATTGTTGTATTTACAGCCTTCGTTACTTAATATATGGTACAGACCATCTGGACCAAAGGGATTTCTTCGTTGCCTCATAATATGCGCTTATTGCTCGTTTCTGTTCGGTTATCACGTGCACGAGAAGGCAGTCATCATGATAATCATACCAATGTGGTATGTGCAGTTATTTTGCAAATATTTGTATTCACTCCCAGTTTCATTTTTTTGTGCTGTTTTTATTGGGGAATCATTGTTGAAATATGACATTTGATTCCTGATGTTAATTAATATCTGCAATTGGGCGTTAAAGCTTATTATATTGGATGCTCCAGTCTGGATTAGATCGATCTGCAATAATGCATTGCATATTCTGAGTTTAGTTTATTCCAAATGTACTGATCACACATCATAGGAAGCCACTTTGCCAGAAGAGCTCTGAGAACAGCATGTCTTAGAACTCGATGGGTACCTGAAACCATGAAACAAGAGAACTGATGAAATTTATCTATGTTTAAATATTTCACGGCCAAAGCCGTTCTGACTCATCCTAGACCAATCTAGAAGCATTTGATCATCAAACTTATCATTTATTTATTAAATGCGGTTTTGTTATTTCTAATTTTACCCACCTTTGATTATATTATTTATTAAGAAGTTGGCCACTCAATTATCGCGAATACTCTACTTATTTGTTTGTTAAAGCTAAAAGGTAATTGAATGTTTTGTGCCGACATGAATAAACTTGGTTTCCATTCCTTTCCTGATTTTTCTATCAAAACCGTAATCTTTTGGTCTGACCATAATTTTCATAGGGACCTTTAATTTTGAATCCATATACCTGCAGCTTATTTCTTTCTGTAAAAATAAGATATGGCACAATTTAGTTCTGTTCTCTACAATATTGATTTATATATATATATATATAGACTTATATCATTTCTACAACCGGGTAACACCGTATAAATTGAATCTTCAGCACTTTTCGTTGCAGTAGTGGATGGAAAATTTTTATCCTTTCCAGGCACTCAAAATGTTTTTCCAAACCAATTAATTTTCCATAAGTAATTCCAAAAATCTTTTTTCTAGCTTACTTGCAGTGGAATCAAAGTCAGACTGCCGTGCGTTCATCCTTCTCTCCGTTCCGGGACATTTCGCTCTGTTCCCTTTACTTTATCAGCCATTTGGTGAGTAAAACACGGAGTTTAAAAATGTTGTTCAGTAAAGCTATGTCTTGGCCGCTTTGATAACAAACATAGAGGAGCCAAATCCATTTTCAACAATCAATATATTAATTATATTAATTCATAAGTATATAGACCTTTTATTGCAACGATCAACCAATGATTTAATTTCATATTGCCCAGTTCGGAAATGCTTATGTTGTCTTTATGTAAATAGTTTCTCACTGCAAAATTCACCAGTTTGACGTGTTCTTATGCATTTACGTCATTATTCGCAGAAACTCCACTTAAGGTTACACTTTTCTTGGCGTACACTGTATTATCACTTGCATTTCTTGCTAAGTTGCACAGGTATGTACTGCTTCCTACTTTTTATGCACTTAATCGTCTTCACCCAACTTCACGACATACTTAGATTGACTAAGAACTTGGGTAAAAACAATGCTTATGTGCAATTGGAGTGATAAAGTAAATTGAAAAAGATGAATGGAAGGATGTGAGAAAATCTTTGAAAGAAGTAAAGGAAAGAAAGCTGGCTGAATTTAGCTTTATCGTGGGTAAAAATTGCTTAATCGTTGTACACCCTCGATAGAAAACAATTTCAAAGCATGACCGGAATGCTCAATTAAGGCTTTCATTCGTGCATGCTTGTTATAAATTCTATTCTGCAACTATTTGCACCTTGTTGCTACATTTTTCAGACCTCATTACTGGCTAGGGTTGCTCACAAACCGAATTCTTTTAGACACATTTCTTTGCAAATTGGTAATAAACATTAAACGTTGACAGTTTACCGCTGAAATTTGGCTGGTAGGACCATCTTTAAGGAAGAGATCATTTTTAGGGAAAGTTTTAAGTTAAAGAAGGAAATAGTTTTAGAAAGAGAGTTGAACTAAAACCTTCACATTTTATTGATCGTAGGTGTGAAATATCATCTTTTGGTCTGCCGTTCCTCAACCGGATCGAGGCCCTCTACATCTGGGGTCTGGTGCCTCTGTACATATATTGCAATGCAGTTCATTCCATGATTGGTCTCAGTGAAAAACTGCCTTTTGTTCCTCTGATGCTAACGTCGGTGTATTGCACTATTGGAATTTTATGCTCATGGGGAGTTTTTTACTTCAAATCAATGAATTTTACAACCAAAGACATCAAAGTTAGTTAAAGTGTAACTACAATGAATTTTTAATAGTTTTGAAGCTGAGAAAATCGATAGATATATTTCAATGATTTATTTAAATAGAATTTGGAAAAAGGTTGTGATTAATTTTACAGATGCAATTCTACGTCAGCCGCCAGATGTAGCTCGTTCAATGCTCCAAAACAGCGATGCAGTGGTAAAATTTCAGCTCACAGAATTCTTGATAGAACATATTCAAGCGATTTTATACCCTTCAAATGCCCGTCAATGTAACACAATGTACCTTTTTCTGGTCTACCTCTGTTTATGCAAATTGCTCACAAGGAAATAAATAATCAAAAGGTGTTGCTAGGATGCTTCAAAGGTGCCATTCCCTAAAAATTCCCTTGTTTATAATGCTTTTGGCAAAAAGAAGTAATCGAGTTATTCTTTGGGGGCATAGTGTATTGAAAAACCAAAGGCTCAAAGCTTTTTAACACAGTTTCCTGACCTTCTCTTTCTATCGTTCTCTAAAGTGACAGGTTTAGCCGTAATACAACTCTACTTAAGAACACCTGCTGCGACCAATTCTATTCCTTACATCGAATTGGTGATACAAAAATGAACAATTACTAGTTCGTGTTTTCATTTTGATAGAGTGCTGAAACTTGATATTACAGCCCCTCATATTATTATATAAATATCAGGGTTTGGTGAACAAAGAATCAATGCCTTATTTTCATGAATTTACAGCGAAATATTAACTGACCTTTTGTTTGAAAACCCTAGTTAGCCCACTAAGGGAGTAAAAACTTGCAACGACAGTGTCCCTAGCCGTGGTTTTATACCATCGCGGGAGAATTCAGCTCAACCAAAGATAAGTAACAATCACGTGATTGCACATTTGAAGCAGGATGTCAGCAAGTTCTCTTCAGGTTTGACTACTGAATGCCGGTTTATTTCAATGCAAATTAGAGCATACCGGTTGCTCAATCAATTGCTTCATATTAAAAGGACGCTGTCGTTGAATTTCAGCCACCCGTTTAGCAAGTTTACTTAACCTGAATAGTAGCCGGACATGTCTCAAAAAATTTCGTAAAATTTATTGATTGATAAAGTTTTTTAGAATTGGGCTCTTTCTCCGCGTTTACTTTGTTTATTTTTGTAAACGAGCTTCATCTATTATTCATGACGTTATACTAGTAAGGTGAAAGACAGGGGAAATTTTATTTCCGCTGCCTGGTTTTTGTCATCAGTGCCCGGCATAAGTACTTGACCAGAACTGCATCTACAGCAATAATATTAATTTATCAGCACCTGCAGCATCTTCAGAAATTTTACAAGTTTATGTACTCAATCTCAATATACCCTTCAGAAACTGTTTATTAGCTAAACAAGCTCGTCAAATGATATGTTATACTTGATTTTCAAAACCATTTGATTTCTCGAGTTCGTAATCACAGCCGTATCGAAACAGTGTCTTACACCCCACTAAATGGCTGACTCACTAATGGCGTTACTTTTGTCGTATTGACTGCTAGTACGTTTTGAGCCGCGCAGGTGCTGGACACCTCTTATCACCCATTTTATCCACTGCAGGTGAGACAGCCATTCAATTTATATTTTTGCCCCATCCTACTCAAATTACTGTTAAAGCTGAATTTACTTCCTTGAAAATGGCAATGTGTTTTGATGAGCAGGCCGCCAGCTCATTAGAAAATACGTTTTTAAACTGAGTTAACTTGATCTTTATTTCAAGAACTCGTATTATAATCATCTGATAATTGCAAATGTTTCTTTGCTTGCTGCTTTAATTTATTTCCGTATACAGAAACTTTAATAGATAGCGTTGCTATTTGGTTTCTTGATTAACACTTAGAGTGTCTTGAAAATTATTGTGCATTAGAAACATCCAAAAAACGATTAAAATTATTGAAATGAGTTCGATCTGCATGTATGCATTGCCGTCTTTGTAAATAATGCGACTTCGTATTTTTTCGATTATAAGAATAGTGTGTTCGATTTTCGTGCACAGGTTTTCGTTGGCCTAAGGGTGAAGAAAAGGTTTGATTTTTTGACGGCAGACAATTCTACATCCAAAGAAAAGTAAGTCTGTATAGAAAATATATCAATTTCTACAGAATGCATCTTGTTGTTATGTGTAGTTTTTACTGGAAAGATATTTAGCATACAAAATTTTCCTCGTTCAATTTTCCAATATTTGTGATTATTTCGCATCGGATTTGGTCGCACTCCATCAAAACCATTGTTATAGTAGATTAATATGATTTAGATGATCTTCAAATTTTTTGAAAGGATTAAAGCATTTCTGTAAAAAGTTTCCATTCAAATCACATGCTAAAGAATTCTTAGTCATCTTTCTAATAACGATCCTGTGCAATATAACGGCATGGAAAACTAAAGCCAATTTTAGTCCTTTTGGTCGTAATATTAGTGTTTTCCTTCGAATAAGCTTAGGTGTTGACGAATCAAGATGCATATCCTGCTTTTAGCCCAACGATTTCCGTCATGCTACATAAAATCCATTGAACTGCTATACATGTCTAATTTGAAATATCTAATGATTTTAGCAGTTCGCAGGATGCTGCAAAATTCAGTAAAAATTCAGTATACGTTTTTAAACCATGTCATTTTCAAACCTGATTTGTTTATATATCATTATTTGCAAATTATTTTTTTAAACGTGCATTTCTTTCTCTACTCTTTTCTCGGACTCTTATTTATGCCACGTGATCACATACAAGCGAATCAAGTAACGGGATTCCATTGATGTGACGCTAGATGATTTTGAAATTAACCCATATTTGGCAGCTGTTTATATCAAAGTGATCAATGTAAGGCAATAGATAGTATTTATAAGGCGATCTGAGTCGTCTTATGCAGTTGAAGCTGGTTTCGCGAGTTTACATCTGACTTCAAGTCTGCATTTTTTATATGTCACTGACTGCTTTCACTTAATTGGCTATCAAGATCTATTATTCATAGAAAGTTCTTTCGCACAGGTGTCAACAAAAAATTAAGCGGCGATTGGTCAAGAGGAGAAAAGAAGGTAGTCGTTGGTTTGTGAACAAAGAAGAACCAACCAGCTAAAGGCTACTGGTGTTCTTATACATTAGATATCGTTAGCGCTTTCATCTACAAGCTTGTATAGCTGACATAGTCCGCACGTTGCACGCACTGTGTCGAAACTAGCACACGTCTGAAGCAGACTGGTTCTGATAGAACACTGATCTAACATTCACAACTTATAGAAAAGAGAGGTTTATTTCAATTGCAAAATGGTGAGTTGTTGCAAGAATTTTCTTGGCTTTGTTGATCCTTTATTTAATTTGTTTATTTGAAGACAACCACTTTGGGTACGGTGCTTATTGTAGTTTGTCATTGAATGGAGAATTTTTTTGGGACATGTCTTTACTTAGGCCAGTGTTCCAAATATTCTTGAATTTGTTGGTATATAGACACTCTATGGATTAAGCTAACGTGCACTGAATAATTCATTCAGTGTAGAAATAAATAGGTAGAGCGTTGTGCAAAGAATTATTACTTTTTATGAGATGAAATATTTACTCTGATAAGTGCTTTTAACGTTCTTTTTGGTCGTTTTTACGTCTTAAAAATGTATGTGTCCAGACACCTTATAAAGCCCCAGACGTTGCACTAGGCTGAAGGTGTGTACCTGTCGAGGCGGCAAAGAAAGACCTGTTAAGCAATTCTGTTCAACAAGGGGCGCTGTTTGTTGGATGGATTATAAATCTCCTGGAAATACTTCTCGTAGACCAACAGATTATCTTGAAATCTCGAACAACCCCGTTGACCATGAGCAGAGAACATCTGCCCACAGAGTTTTGGTGGAATTCTTTTGTTGGAAAACAAAGCATGCCTGCTGAATTGAAAAAAGCAAAGGATTAGTTCCTTTCTAAGATGGCCATTTGTATGAATCTCCTTTAAATAATACTTTCACTAACAGGCACCTGACGAAAACAAAACTTGGTGCATCCTCTAGCTTTTATCAGCTTTTTAATGTCAAACAACCTTAAAAGGTCTTAAAATATTTCCTGTTTAATGTATTCCCTGCCTTAAACAGGAAATATTTTAAAAATGATTCAAGAATTATTTCCTGCAGAACTTGTTGCAACCTCGAAGTCTTATGATTTCCTTTAGTATCAAACCTCAAAAATGCTACGAGCCCATTTATCATGCTTTCCTTTACAGGCACCAAAAGCCAGCAACTAGTGGAATAATATAATATTGCATAAGATATATTTTCAAGGGAGCACTATGTTTGTTGCACTACGTTTGCATACCTCGCCTTGCATACCATCAATACTAAGTATATGGCTTTGGGCATCATGCCATACAACGATGGTATACAACGATGTATTCAAAAACATTTGGTGCTGCCATCCTGCAGTAGCTCTCTCCATGTCACTATTCAAATTATTTATTTCGTTCACTAACATTACTGCATCCCCTTTAGTATCTTCTTCCCTTTGCGCTATATTCCCAGACAAAAATGCACGTCATTGGATGAGACTTCAATTGCGCATCGATAATGATTGACATGTATGGCTCTAAAGCATCTTTCAGCCTGCTCTGGAGCAGCCAAAATCGAATTGCATTCGAAATTAAATATTTATATGCCATATGAATAGACGCCGTCTATTCCAAGTTACAAATGGAATGATTAATTGATGTTTGAAAACAAATAAGAATCTAAAATAGAATAATTAAGGAATTATTTCGTAATCATACAATTAAAGCGTTGCTCAATGTTATGCTACAACTAAATCGTTTCATCGTCCATCAAGGCCTTTCTTTGTTTATGTTTTCGTAGCAATTTGATACACTTTGACCTTACCGTTTTGTTTTTAAAACCAATTGTATAGATTGATTGATAAGCACGCCTCCTAATCCAATCCTCTAAAGCTGAATTATTTTATTTCGCTTCGCAGAGGGAATGTATATCAATTCACGTCGGCCAGGCTGGTTGCCAAATGGGCAATGCATGCTGGGAACTCTACTGTTTGGAGCATGGAATCGACCCAACAGGAAGAATAAACGAAGACCGCGTCAAAGATGTCAACGATTCAAACACGACGTTTTTTGCCGAAACTGAAAGCAACAGACGAGTTCCAAGGGCCGTTTATGTCGATCTGGAACCGACTGTTATCGGTGTGTAGATTTATTGTAAATTGGCTGCACCTGCCAAAAAGTGGCTCTTTAAGCTAGTTTCTTGTGCTCTGAACCATTTATTGGGCTAAACCTTAAGCACTTACCCGGAACATTGTACATTAAACATTGTACATTAAAAAATATACGCTGCTTCTGAAACACAGAAGGTACAGACCGTTTTTGTTACCTGTCCGCACAGAATATTTGTTATCAAAATATAATTGACCCATTCCATTGCCAAATTAAATTGGCTATTCCTAATAAAAACTGTTTCTCATTCAATCTTCTTCAAGATTATTCACGTTTTTAGGGTTACACAAACTATTCAAACCTTCCTTTTGAGGTAGAATTATTTTGTCCTATGAAATCTATTTGATAATCGTTTGATGTTTTGATTTCATTTGAAAACAACAACAACACACCGATTACCTTTAGAACTTTTGATGAGCAGCTTTTGATGAGCAGCTTTTGATGAGTTAATATTTTTATAGATGAAGTGCGCACCGGCACATACAAGGAGCTCTTCCACCCTGACCAGATGATAACCGGCAAAGAAGATGCTGCCAACAATTTTGCTCGCGGCCATTACACTGTTGGCCGCCATATTGTCGACTCTGTCCTTGATCGCGTCAGAAAGCTTGTGAGTTACATCTGTTTTTTTTCATTTATGAAGTATTTCGTTGCTTCTAATCCCCCGAGTTGATGATAGATCTTGAAATGGTGGATTACTTAGGAATGGATAGACCTTTTTTCTTAATGACGGGGGAGTGGCACTGGCACCGGGTGCATTCCCAAAATCCATCCTGTACTGTGTTATGTAGACAATCTTTTCTTTGAAGGTTGCACGAACAAGTTGCACAATACATACTTTTTGAGCTTTTTGAGTAAGGTTGTTCTTTCTTCATAAGATTAGAGGCAAATGCTGCCTTGTTAGTCTTGGAGCAAAACTGGAAAGGGGTAAGAGGCTAATGATGATCAAGCTTTCACATTCGTTTTAGACTGACGTTTGCGATGGACTGCAGGGATTCATCCTGTTTCACTCTTTTGGCGGTGGAACTGGCTCAGGACTGACAGCACGTCTCATGGAACGGTTGTCCGTAGACTATGGGAAAAAGAGCAAGCTGCAGTTCTCAATCTACCCTGCCCCTCAAGTCTCGACTGCAGTTGTGGAGCCTTATAACTCTGTGCTAACGACTCATTTCACTTTCGACCACTCAGACTGTGCCTTCATGGTTGATAATGAGGCTATCTACGACATTTGTCGCAAGAACCTCGATATCGAGCGCCCAACATACTCAAACTTGAATAGACTCATCAGCCAAGTTGTTTCTTCAATAACAGCATCATTGCGATTTGATGGTAAGTTCGTTGATAACAATAGTTTTTTCTCGTTTCCATTTTGTTTAGTACTACCGTTCCTTATAAAATCTTATATTTAAATTATAATTTTTCAACACGAGTATTTTTGCCGTACAGGTGAACTGAATGTGGATTTAAATGAATTCCAAACCAATTTGGTTCCATACCCAAGGATCCATTTTCCATTGGCTAGTTTTGCACCAATCATATCTGCTGAAAAGGCCTATCACGAACAATTGCATACAAGTGAAATAACAACAGCTGTCTTTGAGCCAGCCAACCAGATGGTCAAGTGTGACCCAAGAACGGGCAAATACATGGCCTGTTGCCTGCTGTACAGAGGAGACGTCGTTCCAGGCGATGTCAATGCCTCAATTGCCAAGATACGCGGACTTCATACTATACAATTCGTCGACTGGTGCCCAACTGGCTTCAAAGTTGGCATAAACCACCAGCCTGCCACAGTTGTTCCAGGTAAAACTTAGCTTGTTTCGAATCTAACCCTTTCCATTTGTCCAGCGTGAAATTATATACGTAATCGATATTGAAATAGTCAAATGAAGCTATTTGTTTCTACATATCTGGAAGAATATAAACATTTACGTTGCTTTTGACAAATATACCCCTAGACAGCTCTGCTGTTCAATTTTCTTTGCAGCTTTCTTGTATCCCACTTCCACTTTAAGAACGTTTGCGTATAAGAAACTTTTTGTACGGAAATCTTTGAAAACATAGGACTTGATAAGCAACTTGCAAATAAATGGAGTGGTTTAAACTTTATGGAACTAATTTAAGGCAACCTTTAAGTCACATGAGTAATTCGTTCACTTATTTCGATTTATTTTACAGGAGGTGACATGAGCAAAACGAATAGATCTGTTTGTATGTTGAGCAATACCACCGCCATGGCCTCACTGTGGGCCCGCCTCGATCACAAATTCGATCTCATGTACCGCAAAAGAGCTTTCGTCCATTGGTATGTCGGTGAAGGAATGGAAGAGGGTGAATTCAACGAAGCAAGGGAGGATCTGGCGGTCCTGGAAAAAGACTATGAAGAGGTTGGAGAATCAGGCGATAAGGACGATGGAGAAGGAGGCGACGAGTATTAACTCTAACGTCAGAATTGAAATAGTAAATTGCAAAAAGGCATTCATTGGAGATAGAAGTAGATCTATCAGAAGAAATAGTGTATGATAACAACTTTGTAATTTTAGGAAACTTGCACTTGATATAAAACACATAACTAAAGGGGAACGATGTAAACACTGGCAATTTTATAAGATACATGAAAACTTACTGATTTTAAATTACACAAAAAGCTTTAATAAATTCTTCAAGAAAACTAATTTGTTATTGTTTTCTCGACTTCAGCATTTAATGAATAGAGACATTTGGCAAATATGACAAACACACGAGTTAATTGTATTCAAGCGAATATTTCGTTTACTCTTTCTTATACGAGGTAGCGCGGATAATCATTGTGTGAGAACAAACTCCAGAAAGAGATATCATGTGTAACAAGGAAAATGCAGTTGCCCTTAAGATTCAAGTCAAAGCCGCCCCACATGCATCGATAATGCGAAAAATGCATGTTTGGGATCATTGAATTGCATCTTAAGCAACCCCAACCAGGTACCATTCGAATAATTTGTGAAAGAAAAATCTTTGAAAATTGTTATCTCCGCAGTTTCCAAGAAACTAGGATAACAAGGGTACCCAAACCTTGATGCATGTTCGACTTGGTTGAATTTAACTTGGTAAATTAGAAGCAATTATTTGATGAGTAATCTCATTTGCTTAAATCAAGCTTTGTGATTTTAAAACATGTACGGGTCCCTTCCTTACTGCCAACGACAAATGAAGATGAATAGACAGAAAAAACATTTTAGAAAAGACAAGTGAAAATTGATAAATTGTGTTCAGTTCTGCAAGTTGTAGTTCAAAGGCTCCACTCAATCCTCTTTCAAACATTTTGCTAGGATCCACCTTTTGGTCAGGCTGATGGTGAACATAACCCCCTGTAGTCACTTATCAGTGGGTAAAGAATATGTCCCATGCATCCCATACTATAAGAGGTCATTGCGACGGGAGTTAAAGCCATTTTTAAGAGTTATTTTTAAGTAGAATATCTTGTAGAGTAACACCCCATGTGCAGTTCACTGTTTGGAAGCATAATAGAGGAAGGGGGTGCTGCATCGTGACTCAAATCTTTCCAAGGTCTTATCAGTGTGGAAGAGAAAATGGCCTAACTGCCATACTGCGTACCCTGCCGATGGAGGGGATAGGGTTGAGACGGCAAGCTGTTCCCCTACTCTTGCTGTTGTATCACTTAGAGCTTGAGGTTTGACACAGAATGACATATTGGTACTTTTCAATAACAAACTTGTTTACTTAATTCTTATGATTGGTCATTGATCGTAGTACGTTTTTTCAAGAGATTAGAAAGTGTAGATTCTGATATTGCGATTTCCGTGTAACTAAAATGGTGACGAGGAAACTAGATTATAAACACGCAAAAAGTTCATAAAGTTTCTTTCAAAAACATCAAAATTTTGTTACAGTTATATTGTTACAGATTTATGAATCAGAGGAATTAAATATACAAATGTAAATGATAGGAACAAAATATTAAGTACAGCATGGAAAACACCACTGAATACCAAGTCAATTTAAAAATACCTATTTTGACAGCGATAAGGATGCATTTGTAGAGAATAATCAGTTGACGAAAAAGACATGACAGCAAGATTAGTATGACGTGGCAGAAAGAACAAATAAACATTGAGTCAAATTCTGTTGAAAAACATTTAAAGTCCTGCAAGAGATTACAGCAAACAGAGAGAACTGGAGACGAATTGTTAAAGACATAATAGCGGAAAACAGCTGACCGTGTATTTTAGTTTTAGTTGGGCAGAAAGAAATATTGCCGAATTAGATTTAAAAGGCAAAAACTTTCACGAATTTATTATCACTGGTTTGCTGACAGAAAATGAAAGGGGAGGTGGAAGATAGAAGGTAGCAGCGAACATCGTCAACTCAAATATACGAGAGTAAGATAACAGTTATTAATGTAATTTCAAATTTGCAGGCCAAGACGACTTTCTCCTTTAAGACCCTCCTATACTGCAAGCCACTTAAAGTAGTTGATAAGTAACTAAAACATCTCTTAATTAAAAAGGCATGCTATACTATTTGTTTGCGTATGGCTGACTTTCAGCTTTTGTCAAGAAAGCTACACGCTAAATCATCTAACACAGCTATAACCATCTATATAAAAAGCTACGATGGCATAAAAAACGCTATAGACTACAAAAACGCCAAATACAAAAATACGTCTTTCTTGTGAATACGATTTGGATATAGAATCATGTTGTAGGCATTCCCGCTCAAGTCTACTTCCTTTTCAAAAATTTTCCAGCAATTACACTAACCAAGTTTTGGAATGATTCGGTCAAAAAGACCATCCTTACAAATAACATTATAACTGCCTTGACATTAACACCATAACATCTGGGCTACACAACGATTTAATCATTTTCGCTATGAAGCAAGCAGGGAAGTGAGGCAGGTAATGAGGGAACTGGTACTTGACGAAAAAGATGGAAAGCTGCACTTTTTAAGAGCTTGGGTTCTGTTTACACGGTACGGACCAAATATGTTGTGAGTGTTTTTTGGCACAGTAATATGACCCATTGGGATAGGGTGCTCGTGGAAACATGATCCATTGCAACGGGGTGCCCGTGGAAACATGATCCATTGGAACAATGGTGCCCGCAAGGAGTAACTGGTCAAACAGCTACACTCCTCGAAAGTTTAAACTCGATTTACATCAAAAAGTACAAACAAAACCTACAGTACAAAGGATAGATTAATTAAGTCATCACTTTTGCTTTCACAACGCAGTCAAGAAGACGGGTTTCTTAAACTGGGGACTCGTGCGATAAGCCCATTTCCAGGCCTTGCCGTTATTTTTCACAATAGCCTATATAAGAGTATTATAAAACAAAACATAAAATTTTGACTTGATACAGCCATACCTATCACTGATGATATAATCATTGTTTACACGTAAATAGGTCATTTAATGACAAGGCCTACGCGAGTTTTGTGCACTATCCCTTTTTCTATACGCTAATAAAACATCTAAATTTCAGTCCCATCTTGATCACCAACACTAACGGCAGAAGCAGTCCTTTTGACCTCGTCTGAGGGCCGCCTCCTTTTATAAAGGACAACAGCGGCTGTTGCAATGATCAAAAACAAAACAGCTAGAACAATGCCTGCAATGGCCCCGGATGAGAGTTGCTCTTCTAAAACAGTTTGTCGCTGTAAGCCCTTTTCTTTTGGAAGGTTTCCACCGTAGTTATTCTCCAAGGTTAAAGAGGAATCCCCTAGAGGATTAGAAGGGGGATTGTAAGCTAGCCTGATCATCTGGATGTTTGTTCCTCTGTTTTTACCAATGGTTTTCAGTTCCTCTAGTTCCCTTCTGTACCGTCCGTGTGAGGGTTTTGCCATAATGGAATGTCTTGTTTCAGTCACAAGATATTCCAAGCTCCTTTTGCCTACTCCCCGGTTCTTCTGTGACTCTGACCTTACTGTGTAAATTGTGTGCAAGAACCAATTTCTGCCACCAGAAACCTGTTGATTTAAGATTTAGACCGTATTTTGATAAGTTGTTTTACTTAAAATCGCATTGTAGCACGAAAAAACTGCGTTCAATAAAAACTTTGCGAGGTGCCCGAAATTTGAGAGTATTTTGCGATATGAGATGTATACTTCCAGCAACTTTTATGCAGGTTTCTTTATTTCTAGTTGATTTGTTTACTTTTTCGTTAATGATAATAATTTTTTCTTGCTTTTGCTTTTCATTATATGAGTTCATATCCAAAGGTTTACATGTTTTGGTGTGTAAAACGAGACTGTTCTAAGTTCATCAGGCAATTGTGCAGCCCTGCCTAAACGGCATCGAGCACTTTATGACAGATCGGCAAACAGTATTTTTCATTCTAAAGATATAAAGCCTATTCTAGAATGAATCAGGAATCAATAAAAGTTCCCTGGACTTTAATTATTGGCTATGTTGAGAAAGCGATGACTTACCTTGAAAAGAGGCTCACTGTCGAGTTTGAAGCCGTCGGCCCCCGCATTTTCCACCAGTTGGTCCGCACTTTGGTCATCGGCGGCAAAAACAGCATTGAATTGGACATTGTCGAATTGGGATGTAATTGTGCTCGGAGCTAGCCTATCCTGTAGATCGAAGAGGTAGATAATTAAAACATAGAAAGGGAACACTTTTTGCGTTAAACGTAAGGCAAAGGAATTTGATTATTCACCAGAGCCTGCTTATATAAACTAAATTTGATAATAAAGTGAGGTGAAGGATTGCTTCTGTAGTTTCTATATGTAAAGGTGTTTTATTTCAAAAGTGTACTAAAAATTTGCACTAAAGAAAGTGAACATAAGAACTTTTTAGATGTGGCGTTGGAAAAAAGAGCACCCTGTTTTTATATACGGAGATAGAAGCTAGAGGCTTTTATGACAAAAATCACATTAATTACAGAGATGGAGACAGTTTAACCCAGAGAAGGCTAAACTCATCAAATCTCAAATTTTGTTCTCCCTTATCACGAAATTGTGTTCGACTTTAGAAGACACCCTGATGCACTTACCAAAACTTTAAATCGATACAGTAGATTCTTAGAATCGGCCAGACAACCGAATTCGTTTACTGATGGATCGAACTTTGGAACGTAGCCATCAAGTCCACTGCAGAGGTACACCTTTTCAATGACCACGTGATACGCACTTCCCAAGCTTTGAGCCGTGTCAATCATGACTCGCCCATAAATCTTTGAACCTACAAACAGGCAAAAACAACGTTCAATTCCTTGTTTCTGTGTACATAAAAGTAACTTCAGCTCTGGAAATGTGAATTGATACAACACTGAAAATGTGTTTTACCTTTAACGAAACTTTCTTGCAACGCAAGAAATAACAAAACGTTGATGCCAAAAAACCACAATTCTAATTCTATTTAGAAATCTACCATGATCTTAAATGCATATTAAACCTTTCCCATTTTTGAATTGTCTCCTTTACCTTGCAACTTCATACAAAAAAGTATTTTTTCTACACTTCATTTGGACTCGAACAAAATTCACTTGTTTACTTTTAACTGAACATCTTCGCTCTTCTGGCCCCCTTCCCCCCTATTTAAACTCATCCCGTTTTTCCACATTAGAGAGATCCGGATGATGTCTAAGGTGCTAGAAAATAAATGCCTAGGCCAATATCTTCTGAATACCAAAGCAGCAAAACAGCTCTTATTACCTTTGGTAAAGGCAACGTCAGTAGCCTCAGATCCAGTAAATTTCTCTGAAGTCCATTGCTCCTTTCTATTTAGCAGGAAGAACCTCGTATTCAGACTGAAGTTAGCCTGGACTGCTTCACTTGTCTGTTGGAATCTGATTGGCAGTTGGAAGGTGATTGGATTTCGAGGAGTACATTCTAAAGGCGTTGCATATTCAATGTCCTGAAAAAAGATGGAATAATCTGAAGGTTAGTCATCACGATAAGGAGGATCTATGTTGAGCATCTCAGAATCATATTAATTCCCTGAAAATACTTAATTTGTCATTGATGTTCAACATTCCTTTGGGTTCACCTAGGTTATCGGCTCCAAAAACAGCTAGTAAGACCAAAGCAACTTATTTTCAGTCGTGAAAATAGCTGTATTGCGAGGATCTAGAAACTCCGATGTTCGAAAATGCTGCCCTAATTTCATCTGCCCAATCAGGCGACATTGATTATAAATCATTTAACTCTTTCTTATTTAGGCCAACATTTAGCTCTATTGAAAAAGGATAAATGAAAGGAAACTACTGCCAACCCACCTCTGTCACTGTGCAGGGAACCAGTCTGACTATGTAGAGGCCACTGTAATCCCGAACAGCGAAATTTGAGACAAATTGCCACAGCTGCTCTGGCTCCGCGTACGTTTGGTCACTTCTTACTAGGCTCAAGGTCATTGTTAGGCTGGGCTGGTCTGGTGACATTACAATTGAAGCGTATTTGCTTGCTAATGGGAGGAAAAATGTTACGTCATAAGCTTGTGCTGAGTAAGATTATGTAGAGTGCTTTATTGAGAAGGCGACGATAATTTCAGACCTAACTAGCTGTAGACAGATGTTCCTATTGAAAATATTTTGTTATAGTATCGGGAGGACGTCAGTTATTTACAAAGCAAGTCTATACAGTAGATACCATAGTTGAATGGATATGCAATAATGTTATTGTTTTTCGAAAAAGTGTGTACACGGAGTTAGGCGACGGATATGAAACGAGTACTTGGATGAACAGAGTGATGTTATAAGAAATAAACAAATATGAAAAGAATAGATACGACAAAAGATTACCGCAAAACTTTCTATGGGATTAGTCATGGGTATAACTTTAAAAAAGGAAATAGGTGCAACATACTGTCTTTTTTCATGATGAACTGTCCTCTAAATCTTGCCTTTGTCCTGAAATTCACAACAAGCTTTCGATCCGAGTCTCTGATTCTAATACTCGTGGGATACAGATTTCCTTTAAGAACTGACGTCGCCGGGGGTCCCACGCCATCCTTCCAAAGCACAGCAGTGTCGTATACGAAGGTCAGTCGCAATGACGATTTGTGGTCGAAATGCATCCAACCGCCGGCGGCTGTCGGCGAATGGTAAATGTAGGAGACGAAGAGTGGCACTTTGACTGACATGTGCGATTGCACCGTGTTTTTCACTTGGCCATCAGTGGTGATCGTTCCACCGCATTTCTGCACCAATTCAGTCATGTCATAGTATGATTCGAAGGTCCAAAGACAGGCATCCAGATTAAGATGGCGGTAGAACCTGAGAATTGACGTGATACTTGCTTTAAAAACAGCAAACAAAATTGCAAAAGATTTTTGTACAACACCAGGTATTGGGAACAGGTATAAAGATGAATACCTCATGGGGTTCTCACAATTTAAATACTTGAAATAAGAAAACAATTTCCTAAAGTTGTTAATTGTTCTTATTGTAACCAAGAATATTGCTTCAAGACAACAAAATATATGGGCATTGAGAAAAAAACAATTCACATTATTGAGGGAGAAAATTCAGATTACCTAAGGGTAGCGTTTCCACGAAGTCCAACATCATACTGATATGGAAGACTTTCTCCAGCGTTATCAGGATCAATAATGTCTTTGGTTAAGAAACCGAATCTGGTTCTAATTTCATTAATATCCAATAAATTTGAGCAAGTATGCTGAGCAACACGACTTGCATCTGGGCTGAGAGCGATTTCGAAGTTGGAAAGTTGTTTAGTGGAAATGGCTGGCATTAGACCATCGAAATGCGGAACAAGTATCCGGACGCGGATCAGGTTTGGATGCTTCGGATCTTTAGCACCGGTGTATTTGACCTGGGCCGAGAATGTCTCGGCTCCAATATCCCGCTCGTTACGAGGCATACAGAGTCCTTCACTAGGATCTACAGTTATGGGATCGCTGTAACTTTCAACGCCATACCCTTCGTCTTCATCGACAGCTTGCGCAACACATCTGACGCGAGTGCCGGGACCGAAGTAAACGCTGCAAGATGATTAATCATGTTTAGGATTGCTCAATTCGCTAACCAATAGATAAAGAAAATTGTGCAGGATGATGGACAGAAGACAAGGTCAAAGTTTCAATCAAATGACATCATCAAAATTACTAGTGTAGATGCATTGCAAGAGTACCTATGATCATTAACTGTAAAACAAGCGATGATGGCGTAGAGACTCAGAATAAAATTTCACCGCTTTAGACGTGCTTCAAGACAACTATGCGTATTGACAAGGAGAAGAGTCTTCATACCTGTCAAGAGTGATTCTGTTAGTCTTGGTGACAAAAGTTTTGCTTTCAACGTTCTTGAACTGGTGCGTAACGCCATCTTGGCTGTCTCTGGCAGAAATCTGCCACCGATATCTTGTGAACTCATTGTTAATTCGCTCTGCTTTGCAAATGCCAGCAGTCGATGAGTAATCGGGGAACTTCGGGTTGCACGCCTAAGAATAAAGATAAAATAAGCAAACATTTCTACGGGCAGCAACAGCATTAGAGTTATGTTTTATGGACATGACATCAGTTGAAGATATCACAAAATCACTAGGTCTTCTGGAAAGTTTGAGATAACAGAAAATGGGTGTTAAAAAGCCAAGGCAGTCAGCATAATGTTAACAGCGTAAAAAGCTAAACAAGGAAGTCTTAAACCAAGACTAAGATGAAAATTAACAAGAAAAACCTACCGTGACGCAGATAAGGGGGTAACCTTGAATGGGGTTCACTCTTGCATTTTTTAAGTCATCATAATCCTTCAATGATGCGACCTTTGGCTTCAATGGGAAAGTAACTCCAGTTCGCCTTCCAACTTCTTCAATGTATATTATTGTCTTTTTTAACCCTAATCCAGCTATTCCCATCTCGTCTGGTTTGATATGCATGGAGAACGCTCGGCGGAGACTCTTTTCCTTGTCGTGGAAAATCCTCAGCTGCACCATTTGTTTTGTTACATTTTTGCCGAAAGTCAATTTCTGTAGACGACAATAATCTTTTTGAGAAATGCAATCTAGCAGGAAACTGTTTATAGGTAAAAATATGCCATAACTGTTTAAGAAACAGTCATGTGCAAAACAGGATTTATTTTTACTTCAATATGTACCTGTTTACAGCTATTTTTCAATACTTGTTTATTTCTTTGACGTTTAACTTGCTATCAATTCTACGTGATTTGATAATCCTTAGGCACTTAACGCATCAACAAAATTCTTTCCTTAACAATTGACTATGTACATGAAGTACTTTCCTATCCAGATTGAATTTCCTTTTTCCTGCATTGAAGGGTAAATTCAGATAATAGAGATCATTCGACGACGCCTCACCTTGGCTAAAGGCTCGTAGTGAATTCCGCTTCTTGCTGATCCATCTCTCGTGTACACAGTGATAACAGACTGCTCTGAGGTATCACCAGCTCTGAACACAGGGATCTCAACCACTCTCGACTCCTCATCAGGTGGAGGCTCTTTGGCATAGTACTTGCTTTCCATGAATTTGATCATGGGCTCTGCAACAAAGAATGAAAGGTTGGAAGCTATGAAGACAATGGTCAATGTGTACACATAAAAAAGATGGCATCTTAGCAGCCATCTGAGGCTGCACAAACCAATAAGGCATTGAAGAAAATAGCTTTAGGCTAGAAAGTAAATAATTTGACTTTTCGTCGAAATGAATAAAGGATTGTAGCAATCTTACGGTCATCATCTGTGATTTTGATGACAGAAACAGTCCGTCCTCCAAGCTTTCCACCACCGGCATTTGTGCTAAAAACGGCACCAAGATGCAATTTGAATTGCTCAGTGGGCTCTTTTATCGTGTCATTGACGATGAAAACCTGCAAAAATAGATGATTTAGATTTCTGAGCTTCCCATGACTCATTAGTTTTGACATACATTTTAGATATTCAGTTACCGGTTATTTATCATTGCAAGCCTGATAGCAACCACCCAGGCTGCTGTGGTATGCAACGCAGCCTTTAGTTTTATGGCATAGGCATTCTTTAATGTACATAAACATTGTTCTATCTGGGCTTTTTACTGCACGTCAAATGATTGGGTAATGCACTAATGCATTGACCGTATGTATGTTTCATTTGATGTTAAGGTTTCCCTTTGGAACTAAGCCATCCACCCTAGACTAGACGCCCCAAAGAATAGTAAAAAGGCTACGAGACGTTACCTTGCAAGGCTTGATTGTCTCTCTTGGCTTGAAAACAACGAAGGAGGCATTGGTGTCAGGCCTTTCTATGTAATCTTTTGAAACCTTTGCAGTGCCTTGTCTGGTGTAACATCGAACCGAGGTTGTGTAGCTGAGATCGCCACGTCGTTTTATGTTAGCAACGATAAAAGAAGCATTTTCTCTGACTTTCAGCTCAGACTTCTCAAAGTATACGGCTGGAACTGGAAGACAGTGATAGAAAAGTTTAAATATTATAAAGTATAAGCTATATTAGAATTCAGATAATTTTGATGGCAGTCGAAACATTGGTATGCGGCAGAAATAAATCTTTGCTGTCTTTGTCAGAATAGTGAGATCAAATTGTGTAAAGTGAGAATGATTGATGAGAATAGTCAGAAATACAAAGACCGCTAGTGGTTAATGGTGATCCTGCTTGGTATGCATTTGTGCCAAAAAATGAACCAGTAAAACGAACCAGCTGTCAATGACAAAGGATTAGCATTAGACTGATTGTAATTTATGAGAATAGTCAGAAATACAAAGATCGCTAGTGGTTTATGGTGATCCTGCTTGGTATGCATTTGTGCCAAAAAATGAACCAGTAAAACGAACCAGCTGTCAATGACAACGGATTAGCATTAGACTGATTGTAATTGATGAGGATAGTCAGAAATACAAAGATCGCTAGTGGTTTATGGTGATCCTGCTTGGTATGCATTTGTGCCCAAAAATGAACCAGTAAAACGAACCAGCTGTCAATGACAAAGGATTAGCATTAGACTGATTGTAATTGATGAGAATAGTCAGAAATACAAAGACCGCTAGTGGTTAATGGTGATCCTGCTTGGTATGCATTTGTGCCAAAAAATGAACCAGTAAAACGAACCAGCTGTCAATGACAAAGGATTAGCATTAGACTGATTGTAATTGATGAGAATAGTCAGAAATACAAAGATCGCTAGTGGTTTATGGTGATCCTGCTTGGTATGCATTTGTGCCAAAAAATAAACCAGTAAAACGAACCAGATGTCAATGACAACGGATTAGCATTAGACTTTAAATCAATTTTCTTAAAAATACGGCAGTCGAAACATTGGTATGCGGCAGAAATAAATCTTTGCTGTCTTTGTCAGAAAAGTGAGATCAAATTGTGTAAAGTGATAATGATTGATGAGAATAGTCCGAAATACAAAGATTGCTAGTGGTTTATGGTGATCCTGCTTGGTATGCATTTGTACCAAAAAATGAGCCAGTAAAACGAACCAGCTGTCAATGACAAAGGATTAGAGCTAAACTTTAAATCAATTTTATTAAAAATACTTCAACATCTGTGATATTCTAGATAGAGTTGGTCATCAGAAGGAAATTTTATATATTTAATTTCTTAACTTTTGATCCTCGTCATATTATACGAATCAGTATCAAAATCGACAATTTTTAATGAACAGATTTAAAGGTCAAAGTCAAAATGTTAAGAAAAAACCTTGCATATGGGCAATGTCATGTCAGTCTATTCGGCTCAAACATTCCTTTTATAACAACTTTCCAATACGAATTCCTAGGGCTAACACTGTAACCTCATGTAAATAAATGACATATTCTGTCAATCACTGCACACATTAAAATTACCAAACTGAGACGCAATGTAATCTTCAAGCAAACAGTTATCTATAAATACAACTGTGATGTTTGTATCGAATTAAGCAGTTAGGAGACAGTACTTACGATCAGATTTCGTATCATCAATGGTCACGGTGGCTGAAGGATTTGCACCCAGAGTGGCGTTCAATGGGACACGAAGCAGTACCGTGAAATTTTCTTTTCCCTCTATCCTTGGCCGTGCAATGTCATCTAATATGATTATCTTTACGACCTTTTCCGTCTCTCCTGCAGCAAACTGCAAACTCTGGACTTGTGGAACATAATCTCTTTCGGCTGGGAATAAAAACAAATTCAAAGAATGGAACGTTAATCCTAGTAACCAGCTCAAAAATAGTCGCCAAAAAGTATGAAATATTCATGCAGATGAGAATCTCTTTTAAGTCAGACTTGTTTGGTTCTATTTGTAAGGAAGGAAAATTGAAATCAATATTGTTCACGCTGTTGTCCTTCATAATATGTTGTCGTTTTCACTGTTTGCCAAGGAAAACAAATGGCTAAAAACCTAGGAAAGAAACCAATGTTTTGGCAATCTAAAAAGTTTCGCGACATGTAGAGGGACCAGGTATTCCTAATAACAAGGAGAGTCTTCAAATAAGTTCGATAATTATTTGGAGACTCGATATAAAGATTTGGATCAAAAGTATCTTTTGTGACAAAACTCACGGTTGGCAGCGTGACTGTCACTTAATCTGGCTACTGGCAAAGGTAAGTCTCCGATAAAAATAATTTAAAATTAAACAAAATATGTCGTTGCGCTTTAAATTTCTACTGTTTTCAAGATTTTGCAACATTCTGGGGAAAAAGGACAACATTTTTTAGGTCGTGATGTCAAAACTTGTATACAAAAAAGGAGAGAATAGATCACCTCTGGCTGAAACTGGTCTCCATTGTCTTGTAGCAAACAGCACCGATGATTCTACTGCAAGATCGGAGCCAGTCCTGCGAACAGTCACATCGAAGACGCCGGCATCTTCATCAACAATGTAATGATCTTCGTCAAGGGTGAATGCTGGCTCTATAGCAGAAATATAATTGCAAAAAATGTTAAAATATTTCTAAATATGTAGTTTGATGCACTATAAACAGTACTTAAATACGAAGAAAAAAATATTAAGGGTATCTTTAAGGGACCTTTTCCTACAATCTTATGCATTCTAACACGGCGGTGTATTAAATTCTTTCAAACAGTAAATTTGTGAATTGAACTTTTACAGATAGAGTTGTATTAAACCTTTTTATACAGATTTGCATTTACCGTTTTCATATGGCTATGATATGTACTTTTTCGTAGAGATATGTATTGCACTGAAGTGTAGAATAGACAAGTAACGGGATGCTCAAAACGCTTCTGCGCCCTTTTTCGAAAGATGCTCAAAAATGGGTTTTGATAGTTTTTAAGTCGTCTCTTTTCTTCGAAACTAAGCATTAATCAATCAATTCTATGTAAATATAAAGCTAGTAGAGAATCATACATATATCATATTTGTAAAGTCCTCAATCGTGGGAAACGTTTAAAATTTCCTATCTGCTGTACGAATATTGGTATTTTTCTGCGCTAAATTGTCAAAATAGCTGCGCTAAATTGTCTAACAGATTTCATGTTTATGTTGTCATCTCTGTTAAGGTATCTAGCCAATACAAACCATCTTTGTCGTCAGCAAGGATTATGACGTCAGCTGTAGATGATTTGTCTCCAATAGCAGCACCCATATAAGGAAGAAGCTTCACATGGAATTTCTCATTCTTCTCATACAAAGAATCGTCGATGATTGTAACCGGGCAGTATTGAACAACCTCGTTCTGAAGAAACAAAAGTAGCTGACAATAGCAGGTAGGAAAGCTCTCCACAACACACCCTAAGGAGGGAAGGGGGGGGGGGCAATGCAAACTTAACAAAAGGAAAAGACTACAAACTGATATTTTATACAAGATTGAGTTCCATTCATTATAAGAGAAGACAGAGGAATAACAGCGCCTAAATGCTTAATCTCAAGGCAAAGCAGAGATAGCTCTCAACGATTATCAAAGCTGCAACATTTGAACAACAATACAGCAAACTATATAAAGAAACATCAACCAAATTCAATTTGAGCAAATAGTTAGGGTGGTTTCATAGGTTTAAGTAATCGAATTTGTTTACAAACCGCACTTAAACTTACATGTGAATTTAAAGCAACACAAAGAAAACTGTATAGTGCAAAGAGAGATAAACGTTGTCCGAAAAAAAGCATTTAAGACAAAATGTCCTTATCTTAATCTATTTTAGATAAAGATACACGAAAGATAAAGCACATAATAATCTGCTACCTAGTTTGTTGAAAAGTTTTGGCGCTATCTAGGTGTATTAGATGATTATGTTTACTGACTTTGATAAATCAAAATGAACTCAAGAAAATGAGTCAAAATTGTTATATAAAACGTTTGCCTTTCAACATCTTTCTTTAATTTGATTATATGGCGTGGTTAGAAAACAAATGAAGTCTTGAGATATAGTGAGATACAGCAAGCTCTGAGGTATACATGTTAAATAATTTGCTAATGATGTCCTTATCGAAAAAAGATAGAGAAAGACCTTAAAGCATCAGTTTGGAGGAAAGGGAAACGGCGTTAAGAAAGAACGATGTATGGCAAAAAGCAAATTTATAAATCATCGTTCTCAATATTATAAAAATGTTTCCTATTTCGTTTTCACCAAATGGGAAGTATTTCGAATAATTCATACCGTATCGAAGGTGATGATATTGTCACGATCGAGGGCAGCTTTTGAAACGTAGTCTCTATATGATGTTACGGTTGACCCCAACGTTCCACTTGCACTCCCTGTAAAAAATTTAGTAATTGCAAGGTTGGTCAAGGGTCGCAAAAGTAGTTGAGTGTTACAAATACACTAATCGATTTGCCTTTAGGTTCTGGGTTTGATATTCTCCAACGCACAATTGTTTTGTAAATATAGAAATCTGAGAATAGGGATAAGATTTTATTCAAAGTGTGAGTGTTTACTTAACAGTGAAAGCTCGACTTTTCATCACAAAAGAAAATGTTCAGATAGTTTGATGTTGCCTGGCCAAAAGTTTTGTTACCCAGGTCAAAAGATTGATAATCCTGGGCTGGCTTGTAAGCTATTGAGTGACTCTCGAAATAGAGAGAGTATACAACATCAAACACGAGACTTTGACACCAAACAACAGCTTCAGCAACTTAAGGTTACAATAGTGCTGCTTTTATCTGAATCAACAAAGTCACTTCATACTTCAAATAAATGCCCTTAAAAACCTAAGGCATTCACAACAACATGTGCGGTAGCTATGACTAAATAACAGTGGTTAAGCACATTCAATCTTTCATTCACTTATTAGGCCTTAAGACCAAAAAATAAAAAACGACGTTTTGAGGCAGCTTATTCATTAAGCTTAATCAGGCAGGAGAAAAAGCTTTAACTGCTTAGGTCTCTGCTATGTTTAACCATAATCTTCAAAATCATGAGAATACTGGGACTTGAATGGAAAAATCGTTTATTAATTCTGCACTACTTGAATCAAATGAGGTATATTTTATAGCCGCAAGCCAAGCAAAAAACAAACGTATCTTTCAGTTTGGTTACGCTTTCTTTATTCTTCCAAAGGTGCTATTTCTAATGGGAATTTGGGTGGTACAAGTACTTATACTCTCGGGGTTTGTGTTAATGCAAAACTGCCAGAATCCTACCAATCAGAGAATAAGAGAGACCACAGTGAAATGGATTTGAAGATGCGTGTCAAAGACCATTTATGTCAACTTGCGGTGTGCGATTAAAGGATAGATACAATTTGCGCTAACTACCTCGGTGACAGTTGCAGTATTTCATTTCAATAATGCCTTGAGCTGGCTTAGTGGGGTATATTAACCTCCAATAAAATCTTAAAGTTATTCAGGTTATTGCATTGATGAGCTTTCCCATTGAAACTCATATCAAGAAACGTTTGGCGACTGTTTAGGCACTGCTACGAAAGAAGCAGGGCATCATATCGCTAAGAGGAAATGTCAATCTGCAGGTCCCCCTGGTATAACTTCCATTGCATTGTTGTTATCAAGATAGAATAAGAGAACTAAGAAAGTCTAGCTAAAACCCCTCGACTTACCTTGAATAGCGAATGAGCCATTGCTCTTAAATTTCTATCATGTTTTAGTACGGGTTTCAGCCACTTTTCCTTCACCTTTAGCTACTAAAACATGATAGAAATCTAAGAGCAATGGCTCATTAGCCTCGTCAAGGCTTGCTCTTGTCAGAGGTGGTTTTGGCTTGGACAACGGAGCCCGTTCCATCGAGGATCAGGATGCGAAAAGGGAGGTAAATCGAGGGGTTTTAGCTATACAATCTCAGTTCTCTTGTTTCATCTCGTTGTTATCAATCCCCCAAGACATCACTGCATTTAAAAATAGGTTTTCCTTCATTCAAAGGGCAAGGACAACAAACCTACAAAAAATCTAAGATTAAACTTCACTCACGCACCTGGAGTTGTTATGCAAACAACTTTGACCAGTGGCTTCAAGTCCCCTTTTCTTCGGAGTGGTACCTTTAGAACCCCAATATTCTCCTCCACAATGTACTCTGGATCTTCAATCACAACTGTTGGCTCTAAGAATGTCAGTTCAAATTTATAACAATGCGATAGTCCTTGTTAATGAGAGCACTTGCTAGTAATTTCGACAATATAAATTATGCAGGTTTATCGTTACACTTACCTCCATTCATTTTTCAGCCTCCAAGTATCTACTTCCCATCAATGCCTCTATTAGTGCATTCCTGTCGATCAGTGCTTAGTATTGGCATTCTTGCAAACGATTTTTTGAAGTATGTTTGATTTTTTAGACGTTAGTGTCCGAAATTTCACATAAAAATTGCATCTACGATTTTACTCTTCCAACCTACAGATTTATGATGCAAGAAAAGTTTTGCAAAAATGAAGGTGATTGAATCAAGAAATGAAGTAAGTTTTCCATTTAAACGCTCAATGTTAGCTTTCAATGATAAACAATTTTCAAAAAAGCTCACCGTCATCCTTGTCGAATATGTTTACTGTTGCATTTCCTGGTTCGCCCACTAAAGCATGAATATTATCAACCAACGTAATTTGGAATGTTTCCATAGCTTCGTAATTCAAGTCATCAGCAATCTTCACTTTCAACGTCGCTCTTGCCTGGCCTGGGCTAAACTGTACTTGATTTGATCTTTTGATCTCAAAGTCTTCTTTCTCTGTAGCACTGCCATTGTGAAGAGCTAGGCTTACAAAGCTGGTCTCCCCTAAAAACCCACGACGACGCAGTGGTATGGTTATGTGGCCTTCTGTTTCACTAACGTTGTACTCAGGCTGTGAAAAATAGACCCACGCCCAGTTCATGTAAAACTGTTGCCCATAAAGAGTATTCTCTCCTGCATCCATCAATTTGAAGACAAACATATCACTGGTTGCATTTTCCTTCTTATTAAGAACATACCTTACTCCCCCTTGGTTGACGTCATTTTGGGTAAAAGTTGAGAGAACCTCTTCTGGAGCCGACACGTTCACAAGCTTGCCATGTTTTGGTGGTGTGGTGATGAAATATAGTAGCTTTCCATTATCACTGTCACTGTCATGTGCTTGCAAACTTTTGTCAGACAGTTGGAAACCAACATCTCCTTTATCGAAGTTCTGCAAGAATGAAGCGCCAACATTCTTGGCAACGACAGGGAGCTTGTTGTCAACAGGTCGTATCCTAATATCGATGACTTGTGAATCAGACTTTGGCAACTTTGAGTCGGGGAAAACATAGAAATCTGAATGGGTGCCATCTGTAACAACAATTGAGAAACTATCAGTTTTGGATTCGCTACCGTCGTGGCGATAACTGATTCGATTGTCATTTATGTCCGCTTGGGTGAACGTGCTTACAGTCTGGTGGCCATCTTTTACGATTTGACCGTGAAGTGGTAGTTGGGTAACGGTAAAAACGACATTCCCTGCCTTGGTATCTTTATCGTCAGCTCTGAGCTCAAAGGGGGTGATGACCGTATTTTTACCTTCGAAAGCCGGAAGCAAATTGATGTGTAAAATCGGTTTTTTATTGTCAACATCAGTCAAGGCGATGCGGAATGTACGGTGGATTTTGTTGATGCCATCGCTGACTGAAAATTCAAAATTGTCGAATTTCACTTCATCCTGACTGGTGTGCACATAGACGATCTTGTTACCAGCCAAGTCGATTTGCTTGAAACTTGTAATGGGCACAGATGGGTGATCTGTATTCTCAAGGTAGCCCTTTGCTGGCAACTTGTTCACTTGAAAGACGAGCTTCTGATCTTTGCTGTTGATGTCTGAGGCACTGAGGAGGTCTGTAGTCAATGTTATCCTGTCACCTTCCTTTAATGTGACACCTTTGTTGATGACATCTGGGTGTATGTTATCAATTGGAGCAATAATAACGTAAAACAGCTGATTAACCAATCGGTTGAATCCGTCTGATACATCAAGTCTTATGACGTCACGCTCCTCCTTGCCTATGTTTGCATGGTGGTAGTAGATGCTCTTGCGGTCTACGTCCCTCTGCGTGAAATTGCTGCCTTTGCTGAGATTCCGGAACTGTCCGTTTTCTAACCGCATCACCAGGCTTCCGAATTTCGCATCGTTCATGACAAAGTACATCAAGCTTTTGTCATCTGAATCAAGATCCGTTGCCTTGATATTCCTGTTAGTAACTTGCTTCATCTCTTCTCTTTCCACGCGCAATCCTGCGTTTATGGTCATATGAGGAACTTCATCATCAACAGGAATGATCTTAACTGGCACAATCGCACTCACATTGTGCACTCCATCAGAGACAATAACCTTGAAGCTATCTTCTTTTGTTTCTGTGCCATCGTGTTGATACAGAATACCACCTTCGCTTGCAATTAACTCCGTTTTGGTGAATTTCTTAATGACAGTGAGATCTTGATCTTGTCGCAACAGCTGACCGTGTTTCGGGTTCTCGGCGATATAAAACACGAGTTCGTCTGACGGAACATCTGCGTCTATGGCGTTTAGGAGAGCCAAGTCAAACGACAAATAGTCATTTTCCAACACAATGAATTCGCGCACGAGAGGGACAGGTTCCTCGTCATTTCTTGGTTGTATGAGGACATTGATTGTCGTCTGAGCTGATGTGTTGTTCTTGTCTGAACAAGCAATAACAAACTGGTCAACTGTAGGCTCCAGTTTCTCGTGTACACTCTGGACATAGTTCACATGTCCGTTGATCAAATCAAAGTTAGTGAACTCCTTAGACTCAGTGCCACGACGACTCACTTCGGAGCCTTCAGCTGGCGTCACCGATTCAATGTAACCATACTGAGGCTTCTGAGTGATTTTGCAAATGATCTTTTCTCGCTTCGTGTCCACATCGATGACCCTTAGGTTCGGTTCAGTCAGGGTTACATTGAGTCCCTCAACAACATTGACAGGCGTATTGACTGCGAGAACAGGCGGCTCAGAATCGACTGGCAGTATTTCGAAATGAAGCAGTATGCCGTTGTATGTATTACCTCCGACTAGCCACTCGTCTGACATGTCTGAGAGCGTGAGGTTTAAGGTATCCTTCTGCATCTCTAATCCAATCTCACCAGCAGTGTGCCTGTAGGTTATCAGCCCTTGGAAGACATCTTTTTGAGTAAAATAATTCACTGGTGTGCCTGAAGGAAGGGAAAGTGATATTCTTAGATAACAGTGGCAATATTACGTATAATTACATATTAGAAAAACAACTGTACAGTTTAGCATCTACAACGGTACCTCTGCATACCAAACAGCAGTTAGTCCAGAGTTACTATTCGTATTACAGAAGAGTCGTGGTCTGGATTTTAGTTTTGCACGGCTCTAGCCCAATGAAAGGGGTAAACGAGAAATGTTGGGGTAAAGTAAAACGACTCATTCATTTTATGGAATGGTATGTCGCTGGGAAGTTTTCGTAAATTAAGGTCTTAATAGAGATAGGCTCGTTTGCTAGTTAAGAAAATTGAAGTTGGGTACGTTTCTTAGAAATAACATAAAGTAAATGAAGATATGCAGATATGCCAATATCAAAATTTCTTTCGAAAACAATATTTCAAAATATTTCATATAAAGAGAAAATCAGTATTTCAAATATTTAGTCTCGTTTGGAAAAATATTACATTGCTTTGTAACACATGGTAAGAATATTTTCTTCCTTTCTATCATAGTAAAGCGACCAAGACAAAGGAAGTTTTTTGAATTTTATAGTAAGCTTTCGCCATCATGTCTTTCAAACGTGCTCTTTTAATTGCTGATGGTAACAGCAATTGCCTTGGTTCACTTCAAATTACCCCCCACGTTTTCAGTAAGTTTTCTCAACAAAATCATGCTACCGATCTGTGAACGACCGACCACGAAAAAGTACAATATTGGTCCTTAAGCTGTGTGACAGATTTATGCACCAATTCCACTTTCATCCCAGGATTTACAGTAACAAATGTTTTCTCATAATCTGATTAATAAAAAGGTCATGCTTAGGAATGGGAGGTTCCTTAAAACAGATAATGTGTGGGAAGAATTGATTTTGCAATTTTGTTCAATTGCGTAGTTTTATACAATTAAAATAAAAAAGCTGGTCGGATTTTCACTTTGTTTAACATTATTCCAATTTTCGTAAACATCCTGCTTTTGCTATGGACAGAGAATTTATCTTTGTTGATGTGAATTCTTTTAGTGTTTCACCTTTCTTAAAACCAATCAAACGGCGATTTCGCTAAAGAAACTGACAATTTTATCTGCTTTGCATAAGACAATTTAATCTAAACATTATTTTAGTGGTCACGTATCCGTAATGTAGGATTTCTATTGCTATCAAATAGGCCTTGAAGTTTCATAAATTGAATAGATAAGCCGCCACATAGCTAGACGTTCTCTCAAACGCACCGGCGTGTTTTCGTATTATAGTCATAGCAGAAAAGTAAAACAATTTGACCCATCCATATAAGGTTCAAATCTCGACGGTTGTAGGAATTCTCACAGATATTTAGTGTCTATTCTTGAAAAGGCCAAAATCTTGTAATCATGTCAATTTCTTTATAATCGACAACACGGTGATCGCTGTTATATTTAATGAAACAAATGATTTTCAATAAACCATATTTTCGTTTAAAAAGCAAGAATTTAAGCTATGGCTATTGTGAACATTCTGCTCCTTACCCATCTCTGAAAGTTTCAATTACTTCTTTAAACTTTATGGTGGGGAAAAATCAAACATTATTGGCCGACCATGAGATAACGGACCACAAAGTCAAGGAGAATGGCGAATTGATCAACATGGATTTGCAAACAAGTTCCACAAACATGCACGAAAAGGTGGAACAAAACAACTGATTTACAAAAACAGTTTGCAACTTTTGCTACTTGCAAAATTAAGGGCTGTTCCTTCCTGCTGTTTTCTTGATAAATATCATTTTTGGTTCTGTTGCGGTTTAGCCAATGTTAAAAGCACATGTTACAAGGAGAGAAAACACTGCAGATGTTTCGAGAAAGTGTTCCAGCTATTTCGAGGCATTTGTCTACAAATGGCTAACCGTGGTGAACCGTTTGGGTGAAGTCCAATTATTTTCACACCCTGTAATAAAACCAAGCGATTCGTTAACACTTCTGATTTGAAGTATATTTTGGTAGCAAGGATATTTGCATCTAATCCACGGAAACAGGCGCCAGGAAGGCAAAGAACCAGATACACTTGTTAACATCATAGACAGATGAATTAGAATAACCAAGACACATTCTAACAATTATTTGGGACAACCACATGTCCGTCTGCTGAGCACTGAGTGGTTTGAAAAGTGATAAAATGCAGATGCGAAATTGGTATTTTTTAAATGAGAGTCTGTAATGACACTGCTTAGGCATGTATGCATAATCTCTTCTTGCTCGTTCGTCGAACGCGAAAGTCCTATCACTGGATTTCATAGACACTGGGGTGTCAGTCCAAATGCTAGAGACAGAAGGCTGTCAGATGTGTCAAGAACCATTCTTGGAGGTCTATTCCTGTATGTAAAATCGTCATTAAATTGTAGAAAGACAACAGCATAGTTAACGAAGATTTCGTAGAAAGGATATTTCTATAAGATGGACAGACCATAGAAAAGACATCAGCATTCAAGGAGGTCAACACGTCGAAAAATTACTACCAGCGAAAATAAGAAAAGACAATTCCAGTATCCTCAAATAATAGGTTCCTTGGAACACAACAAAAAATTGCCCGAAGGATGAAATAATGCTGTGGGGTTTATGGGTAGTGCGGTGATGGGGTGATAAGTGTTTAATCACAAATAGAAAAAAATATACAACACTTTAGAAATTAGGTGTAGTCGTTAATAAAGCTGAAGAAGAAAACAACTGGCTTTCGGTATATATCGCCGAGATGACAGTAAGATGCAGCAATGGAAGTGAAAGGTTTATCAATCGCTCGTTTTTCACGGGCATACAAGAAATGAAGGATAGGAAGATCGATGGAATAAGAGTCACTGCCAACACGCTCAAAACAGGGCTCTCCATTGCACAAATAGAAACGAAAAGCTATAAATAGTGAGAGAAAAAACTCAAAACCAAATCCTATACATAAAATATCATTTTCAGCTTTCAAAGACGAGTTGTTACAAAAAAGCGGTAGGCACACTGTTGGAGGTAGAATTCAAAAATTTACACGTGGTGAGCATATACCACATTCTGACAGGTAAATGGAAATTCCATTGGAGGATGTGAAAAAAAGCTAATCACGCGTGTGTCTTCGTGAGTAGTATATTTACTCTGAGGATGGGCGTATCAGCATAGACAAGAGTTGAAGGAAGGCATAAAACGGGACATGTGGATCATAGATTCCAGAGTCGATAAATATGTGGGGTATTTAACTACTTTCTATCAAGACTCTATGATCCACATCAAGAAAACACGATTAATATGGGTGTGGCTTTGAGAAGGACTTGTTGGGCTTTGTCCCACCTTTAGCATGGCAATCGATATCCATATCTCTAAAAAGGTGACCCTTATTACCTTTCGTTTTATATCACCAACTTTATGTAACATATCCCAAATTCTTCGTTGGCTGCACAACATATTAACTTGTTTTCGTCGTAACTTCTTATCGCAGTCTTTTCGAAATAAATTCCTGGCTTTATCAATCAAGGTTTATCTAAATTTGAGGATGATATAAAAGCAGCCGATCTTTGCCAAAAATCTTTTATCTTTCCAAATGATTGCTTATTGGTTTCCTATCTCAGACAAGTCGCAACCGAAAAGGCTATCCTAAATCGATTAAGTAAAAAAACACATCATCAGATCCTCGTTGGTTTTTCATTTAAGAACAGGTATGTTTCTTCTACTGATAGTTGGTCGGGCTTTTGCTAAGAAACCTGTATGCTTGTGAAGTAATTAAATATTGAAGAAAAAATTCAACTTAACAAAACTAACGACATAACAACATATATATACCAAATTGACTCTGGGAAGATATTAATTAATTGATGGCATTCTAATTTCATGACATGACGTATCCACGAATATTTCGTACCCCTAGGCAAAAGATCCTATTGTCTTCTAGAAAAATAACAAAAAAATCCGCGAAATATGACTTCAGACTGTGCTAAACATGGCGTACATAAAACTGACAAGGCAGACTAGCCTGCACTCTAAAAGCAAGAAAACAGTTTAATACTTAAAGCATATTCAGCAAGATTTTGTACTGCTGTAAAAACTAGGGTTCCTAGGGTTCATAACAAAGAACTGTTACGAAAATGTCATAAGAACATTCTATATATGCAACACCAGCTGTGTAGAGAAATTGTACGGTAAGGAGCACGTGTGGATGTTTCGAAATCAGGGGAAACGAATCACTTTAACTGTACCAAAGGCTTTTTTCACCAAATTAACATAATTTGAGAAACGTAAACACATCCAAACAATTATTTTGTAGGCAATGTCAAATATCCTTTGATTATATTCATATTTTGCATTACCCTAACAAAAAAATTGATAAGGATTCACGAGAAACGATTCCGTGACCAGCATGAAGGACACAGAGCAGTCTTTTAAAGGCGAGGTTTAACATTTCATGGGCTCCATTTACAAATATATCTTCCTTTAATCTAACAGCAACTTAAAATAACCATGTCTTATCCTTTGGTATAAATTGCAGCTTATCACAAATGATAGGTTTCAATAGAAAAACACTCCAAACAAGTTCTTTGCGACCTAATCTCTATGACCACCAAGAACTGGGCAGATTCATGATGTAGGTTTACCATAGATGCGGAATACGATAACTGGCTTCTAGCGTTCAGAACTTTTCGCTTCCCAACTGATAACTGAGTAAGAACCAGCTGAAGAAATGGCGCTTAGGGAAGATGCAATAAACTGAGTTGCAAACTACTTGGAATGGCCGAAGTGAAGCATGGTCGTTCTTGGAAGGATGAAGTGAAGCATGGTCGTTTTGCATGCTGTTTGCTTGAATGTTTGGATGTCCCTGAGGGGCAACTCACTTTGGCGAATAGCAAACAAGATTTCAATAAACCAAAAAGAATTTCTGGGGATTTAGAGATAAATCAGGATTTCTACCAAAGGTTTACGAAATTTCAAAGGAGTGATTTGCTCCTTCGATTTGAATATAACTGTGCTAACAGTGAAAATGATGGGGATAAATGGATAGCAAAGAAATGGAAGGGAAATGCCTAAAAGTGCACTTGCAGCGAAGAAAATAAATTTGCTTTGGGAATCTCTCGGAAAATGAAACACAAATGCGAAAGTAGCCAAAATCTTGATACACATGTAAGTTATTGATAAAACATACCTTGTTTTTCAATGACACCACGTGACGGTCCCGACACAATCAAAAACGTAAGATTTTCATCGTCTGTGTCCTCGTCGGTACCGCTGATGATCTCTTTTGTCAGAATTTTGACACCTCGTTCCAAAACTTGAACTTTTTCAGCCAAATATTTAACTTTTGGTGCTTGATCGTCGACTGGGTTTACAGCTGAAATAAGACAGGAAGAAGAAATAAGAAATCTGTTTGAAGAAATTGCATGAAAAGATGAAATAGTTATCTGTCTTGATACGTGTCAGAATTTGGCAGCCCCTATGATCTACTTTCTAGATAAGTCTAGAACTGAACGTAGCATGTCTTGAAGGGAGGATTCCATGGTTTTCAAGTCTCTTCTGTCATATGTTTTCACATTTTTGTTGAAAAATATAAATGCTTATCTGTAAGTGCCCCTAGCGATAAAATAATGAAATGAGTTAGTCTAGACTAAACAGAAGGAACTTGCAGGGAGTTGTTCATTTTGAACTTATACCCCATGCGCACGTATCAAATACTAAATTCTACAGGGTCATTTAGAACGGTGCCACACCAAATAAATTGTTTACATTACGCCGTACAGTTGAGCTCTCTAGACTGATAAGTTCGTTCTGGTATCATGATTACAAGATTTGTTGATATTAGAAACAAAAATATAAGCAGATGTAAGCAATCTTCTTTCTAGGAGAAGAAAAGAAATCCGCTACTTTCCAGACAGTCATTGTCGGAGCAAATAGACTGTCAAAAGCACAAGGTCGCTATTCTTTAGCTCGTAGACTTAAACATCAAAATACCGAGAAGCTGTAAGTTTATGTGGCGGATCCATTTGGACCTTATCCCAAAAATTTCTCGTGTAAACATGAAATTGTTTGGATGAGACCTTGCAGAATTAAACATTAAAAGGAGGTATTCACAACTAATGATTTTGATCAAGCAAAAAGGTTTCTTCTGCAAAAGGCTTTCGACCCTTTGACTCAGCACTTTTGCGTCATTCTAATTTAGGGATCGGCATCAACATTGCAAGATTGCGAAAAAACAGTGCCGAACTGTCTAATGCCTAGGCAGGGAATAAACATCAAGTAGACTAATGCAAAGTAATCGAGTTTCTGAAAGACTGCATGGTTACCACAATTCAATGTTTTTCGGTGTCTCTTTATCCTAACAAAGTATGCAAACAAGAAGAGGTCGCGCCATCTTGGTAAGTTGACCCCACAACTGCATACGTGCATGTGGGATTAGGACTCTTTGAATTGGATCCAAGCCTTCTTTGTCATCTAGCTTAATAAATATTACGTTAAGCGAATATTGCTGCACTGATGAGCAAATCCAATTTAATGGTAATAATAAGTCCATAAATACCGCTTCGGGCATCAGACAAGAATGCAGCGGTATTCAAAAAATCGATTTTCAAGCAAATACAAAACAGCAAGCGACATTATTAGCCAATCCAATATACTAACTATTTCTGATTCGCCCATTCGTATTGTTAATCCTGTATATTCTATTGCGTCTGCCTGAATTTGCCTAAATCATGCATTGTACACAGTTGCTGGAAGTGCTTCGGTATTTGAAAAATTTCGGGCAAATACAACCTACCGAATGTTCCGACTAGAATTTTTATATTTTTTAATTGTATTGTGCAGGACTGTTTTTATTTTATTGTATTGTATTGTATAGAACTGCATTTCATTGTATCGAATTGTCTTGTATTGTATTGTATTACATTTGATTGTATTTTATTTACAGAACTGTTTTTTATTGCATCGCATTGTACAAATGCTTTTTCGACAGTAAATAAACACTAATTTATACTAAGAATTTTCATGAATTACATTGATGTGACGAGACTGATTAAAATATAATTCTATTTGGCCCATTGGACAATCTGTATCTGGACTAGATTACCGAAAGCTACAAATGGCTAAAATTATCATAATTACAGATTTCATAACTGTGTTTTAAAAAAAGAAAACTAGGCGTGGTTTAGGAGGGGTTTAGGAGGGGTTTGGGCGGGGTTTAGGCGGGGTTTAGGCGTGTTTCTTTGATTTCTTTTTTTTGCACGCCGTCCTCGCAATCTTTGATGGCATGACTGCTAAAACTTCTTTGCTCTGCATAGATATTTCAGTACTCTTTCACGCTGGAACCAACAACATACAACCCATCAAATCCGCATAGAAATGGCGTTCAGTCAATTTTATCCGGTAATTCAATACTGGAGGATTTTCAACAACAGAGATAAACAAAGATGCTTAAAACTGACGAAACCTCTGCTCTTGTGCTAGACTTTTAAAGGCTCCGCTCGGTATTTCGACAGCCCTTGATCTTGTAATATACAGCTTCACCTGGCTTCAGAATTACTTTATTTAGCGATATCCTGCATTAGGCACAATCATTTGCGTTGTTTCAATTCATTGCATCCGTGACATAAGCAAATCTGTACAATTGCGTATGGCGAGGAAAAGAGGGTTTCTGTATTTATCAATGATTGGGCTAGTAGATTTATTCCCAGTTGGCTGAGAATTGGGGGGGTATGAAGCTATGATTATTTTCATAATTAAGGTTGATGCTTATAAAGAAAGTTGCGAGAACAAACAAAAAGATCTTTCAATTATCGCAAGGTAGCAGATACGGCTATCTACAACAAATCTTTCAATAAAACGATTTGATGCAGTGATGCTATGATACAATTTCCTCAATGGCGCAAAATATCAATGAAACCCTAATTAAATCAGCTCTCTCACGCGAACACCTGTGAATCATTTGGGCCTGCTAATTAAGAATTTCTACTCTAACTTGCAATGATGTACCACGGAATCTTTTCTTGACGCACTGAAGCCCTGGTATTATCAATTTTGTGGTGAGCTGACCTAGACTCGCCTAGATCTATGGCATCGGCAATTCATTTCGCTTTTTATTTTGATGAATTGCCTCTGTTATTTAGGCCCTTGTTTGTTTGTTGTAATGCAAGTAGCAAACAATACTAAAACAAAGTAGCGGTTGGATTGGCCTGATCTCCATCAGTATAACGGGCACTGTACCTCGTTTGCGATACCGTTTGTTTACCTTCTCATTGTCTACTGGCCCTTGTGGTAAATGTAACGTAACATATACGTAGAGGTTAAAACGAACATAACGTAAATGTAAGAACTGGTTTCGTTCCATTCACTTTTAATCTGAGACAGTTTGAATAGCTTGCCATACCCGTATATAAGGACCTGGGTGGCCCCAACAACTAAAACTTACTTACTGATGCATAAATGGTAATTCATTCATGTGTATCTCAGCGAAGATATACAATTATTCCCTCGTCACTTAAAAGCTGACTTGTAATTCCAGTCTTAAACGGGAAATATAACAGTAGAAATGAGACAATTAGAAGTTCAATGCAGGGGTATAGTGCTAAGGATGCAGCACCTTGAGTCCAGTTTCTCACCCCGAAAGTTAACCGATTTCTTGTTCTGGCATTGCCTTTTTGTAATATTTTGCGTGAGATGCCCCGTCGTTCTTTTCATAAAACTACGCCTCGATACCATGAGGAAAATATGGCAGAGCTGACAATTATGCCATATAAGGATTAAGATCCATGTACACTTGGCCTACAGTGAAGGACGTGTAGAGTTGTAACCAATTCGAAATAAAAATAGATTGAGATAAAAAGTGGGATAAGAGTAGTTGATACGGTTAGTGAGATTTTGATAAACCTGTTAGCGATAAGAATCCAACGAAGTATTTGCGATTTGAGCACAACTGTAACTGATGTTACAAACAAGATGTCCGGAGTACCAAAAATAAAAGAATCTTTACATATCTAGGCCAGCGGAATCTGTGAGGTTTAAAGGTTATTAGGTTAACAGGTTATAAAAATAGCGAGGCTCGGACCAAGGGCGTTTAGCGGCAAAAAGCATTTAATTCCAACAGATATAGCCTAGGATTTTAAGTGAATGAACGAGTAATTAATAGAAAGATCTTTAATCATGGACGCATTGGCGGGCCGAAAAAAGTATATATATTAACATTTTTGGGTAGATGCCCCGTGGGAAGAGCGTAATCGAGTCTGGACTTCCGTCGTGATGTCAGAAGAATATTTGCGGTGAAGGAAACAACTTAACGGAGAATTTATCCGTTTAAAACTACTTTAGATCAAGTTCTGTGCAGTACTATAGAATGTACATTGTTGACTTAACGGAAATCAATCTTTTTTAGAAAAGTTTTTAGGGGGGCTCCAGAAGCAACGTTTTGAGGCTGCATAAACCATGTTTCTTAGTTCCTTGATACAATATTCCGCTTATGAATATTTAAACATGCATTCGTCTTTTATATAACGCAATTCTATCAGAACATGAGCCTCATAACTGGTTAAAACTAAGAATAAATTAAGAACAAGCTGAGGCTGAGGTACTCTAAAACGATTTTTTAAATGTTTTTTACATTGAGCTTAAATATATTCTCCAGTAAGATATGGTCAATGAAATATTTCAAGTCTGCTAACAGATAACTGTTATTTTGGCTATGTTGATAAAGTTATGGACAGAGACAAAATTACAGCGATGGGTAAAGGACCTGTCCAGTCGAAAAGTCGTTAGCCAGTCATATGGTTCTTGGTGATATATTTAGGAAACGTTATGAGGTGAAATCACATGAAGGCCCTAGGTTCGGTACAGTTACACAGATTATGTTACCTATAATCCCAATGTAAAACAAATCTTTCCCATTAATACTTCAGTGTCGGGGTTACTGGCTGTATGAGTAAGAGCTTCGGCAAAATCTAACGTTTTATTTTCTTTAGCCCTGTTAAAGAAAGCTCAAGGTAAAAGACTTTATGAAATGGGCTTAACGTAATGCTATAGTTTTAGAAATCGTCGCGGAAGCAGCTTAACAAGGTATCGTGACAATTTCCCTGTTTGCCGCAACGTAGAATCTGTTGTTTTTAAACTCAGTCGAAAAACGAGGAGCGCAATCACAAAAGGTAGAAAACAGGGCGGAAGGAAGGAAAGATGTCCTAACCATGATGTATGTGAATAGGAAACTGAGAATTAACTTCATTAAAATCATTTTGCCATTTTCCACCCGGTTTTAACGTCATAATTCTTATCTGCATACAGCGGACCTTTAGGAAACTACAAAACCCACGATAACCAGAAGGAGGCTCGCTTCAGTAAAATTGAATCATCGGCACTTTGTATTACCAACCCCCCACCCCCCCCCCCCCCCCCCCCCTCACCCTATATAATCTAACAAGCAATTGCATACACAAAAACTGGAATTACAAAACTGTAGAACAAGACCATCACTTTCTAACTTGAATGAAACCACTGCCTCGAGTGGCACAACCAATTGATTTATCATGCAAAGTTCTAAACCTTTGCAAGCATAAGGGCCTATAAGGAATCGTTCTGCACTTTAATCAAGCACTGGTGTTCTTCTTTCGGCTAACAGATTTACTAAGACTAGATACGGATACGATTGGGATAATCGTATTCTTCCCACGTCCTCTTTGCAGGACCGGCATCTATTCTCCATAGATGCATACAACGTTCCGTATTTGTGAGTTTGTTTAACTACCACATATTCTGTTGGTATTTCCAGCAGCATCCCGCAACCAAGTAAGGCCCTTTTATTTGCGAAAGTATTCGTTTAAGATCATGAGCTTTTGTGAAAGATATCCGCAGGTTTTGAAATACTTTACGGTGATTTGGTCCTTCCTACGCTGTCTCAGTATTAGTTGCACAATTGTTACATTTAGTGGGAAAGTATCATGTGTAGTAATAATAAAATATGATTATTATGATGATGATTATTATTACTTTTATGATTATTATTTCATTATTGATGTTGCTGATAATTGATGATAACATATACATAAACATATACAATAAACAATAGAGAAGCTTTAGCAATTACTGGGGGCTGAAAATCTCACTAGTCACCCCGCATCCGACAGCCCTGACAGTGTATGGTTTACATCAATCAATTATCATAATTTCTAAAAAAAAACCACTTTGGAAGTTCAAGAAAATTTTCAAATGTAAAAGGATATCTGTCTACACCTTTTGAACTCAAGATGAAACGACGAAATGATTTACGGCTGCGTGGATTTAAGATAATTATCCCTGGGAAAATCTTACAGACAATCAACGATAGCTGAGCAAGGGATTTAGACACCCACCCAGCACTGTTCATGAGTGAGGTTTCCTTCGCTTATTTCCAAAGATCATGCAATTCGTCATAAAAGAATCATTCATACCATAAAAATCGCCTTAAATTTCACATATCCAAAGAAAACACTCCTTTCACGTGAATGTTTAAGTAGGCAACCACTAGACGTTCGCTACAAATTTTATGGAATTTTATTGTTTTAAAATGAAGTAAAAAGGCACGAATTGTTGGGGCTTTCCAACGTTGAACAGACGGGTTTTAGCCAAAACTGCGAGGTTTCGCTAGTCAGCCTATCATATTCTAAGACGATTTAAATCAAATTATCCCTTTTAAGCAGGCAGAGCAGTGTTAAATCTCGTCATTATCCTACATTATTTGCTAAATGCAGCCAAACTTGCTAACCTTTTCATTCAGTGATGTAAATGGAAAACACTGTTTGAAGGAAAGCGGATATAAAGAGCGGGCAAACGCTTATGTCTCAAATGCATATTTCACCGATAATCAGCCAACCTACACCTTTGGGGGGTGCATATTGAAAGTACTTGTTATCTATCAGTATAACCTACGTTTGGAACAACATAAGCAAAAGAGGCTCAGTCCTTAAGTTCACGGTTGAAGCATATTCTCCATATGTATGATTATCCGATAAATTCTAGCCCCTTTCTTCTTCTAATGTAAACTTTCTATAGAAAAATAATTCTGATATGTACTATTTTGTATTTCAATAGCCTCTCTCCTCCCACTGTGCGCAATGAGCCTGCGTAGTACTTAACAAGTGACCACCTTATGCTAAGATAGTTCTTAGAATTACAAATTTCAATGCAGATTCCGAAACCCTTTTAACAACCTGATCAAAAAAAAATTCACGGTGGATTCAAAAGAAGGTACCAGAAATACCCTGAGGAGAAATTCCTTGAGTCAAGAGAAAACGCATTTAAGTTAATTAAAAAATTTCTCCTGCAATAAAAAAGGAAAATGACAACTACCTTAAACACAGATAGGAAAATAAAGGATGGTGAGGTAATATAAATTGTCAAATTGAAACGTTTCCAGATCAATTTTTTCTACTTCACGATGTAAAACGTTGCACATTTTGATAATGGTATAAGAGATCGCTGTAGGGGGTAATGCAAAGTGCTGATTTAACCATCATAATAATCATAATAGCTGAATACATTTGAAGAAGGTTTTTGAAGATAATGGCATCAATATGTGAAAAGAAAAGATAAAAAACTTACCGATGGGCAGTACAATTGGAACTGAATGGAATCCATCGTTGATCAGAAAGTCAATTTGTTCTTTCAATGTCTCAGAACCATCATGCTTGTAAACGATGTTGTTCCTTGTGATTTCTTGAAACGGGAAAATGTCCCCAGGTAACATCTTTCTGCCAGCGTTGATCAGTAGACCATGTTTGGGTGGAGTTGCCACGCCCAGACTGATGTCCTCCGCAGAGTTATCATCATCTTTTACATCCAAGTAGTCTTTCGTGATTATGACGTCACGCCTCTCGTCCACGGGCACAGTTTGGATGATACCAACGGGCGGCTTGTTGTTCTTCGGGTGCAGGTCAATTGTGAACACTTGCTTTTCAATTTTGTTTCCAGCTGGATCTTGAACCAAAAACTCGAATTTAACTTTTCGTCTTGCACGACCAATCTCTGTTTTCGGTGGATCGTATCCAATTTTAAAATGATTCACTTGTTTTTGCGTGAATGTGGAAACTTCTCTTTTGATGCTGCCAAGCTCAGCAATGATTGTACCAGCATCCAGATTCTCATCGTCGCCATCTTTTCCTTGCTCGCTGACAAAATACGGTTCTTTAGTAACCCTGTAGATAAGCTTATCATCATCTGTATCCACATCTATGTACCTCAAATTGATTTTGTTAAACTTTGATACAACGGTCTCCAAAGATTTCATTTTTAACGGACAGGCAGGAAATAGTTTCGGCTTAAGGTCATCGATCTTTTTTATGTTAATGACAAATGTTTTCAACCCAGACTGGTTAGGTATTGTGTTATCATCCCTAACTCTAAACGTAAAACGGTCACTGAAAATCTCATCACCATAATGTTTGTAAAAGACCCGCCCAACAATAATATCACTTTGGGAGAATTCTGTTATGTTTTTCATGAACGTTGATCCCTCTCTAATCCATCCAACATCATTTTGGTCAGGGGGTGATGTTTGTACGTAGCAAAGGCCACCAGCTATCGGAGGATTTATAACTTTGAAAATCAACTTAGTTTCATCAGAATCGACATCTTTGGCAGTAAGAATAAACTGGTTTATCTGCATTATGCCACCCTCCTCGAGGGTCATGCCAAGATTGTGCTTAAGAATTGGAGCCTCGTCATCTGTTGGAATAATTGTGACGGCAAGGAGAGTGTCGACTTGGTGTTTCCCATCCTTCACCCTCATGACAAAATTGTCGTGGTAGGTGTTTGAATCGTCATGAATGTATCTCACCAATCCTTGTCGAAGGTCTTTAAGAGTGAATGAAGTAACTGACTTTCCGAGCTTCTCTAACTGTCCATGCTTAAGTCCATTGATAACAGAAATATCAACATTGGAGGGATCGTTTTGTGTGGTGATTACCAATATATTTTTGTCTATCGCACGTGACTGGCCTTCGAACATTGTGATACCTGTATTCTTCACAACCCTTGGTGTTTCAGTGTTCATTTCTTTGAGAATTATGAAAACGTAAAATGGTATAGATCTTGCCCCTTCTCCATCAATAGCCTCGAACCAAATCCTTCGCACTCTGGCCCCACTTGAGTATTTTTTCGGTGGCTTGTATGCAATTTTCAAATCTTTGAGGTCTTTTTGGTAGAATGTTCTGATAGGTACATTTGGATTGTCCGTGTTTACAAGTTCCCCTTCACCTGGACCAAGTGGTTGTGTGACATTGAGAATCAAAAGATCGTCATTTGTTTCTTTATCGGTGACAGCCAGAACGTTAGGACTGATTGCTGTGATGATAGACTGGTCAACCTGGGTTGAAAATACAGCATCGAATGCTTGATTCGGTCTTTCATTTTCCGCGGCTCCTCTTATTCTCACTGGCACACGGATGAATTCCCTTTGCTCGACCTTTTTCGACTTTTTATCTGCGATCTCAACAACTAATGGAATATAATCCCGGTTTGAAGAGGCAGCATTTTTATGGCTGTATCGCAAAGTTCCATCAGTGAATTTCGCACATTCAATTTTTTGACTAAGCTCTGTTCTGCCAGTGGCTGTTGTCTCGTGCACCAAGCGCCCATAATATGGGGGTCCGGCATCAGACTTGACTACATGAATAAAACAGTCTTCTCTATTTTGATCGAAACTGAATTGAAGCACGCTGTTGCTTATTGGCTCAGAAAGCCCTCCAACCTGCTCTACGATGAGATCAGCTTTCTTCTGTAATACTTCGGAAGGTATGCTGAATAATACCTCAACGTGTATGGCGAACGGCTGCACCACAGTCTGACTCCCCGTGTCTAACCTTGCATGCATCTTTACAATATCTTCTAGATTGTCAAGACCACCAAAATGCTGATACTTAACTTCTTTCTCGTCGAAGTTGCATGGAAAAATACCAGGGTACAGACCGCCAACTTTATAATGCGTTGGCTCGTCCTTCAATACGTATACTTGACAATTTCCTTCGGGCTTGTACAAGAAAGACAAATCCACGCGGGGTCTAATATAAACTGCACGACCGTAAAATACTTTGAGTTTTTCATTCTTATGCACGACAATCTGGGCTTCTTCAGCCAAACATTGATTCAGCACAAAAAACAAGCAAATGATCGAAATTACCGTCTTCTCCATCCTGTGAAGCAAAGAACCTAAATCCGCAACAACGTTGAGAAAACTCTTCACTTGCTGGATTCACTGTCTCATCGCTAGCACTGATGCTCGTCCGTTCACTACGAGAGCGTGGCTCTAATAAACATTGATGTATAATCACGGCTTTTAATATAGCATTCTTTGATCAATCGAGTTTAATCGCTTCAAATAGAGACCTTCAACCTTGTCTTTGTCCGTAGTCACTGCCCCGTATAACAAGATAGCGCCTTCGAAATTCCAGCGTTCTCCTTTTGTTTCGAGCGACGGAATGCCAAAGAAACCTCTAATGGGTTTTGATTATTTCCCCAATATTATTCCCAATTATCCACGAAAAACAGGCTAAGATAAAACTGAAGTCGAATGTAAACAGCCCTGTGATCAGACTGCTAATGTTTGAAATTCCACCTCAACCTGCTTGCACGCCACGCTGTGATCACTGTGTGGCCATGCTACTGCCAGTCTCAAGTGGTCGGGCCCTTATGATATGACAGTTGCCAAATAGAGCTCGTGCTGTGAATTTTCACGATATCCTCACCTATGTCTGTCCTCATAAAAAATATGTTTCTGTGATTTCCCGTCCATGTGCAAGCCACAACAGCACCTCCGGTGCGTATAGGTTTTATTGCGGTTTGTGTTATTTATAGAGCCATCTTTGATCTTCAAATCGCAACTTGATACTCCTCTAGCACCGAATATTTTCTCAAGATATATTTGGGAAATCATTAACTTATAATCTTCATGTTCATTTTTTTCTTTATAGGCTTTGTTTATGTAATCTTGCTGTTCATTTAAAGTGTTATTAAGCAGGAAATCGTGCGGCTACAACTCCTTGAAAATCGGAAACGACCGTTTCATTTTATCAACATGGTTCTGCGAATTCTTCGTTGCTCAGTACAAGATTTTCATAGATAAAAAAGGATGCAATTTTAAAAGGCCGGGGAAAATTTCAAAAGGGGTGCAATTTCAACTTAATTTTGCGTTCTGGGGCAGACAGCGCATCAAATACATCTTGGCAGGTATTATACATAGTTCTGGTGGTACCTTTGGCAACATTTTCATATGAAAACACGGAGGGGAAATTATTAGGGGGTGGCTCAAGAATCCCAACTCACATTCTATCCCGGAAAATTGAGAAAATTCGGGCTTTCAAGCCCCTGATATCTTGCTAAGTCAATCTTCTTGTCGAAAAATCGTTTGGCTTAGGCTCCTCGAAGAAAAACCTGAAATTCCTCCATTGTTGAAATACGTACCGTAAATTCTCTTTTCAGCCCCCTCTCTCAAGTGCTGAAAAACAATAAGCCTCCGGGGCTAAAAAGAGAATTTAGGGTATTCACATTCACTTTTGTTTGTAATGTTTGTGAAATTTCTGGACACTTACAATACATCCATCTTTATAATGCATGCACACTTTTTTATATAAGAATAAAGTCTAAGTATGTTAAGATTCAAATTCGCTGAAATTTAAGAATAATTTAAGAATAATGCAAATGCTGAAATATTCATCAAGAACTAACTTTTTGTTTAATTTGAGACTTGAGCAGTTTTTTGCTAAGCTTGAGTTTTATGGAAAACAAATCAAATGCGTGTTAGATGCTATATGTCTTGAAACGCGTATCCCCCCCCCCCCCCCCCCCCTTGGAGATATTAATTCTATAATGCGACACAGTTACACCTTGTGTCATTTAAAAATATTTTAAGTATAATCTAAGGCCCAAAATTTTAAAAATCTAAGAATTTTGAGGCCCGGCAAAAAATTAGTCCAAAGCTTGGCAAAAAATGGCGGTCACATAATCTATGGCTTTGTAGCCTGGGTCCTAGACCCCTAAGGCCAGTTTTGGGCTTTCGATGGTCGAGATCCTCAAAAAGGTTGTTGCACATGGCTACAAAGGTAATTACGATAAAGATCCTGAAAAGTTACAGTGTTGTTCAATATAAATGATAGCTTAAAAATTAAATGCCTGTTCAAAAAAGTATGCTTTAACTGAATTTTTGATTGTTTTCGATCGTCTAAAATGGAGAGGCAAAGAGTTCTAGATAGAGGGTGCAGCAGATTCAAATGCTCTTTTGCCAAATATCATAGCTCTGGGAAGTGTTCTGGAAGTATTGTTACCAATTAACGATTCCTTTATACTCTAGTTTTTACAACCACTAGAAGAAGCAGTGTAGCTAGGAGTCTTGAGCTCACGATACCGCATCCCACTTAACATAGTTTGACTTGACTCACTGGATGGGGATTAAGGACAAGGAAAGGTTATGAACTTTTCCCTAATCCCCAGAATGCCTTGAATGCTTTTTAAATTTGAAAATTTTTAAAAATTCCATAATGAATGATAGCGAAAATTGATTAATAAATTAAGAGTTGAAACAACTCAGTTTTTAAACAAGTCCTTGAAATAAGAAAAATTCTTTAGCTTTTGCAATATTTTTCTGCAAAACGTTAATTACTTCTCACCCCCTAAAGATTTCAGTTATCTGTCAACCCAGAGGTCAATCCATTTGAATTGCAAAGTAATCTTGACACTGAATTTCCATGGTAATGGTAATGTTAAACCATATCGATTCTCTTTCCATGAGTGAACCAGCAGTTGAACATAGAAGTCCACGATGAATGGCTTGACCTGACACCATTTAGAGAGAAGAAGAACTTAGGTAACCCCAATTACTTGTGGTTACTCTGCTGGGCCTATAAATAGAGGGGCTACATCGGAGAGATTGACGTGGGATGGTAATTGTTCTGTTGCCCAAGGCCTCTGCTAGGTTTTGGGTTTCCTTTTATATCTAGAAAGACGCCTTCTCAAATCAAAGGGCATCAGTGTGCTTCCTCATTAAGATTTTCATCAAAAATCGTCGTTGAATATTCCCCCTCTCTATCCTCCTTCTCCGTTCTTCATTTTCAGAATATCGTTCTTACGCACAACGCCTTGGTCCCAAGTATTGAATTTCTTTGTCAAGGTCAGTGAGTACAATCGCTATAGAAGTATGGTATGCTGCTAAATCGCTGCTCGATTATCCAGTGGATTTATATAACTGTGAATCTCTCTTTAAAGCTTATAGCTTATTAAGGTTGATGACTGATAAGTATGCATCCAGAGCTGGCTTGCTACTAGTTTATTTTGCGTGATTCTTGGCCGACTCAGCAATGCAATGAGAAAAATGACCTTTAAATGAAAAATCAAAGCAAATCTCAGCCAGGTCATTTTCACAGGTTAGAACAAACAAACAGAGGATTTTTCAACACACAAGTTGCTCCTCTAGCCACGGTAAATTTTTTGTGTTTCAAAATTTAGGCTATTGGTCTCTTTACTAAAGCGCAAAAATCTACTCCCCAACTGGCCCTCTTGAAAAATTTTAGAAATCGTTTTTTCAAAATATCTTGTTTGTTATCTTGTGAATGGAAATTTGTTACTCTGTGCAATGCATTATAAGAACTCCTTTTGGTAACGTGCAAAGATTAAAAAGATTCGCAAGTTAGATGGGAATTAGGTTGAAATCACTTGCAAATAAACCTTTGAGCCTCTGTTAGATTCCGTTAAAAGAATAGCTGCATCAACAGCATAAGGTCAACAAGAAGGCAGGCCGTATTTATTATGGCTTGCATCACATATGGCCCTTATTGGCTTGCTTGGGGGTGTTTACGGCTGCACTGCGTACGTTTACTGATTATCTTCTTTGCAATTTCACAATTCTGACATGGCCAGACAAATTGGGCGTTAGAAATAAGAGGTTAATAAGGGCCTCACGGAAAACCTTCTGGGATGCCATCTTTTTTTAGTAAGGAATCATGTCCCAAGTATGATTGGAACTACTGCCTTGCAAACATTGACAATTTTGTGGAAATCTCTTTGAGAATCAACATCCGAGGAAAACTCTTTAGAAAATTAAGTGGTTTGAAACAGGGTAATGGATTGTCTTTGATTTCAGTCGTATTTGAAATTACCTGTTGCGAAAAGTGGATTTAACAGCCGAAGAAACAAATAAATGATAATAATTTCTTCTCTGCGTTGAACAGTTTCTTTTAACCCTGTGATCATTACGTGAATGAAAGCAAATGTAACCAAAACACCTCCCCTACCATACTGCAATTTTAGTCTTGAGGTAGCTAATGTAAAAGGAATTTGCTTGGTCCCCACAGTAAAGAAAACCCTCAAGGCTGCACCAACCTGCACAACTATCAAAGCAAATAACCTTGCATGTTAATAGTACTGGCATCTTGGTGCCACAGTAAGCAGATCTCAAAACAGGCACCGCGGAGCGTTGAGAAAAGTGGTGGGTCTAAAAAGTGAGAGGGGGGCTAAAACCAATTATCAAAATGATTGCATGAATATTTCTGTGTTGATCTCTGGCAACAAAGAGGCCACAAATATTGCAGAAAAGCTCTTCTTTGCATTATATGCCTTATTTAATTCATTCATCTATCCATTCATTCATCCATCCATTCATTCATTCATTCGTTCATTCATTTATTCATAATTGCACCAAATATACATTACTTTATCTTTTTATCTCATTAAAAGAGACATCAGTCTAGCAGGTAGTTGGACACCCTCTCGAATCTTGTATCATAAAAACAGACAAGTGAAATCAATCATAAAGTCATGGAAATTATAGCTTTTCAAACCATTATCAAACCTTTATCTCATAAATATTGTCAAAATAAAGCGGACGAATGTAATGGTGACGACTGGTGGTGAAGCAATATAGCAGAAGCAATACACTCAAGAAAAATTGATTGAAAAGTTGCCATATGAATCCATGAAATGCCAAGACTCCAAAAATGAAATCACCTCATGCTTATGCTGAAGTGTGGTGACGGATAACTGTTTGAGAACACTCATTCGTTTTTAAAATCGGTAGAAAGATACAATTATTCAGAATCTACAGTTTTCCTAGAAAATTTCTGAACTAACTGTACTTTTTATTATGAAATGAAAATAATGAAGTTTCTCTTTTAGCCATTTACCAAGAGAAGAGACTGACAGCCTATAAGAGAAAGAACCCGAAGCTGAAACGGCTACTTTCAACTTGAATACTAAAAGAACTGTTACAGCTGGCTTATAAACTATAAAAAAGAGTGTTTGAAGCATTTGAAAGACTTTACATCAAATTCTTAGCTTTGCAAAATAGGGAGTGTTTAGGGAGAGGTAACCTTTAATTCAAAGTCAGACAGGATAAAGATGCAGTATTACGTGTCCGCCTAAGGCGTTAAACATCGAATAATAACTGTCTTGGTCAAGACGTGACCATGAATGGTTGTAAATTCTTAACATCTAACAATGAATGTACTTACGATATCAGGCAAAGTCATGAGTTAATCGAGGATAACCCGAACGTTATTCTTTTGTATTAAATCAGTTTTATCTATCTATGCCTTGTATCACAACAAATGTCACCGGGATTTCAACTGTTTAGAACCAGCAGCCCAAAAAAGTCTCACACAAACATGAGTTTATGAGGGGAAGGCCATCATTGTCATGTTAACATCTCCAGAGTGGTTCTACTAGCTGTTCCCATTTGCTCTAGAAGTGATGCACGTAGCTCGTGTCAATTAAGAA